AGATACTCCAGAATTGCAGGTACTGGGTGAGACTCTGCGTTCTCCGGAAGCCAGATCATCGCAGAAAGTACGGTCCCATCACTCAGAGTGATGGGCGTATGGTAAACGATGCGAATTGGTAGGAGCTGCATGCTGAATTGGTCTGATCTGTTCTCAACTTCAGTCATATTCTCTGGTGGCTCATGCAAAATACTTACAGATAATGTCAGTGGCGAAGAGGCTCACCTATATATAAAGCGAGTTCAATCTCAGCACTCTCTTGCACGAACTACAGGGTCGGAGTACAGAGGGCATGATTTCAACGCCAGCATCACAGGGTCAACAAGGACCGAGATGGCAGCGCACGAATCGCGCATTTAGTCATAGTTGAGATCACACGCGGGTCTGAGAAGCTGAAGACGAATTGGAGAGCCGCATCACAGGTATGTTGGAGTAATAGTTTGGCCGACGTTCCTAGACTGATAAGGTTACCCAGCCTACCCTCGAGACGGCTCATAAACGAGGAGAAACGCCGAAGTCATTCCCCACTTTCGGAACACCTCCACACTCCACTTTTACAAGGCCCACCAATCGCGACGAGGGACCGAGTGACCTATCTGGTATGCCGATGGTCCATCTCCACTCTCGCGCGATGGAAGCTTGCATCCATGTGCAATTTCTCCTGAAGTCGGCTACGCTCACTTCATGCAGAGGGTACCGCGCAACTTTAGTCGTTGGAATAACGTGATGGATGACAGACGATCATTGCCGAATTCTGATTCTTATCAACCAGTTGCAAGTCGAGGGCTTTAATTGCGAACAATGTCCCTGCATGTTGCCCAACGACCTTTCACCACCTCTCTGGAAATCCTGGAACAGAACGTACGATGTCGGGCTCCCGAGATCACGATCGTCCATGACAGTCAGATATCTGGTGACGACAAAGATGTCATACAATCCCAGGATGTCGATGTCGGCAGATGTCGAGTCTGTCGTCGAGAAGGGCCGACGCGCCGGCCTTTCTACAGCAAAGTCTCGGTATACTTGATGATGCTGTTCTCTGGTCTAGCATTGGGATCCGACGGCTACAACGCTGCTGTCATGAGTAATCTGAACCTTCTCCTGACGGTCATCTATCCCGATACTCTATCGAAAGACATGAAAGCACGACTTTCGAACGCTTTCTTAATCGGAATGATAGTTGGCATGGTCGGGTTCGGTGTCGTGGTAGATCAACTTGGGCGCAAGACTGGAGCGGTTCTTACCACTCTTATTCTTGTCTTCGGTATCGTGCTGAGCACTGGTGCAAGTGGAACGTCACCATTAGGCATGTTCTGGATGCTTGTAGTCGCTCGAGGCATTGCCGGTGTTGGTGCTGGAGGAGAGTACCCTGTGGCTGGTATGCGCTCATACTTTCCATAACTGTTAAACATTTGCTAATTCTGGTAGGTGCTGGTGCTTTGGAAGCATCCGATGAAGCAGGTCACTTCAGAAAGCGTCGAGGTTTTCTCTTCGCTATGGTAGCTGACCTTTCAGCTGGCTTAGGCTACTGCTTCGGCGCCCTGGTTCCTCTACTGCTCCTACTCTGTGTCAATCAAAGAGTCGACAAGTACCACATTGTCTGGAGAACAGCTCTTGCACTCGGTGCTATCCCTCCACTTTCCATCTTCTACTTCCGCATGCGCATGAAGGTCTCAACCGCTTATCGCAAGTCAGCGCTTCACAAACAAAGGACACCGTACGTACTGATTGTAAAGATGTACTATCGACGACTTTTTGGCGCTGCAATGGGCTGGTTCTTGTACAACTGGATCTCCATTCCCTTCGGCATCTTTGGAAGCACTATCGTGTCGCGCATGAACCCTGAAAACTCGCTGATCCAAAATTTGGGTTGGGGTGTCGTTCTGAATGCTTTCTACCTACCTGGTCCGTTTATTGGTGGTTATTTGTCGGACAGGATTGGCCGCAGAAAGACGCAGTGTGTGGGGTACACTCTCCAGGCTATTCTGGGCTTCGTTCTTGGTGGTGCTGGAGTGCAGATTCAGACAGTCTTCCCGTTGTTCATTGTGCTATACGGAATTTTCTTAACACTTGGGGAAGTTGGTCCAGGAAGGTAAGTCTACAACGATCCAGTCAAATTTTGGTTGCCACTAATTCTCCGCAGCACTGTCGTTATCACGGCTACTGAACCTTTCCCGACCTCAGTCCGCGGCCACACCATGGGCTTCATCTCAGCCTTCTCTAAAGCTGGAGCTGCGATTGGTACTGAAGTAAGCCTCTTCTTCATCGAACGAATGTCACACAATTCTTACACGAAATAGGTTTTCTCCGCTATCATGGCCTCATACTCAGATCCGAACAAGTCAAACCAGGTCGCATTTTTGGTGGGATCAGCTTTCGCTGTCCTAGGTGCCCTAAACGCCTGGTTCGTCCTTCAAGATGGATCAAAAGTCCTTGATAACGAGGACGAGATCTGGAAAGAATACCTGGTCAAAAATGGTTGGGATGCTAGCTGGGGTGACCAGGAGACTGAGGATCCAAAGCTCACTCGAAACCAAGAGCTTCTTCCGACATCTTGAGTGAGGAAAGCGTCAAGGCAGAGCTGTTGCTGAAGGTTAGAAAGGTGAGAGTGTAAGCGACTTCAGACACAGTGATGCGTGTAAAAAGCCGTGTTTCATAGCGTGGGGCCAAAGCGACAAAGTCTACGACCCCCAAGCAACACAATCGACGGTTAAACTCATCCAAAGCGACAAAAACGAAAGCGACACAAATTGCGAACGCACAAGTGTGACATTGAGCCCATCAACCACGCTGATATTGCACGGTCGATGACGATAGCGACAATTTGAACATAAAACACATAGTGCAAACCGCTGTTGATTATTATGATATGTTGTAACCGGAAATAAGAAACGCAATGTTAGATTCACAAGAAAATCTAAAAGCGGAAGACGTAGATGTATTTGGCAACCGAAGACTACCTGTACCCGAACGCGAGCACTTGAACGACCCGGCGGCTCAGCCCCAACCCCGCCTTTACCAAGACGCAAATGCTACCACGCCAACAGTCACTTTTTTACACAATCAACATCAAATTTGTCTCTGGCCTGACCTTAAAATGCCTTCCAAGCCATGCGCTCATCCTGACGTTCGTTTGAATGACGACCTGGGTTGTTGCCTGTCATGTGGTGAGATCGTCGACCCCGTCCAGGCATCAACGCAGGATTCAGGGCATACAACAACACCATCGGTCTCAGTCGAATCTCCACCAAGCAGCGCATACTACATGCATCAGGACCTTGAATTGTCAGTTGGACGAGAAATACATCTGATGCAATTGCTGCCCGGCAAATGAGCAGACCCTGTCCGATATTTAATCACAATTGAAAGGCTACAGGAGAGGCCAGAACCATACGAAGCCCTTCCATATACGTGGGCTACTGAAGACGGCGATGATAGCTGCACAGGTCGAGTTTATTGCGAGAACGCAACTATTGCAGTCACCAAGCCTCATTATAGTGTTGGTTTCACAACTGCCAACCACAACCGCGGCGATTGTGTTTTCGCAGTTGACGGCATACCTGAACCATTGCTGCTAAGGCCTCTTGGGAACGAAAAATATAGATTTATAGGTAGATGTTACCTCTGGGCTGCGCTAGAACTGGATTACTGGAATTTTGGCAGTCACTTGGGATTATGGCCGGATAGGCCTTACGACCTTGGACCTGAACAGACAAGGATGATCACACTGTGCTAAAGATTGCTCTTGTGCAACCAAACTTCCGAAGCATTTCAAAATAGCTAATAGATGTTATTGGTCTGCCGAAAGAGAAACGAGTGGGCTGTGATTAGCGCACAGTGCATGCGATGTTTGCAAAGTACATAAAGAGCATTTGCAGTATTATCGTATTCAAGATGTGTGCACCCCCCTCTAGCTCAGCCAAAGAAGGGGCAGAGACACCTCGTATGCTCCTATTGGTGAAAATCCTCGTGAAGGTCTAGAAAGTCGTCACCAGGGTCCGAGATCACGGTGCTATTCGTGCACTTCAAAAGCTGTATGACCTCATGTTACCAGTTCCAGCACTAGGCAGCGGTAATATTTCTGTACGCTCTGTGCCGATACGACATGAGTATATAGCCCTCAGCAGCATACCATAGGTACTTACCCGGGGTATGATAAACTTCTGGAGTAGCCCGAATGCATACGCAGCTACCACATTTCTTGAATAATCTTGTGTAATCTTGTGAATGTATACAGGCATAGTTTCCAGCTCTCCTTATCATGAAAAGCGGACAGAGATCATGCGTGCCCCGGGTGGCAGGTCTTCTCACCGGAAAGGGGCTGAGCCTGCGGCTCGTGTTTTTTAGACAGTTTGACCCCGCATCGTCAGCTCAACTTTCTACACGACCTCTTTTACCACCCTAACGTACGGAAAATATCAAATACAAAGGCCATGGATTTGGAGTCTTGCCTTCATAAGGATGTGCGCCAATTCGACAACATGCGATGCTGTATGGCTTGCGGTGAATCATTGCACCTATGGCAAGTCGCTCCACGGCCTCAAAATACAGAAAAGTTTTCAGATCCAGAGCTATGCAATGCCTCTTCCCGGTTGAGTCACGCATACAACGATCTGAGACTGACCACCGGAACATCCATTCGTCTGATTCTCCTCCAACCAGGCGATTTTCAAGATCCCTTATCGTGCATAATTGCCACCGTGGACCCTTATCGAGAGAACTACGACGCTATTTCGTACACGTGGGCCACGGAATCCGGACACGATCGAAAGACGGGACGTATACATTGTCCCGACGGTGCCATAGCTATCACAGAAAACTGTGAGGCGGCCCTGCGGACACTGCGACTGCCAATCGCCCCTCGGCAGTTATGGGTGGACGCCATATGCATCAACCAGTCCAATGTCGACGAGCGCAATCATCAGGTCGAATTGATGGAACAGATCTATCGCTTGGCTTCCACGGTACACATTTGCATACAGGACACGACTCATTCTTACACGGAGTGCATTGCCTGGCTAAATGGTCAAGGTGACTATTCGACAGAGATCGTAACACAGGCAGCAGAGCTATTTCGTCGTCGGTACTTCACGCGAGTCTGGATTATTCAGGAAATTACTTTAGCCAAGCAGGTCACTCTTCATGTCAATAGGGAAAGTGTTTTACTATCAGATTTGACTCTAAGGAGAGCGATTTCTATTTCCTTGGAATTCGATCTACAATCCGGTGTGCCTTTAATTTTGCGATCGATCCAAAACCCTTCCGGGAATATCGCAAAAAGCATTTTTAGATGTCTGAGACTATCGCTGGTTGCATCTTCGGCTGATATACGAGACAAAGTCTATGGCATAGTGAGCCTTCTGAAACCCGACATCCGAGGTCTAATTCCAGTCGACTATGACATGGATCACACGACAGTGTTCGGCAACGTGATAATGGCATGCATTGCTGAGCAAAGAGATCTTCGTATCCTTCAACTTGCCTCTTTGTCGACACAGGTCAACAACGCTGCTGATGCTTGTTGTTTTGGGATGCAAGAGCTCAAGAACTATGTTAGCAATCCGCTTGGTCCTTCCACATGCTGCTGGACGCGAAGAATTAAACTCCAACAGTTCGGTCTGAAATTTCAATCTTGCTGCAGGTGGGTACCTAAGGTCATGGTAGTAACAAAATTCTCTGCATTGCGGCCCAGGTATTTCTCGTATGATGCACGTTCCAAAGTATGGAAGATGTCAAGGAAACCTCTAAAACCTTCTCGAGCACGGAATACACCAATACCAATGATGTTTCTACAGTATTCCCGAGTACAAAAGATATCGAAGATGCCTCCAGCGCAACAGATTCTTCCACGTCTCCACGTTCGAGGACATTTAATCGACATATCACACGGATCCTCAAGCGACACAACTACATCAACTAGTGAAACGGTACAGCAAAGATTCGAGGATCTTGCGTTAGCAAGACATCCATGGTTAGCGGGAATTTTTCGTGAAGAAAAACTCCCGTGCATCGACGGCATTGATGGTTCCAAGAGCAGCAACCTCATAACAACAAACGAACAGGATTTACGAAGCTTTTTAAGTTATGCTCGATGCTGCAACAAGCCTGGTCCAGCCATCATGTTCCAATCCTACTATAGTGTCGGATTCTCTGATGTCAGACATCCAGCTGGAGACCACATATTCGCGATAGACAGTATACCCGAGCTGCTCATGCTCCGACAAGTAGAACCAAACGTGTTCAGAGTAGTGGGCACGTGTTACCTCTGGGCTGCGGTGGAGCTGGATTACTGGAAGCCTGGATCTAGGAAGGGACGATGGCCAGATCGACCATACGATCTCGGGAACAAGCAAACAAGGATGATTGAGATATATTGAGACCCGAAGGTTAAACATGTTCAACAAGATTTGGAATCAAAGGTCGCACATGTACCAATACATCTGGGCCCAAGATCTACTTGGCCGTCAATCAATGTTCTGAAAGACTTTTATAGGACCGATCTGCGGTCTAGTCAAAGTTTAACGTATTTTTATAACGCGTACTAAGAAGATGATATATTCAGGCAAGGAAGCGCACTGTCATCGCTCTAGACTAGTGAACTACCGAGGGAACATCCTTGTGAAGACGAAACATGTTCTCTGATGATTTATTTCAAAGAAGAAAGACTTCTCAGCTGTTGTTCTCCACACTGCAGTCTCGCGCGAAACGTTCTACACATTTTCAGGTGACATAGCCTCCTGCCATTCCGACAACATCTCATCAATAATCTGGTCCTCTTCTGCCGCCATCATCTCCTGCTCATGAGGCCCTGATCGTCCATATTCTCTAACGCGAACCCTCCAATTTTGCTTCGGATGTTGGAATTCCACGACAAATGGAGATCGGATCTCTTTACGCGTATCTTTACGTTTTGTTTGATTTCTCATCATCCTCTGGCTGATGCTACTAGGGCGAGGATTGCCAGGTGTATTTTCGGCTGGAATTGAAGGCACAGGGTGCCCAGTGTCATGAGAGTAGTCTTGTTGCGGTGAATTCTGGCTTGGGTGTCCCGGGCGGCGGCTGTCCGAGACATAATTGGCATGAATATCATGTGGCAGCGACTGTGAGTGCCGCTTTCTTTGGTTTGCTTGTGAAGACATAATGTTTGCTGCCGGAGTCACTAGAAAACTCCCGGGAGCTTGCGATGCTTGCCCTGGTGGTCTTATCATCCCCGGATTGGTACTACCACGATGTGGTGGAGGCCATCCGGTAGGCGGCGGTATTTTCAACTCGGTCTTCAGTATAACAGTAATATGTTCCGTCTCGCGACTATATCGACTCACTGCCCTCGTACGAACCCGCAGACCTGCCATTCGCCATTCCAGGTCAGGTTCCCAGCTTTGCAACGACCAATTTTGTTTTCTGACAAGCTCGGTAATTGCAAAACGCTTGTCTTCGGATGAGAGCTTATCGAGGATATCTTGTAGAAACGAGCGTTTGCTTGAGCCGCCGACACGACGGGCGTCCATGAACCTGGTTTCTAGGTAAAGCTCTTCATTTGAAAGGAACAACTGCGTAATAGTCGGGCTTTTCCAAGAATCTGTCGCCGGTTTAGGTCCGGGATTGGTAGTGTTTGGACCTTTTTGGATTCGCCATCCGGCGTAGCGAGGTTGGTAGTCTGTGATCATTCGCATCGGAAACCCACGAGACGGCGTCGGGGCAGGGATGAAGTGGGGCCCTATGCTGGCATTAGGGTCGTGAACTCCGTATGTTCGTACAGTAGACTTCGATGCTTCGTAAGGATACCCAGATTTGTCTGTGTCCTGAGGGTGATTGGCTGGCTTTCCGATCGCCTCCTGTGTTACATGCCCTTGAGCTTTCTTCATCTGAGTCGCCAGAGTCCTCAGATCTCTTAATAAATCAGCTATGACATCCCGGAATTCTTGGTCTGGTCTAGGAGGAGTCAGCCAATTGCTCATTTGATCGTGCAGGAAGTGCTTACTTTGTTGGTTTGATGCTCTGTTGAAACACTGACAGCCGGATCTGAAGGTTAATTTTCCTGTCCTGGATCTCCATACCTATCCACTTAAAACGCCCCGTCAGCTCTTTTATCTTGTCCGTTGTGAGTTCGGTTTTCTCCCGTTTTCCTTCTGTTATGATTGATTTGCCAGAGTCTTCCTTGATGGTCTCTAATATCTTTTCCGTTGATTGGAATGTAGTTTCGCAGTTCTTCACGTCTGCAAACAAGTTTCTAACAGCAGGATGCTTGAGAGAGAGGCTAACGTTCTTTTCTACCGTTCCCCGGACCAAATCCTGTATGTCGATTAAGATCGAAGAAGTCACACGTATACGATCTGCAAGACTTTTCATTATTTCGTCTAATTTGTCAAGTCTTGCCGCCTGCATTTCCATGGTTGCAGCGACAGATTTGCCTTTATCGACGGCAAGGACTATTTTTCCTTTCGGAATGTCAGCCTTCAAAAACACTATGCGGTAAGAGGGCATACCTATGATAATATTTCTATCTCCGATAACATGCCCAGTAGTCACACCATGGTTTCTGAGCGGACCATGGAAGGTTACATCTCCCCCTCTTATTCCATAAGATCTGTCGGTCCTGTGGATATGTTCTGAACCAGGAGGCATGACAGCGAGACTGTCGTGCAATGTACCATTGCGCGAGGTCTACCAGGAGTTGGGAGGACTGGCAATTTTGCAATCCATGTCTAGATCTAACGCAACTGTTCTAGCTGTCAAGCACAATATGGCATGGTTTCTATGACTGAAGGTAGCCACATGCGTCTGTCTCACAGATGATTAATCAGGAGGCCAAGAAGGCTGGCGGGGTAGTAAAAAACAGCAGCGCGTCGCAATTGAAGCTGAACAGAACGAGAATGGCAGTTCACTTCATCGTGCAGGTGGGGTGGCGTCCAATTTTGCGTGAATCAAGGCGAAACGTCATCCGCCATCTCGAGAAAGAAGCCTTAAAGGGCAAGACTATCCATGCCTCGTCGCATTTCCCTCTTACTTGCGTTCCCACGGATCCCGAAATCCAATCGGCCATGCCGAAGTCACAGATTCTCCAGGGCTGTTATGCTATCCATCAGACTGGAGCCGGCTCGCTAATGGCTGCGGCTGCTTACAGTATGCTCTCGTATGCAGTTTCTGCCACCTAACATATCTGGGCACGCAGCGTCTTCGACTCAACTATTGTGAAGTTGCAATCACTAGTCTGTGGTCATGGTTCCATCTTCCACTGCTTTCTTTGATTCCAGGAGGGATCGTATTGCTATTCCATTCTTTATGTCAAGTGCTTGGTGCTCATAATGCTCAAGCGCCAGCTGAGTCATCGCTAACCAGCGGGGAGGACAAGCCCGCAGGCACCGTAGAAGCAATTGTCATCATGCGCATATCGTACGGCATGGCTGCTCTCAGCGCGCCCTTTCTTCTGTTGGACAAGATCAGTTGGTATCGTGTTCTGTTGCGTATGCAGGCCCTGCATCCCTGTAGTCTCTTCATGCATGCAGGCGTTCACTTTCAGCTCTGTTCAGCTGACAGTTTGCCTTGGCACTGTGTGTAGCTGCGTCCGAATCTAGTCCGCATGGAAGTTTCCTGATGTGCCTAGATTATGATAAAAGCTGTTCGTAACTGCTCTTTTTTTCCACATCAGTCATCGACTCTCCGGCAGTATTATCACTCTCGAGATCAGCTACATTTCATCAGAACTTTCAATCGATAGTATCCTTCCTTTGTTTCTCTTGATTTCGCATAGACTTACACCAGGCTGAAAACATGTCGCCCATCTTGGACCTTAGTGACGTCTTGTTCAATCCCGATGCAGGAACAGTAACTGTAGAGTAAGTGACCCAATTCCACATCAACTTGAGTCCGGTGGCACTAACTTGACTTCTTTGTAGTATCGTCTTTGTCCATGGTCTGAACGGCGATCGCATCGAGACATGGACTTCTGCGGCTACTGACGAGGAACCTGAGAAAACCACTTGGCCAAAGGATCTACTTCCCAAAGCATGCCCAACCGCTCGAATCCTGTCCTTTGGTTACAACTCCGCCTTTGCCGACTTCTACCCCTGACAGGCTCAAAGAAGGAAGTCGCACTCGAAACAACCATCGATACTTTCTCAACCGCTCTACACACGCAACTAGCCAACTTGCGCCTCAAGACCGAGACGCTGATGATAGACCAATTATCTATGTCGCCCATAGTCTAGGAGGTCTCGTCGTTGCCAACGCGCTCTCAAAACCGCATGGCATCGACGAAGCAGCAGGGAAATTGAACGCCAACACCGTCGGCGTGATATTCATGGGCACTCCCTTCGAAGGCTCATCGATTGCCAAGTGGGGCTCTCTGGGCCTGAGGCTCTGGTCGCTCGTCAGCAAAACGGAGAAAGCGACCGTCAAAGATCTGGAGAAGCGTAGCTCGCGGCTGGCGACGATCAACGAAAACATGGCCAAGTACATCCAGACGCGAGACAGGGACCATTCACGGCGCCCGCTTGATGTAGTGTGCTGTTTCGAGGAGCGACCGACGCACATGGGCCCGAAGAAAGAAAAGGTTGTGGACAAGGAATCTGCTACATTGTGGTTGGGAGCCAAGGTTCTTTCCGTCCGTGCAACCCATTCCGCCATGGTCAAATATACCGACGAATCAGATAGCACATACATAACGATATCGGGCATCTTGTCTCAGTGGATCAAGAATCTCGTGGAGAAGGGTGACACGGTCAAGGAAGAAGTAAGTCGCACACATCTTCGTTCTTCTCAGAAGCGCGCATCTGACACTCTTCTGACGTCTTTCAGGATCCTCCTCATATCAGCTTGGGGGACGTCCATTTCGACCGTATTGATCAAAACTTCGGTGCGATTGCGGGCAATGTGATGGCTACCAAAGAGCACGGCATCGTAATGAATGGCGCGATGGTAAGTAATTCGTAGCTACGGAAAGGACACAGACGTTTGCTAAAGGCTTTGAAACAGATGCAGTTCGGTCCAGGCATGTCGCTTGCTGATTTAAAGGGTTCTAGAGATGGAAAACCGAGTGCGCGATAGGACGGGGGAATGGGGGTGCAGACAACAATACTATCCTTTGAAGGACTGCTTTAAAGCTTACTATCGGGATTGGTTGGGCTGGATGTACTCCCAGCACGAAGGCAATCGAATATTCCTGAACCAAACATCCTCTTCGGACTACATTCCATACTCATCTAATCTTATCGCGGCGTAAGACCTCACTTTCCGCTTTTCTCACACCAGGTCGTTGAGGCCGTGAAGCGCTGTCATACGATCCCTTTCATCCAAGGATGCCCAAGCAACTCCCCCGTAGTCATGCGATCCTCGGGTCTCCACTTCAACATGCACCTCATAAACTCCAAGAACTCTTCTTTCTCCCTCCCAGCCAGATTCTCCTCCGAGCTATCCAACGTCAAGCCTTCTGGTATTGGTATATCGGCGATCCAATTACCTGTTACACCTTTTGTCAGCTTTAGATGGTCTCTTGGAAGTATAAAGTCTTACCTTCATCATCGAAGAATTCTTTACTCCGCGATCCACGATTGAGAATATCTAGGGGCGGCGGACCGAGGACTGCAACGACTTCTGCAAGATGAGCTCTAGTCAAATATCTCTTCTTGATAGGATCGATACCGTAGAAGAGATGCTTGTCTTCGTAGAGGTCCCAAATCTGTGTACGTTGGTTAGCGACTATGTTCGCGCCAGACGGTAAAGCATAAAGGTTGCATACCATAGCCCCGACATTCCAAATATCAGCCGGATACCCCCATTCCGTCTGCAGCATGACCTCCGGACAGCGATAGACATCAGGTTGCGCGTCATGAACCTGAGGTTTGTCGCCACGAACTGCAGAGCCGAAGTCTCCAAGGACAATCCTCCCGTATTCCTTTGGTAATCCAAATTGACGTGTAGCGTAGATTGGCTTGCCGTCCACGACTTTTCGAGGCGAGGGAGAGGTCATCTCGACATCAACAAATGCTTTCAGAATGTCCTGATCCTCAATCTCTATAAGGATGTTGTCTGCCTTTATATCTGTATTCTTGTTAGCAGATATGGTGAGGAGATTACGTTAGTCTATACCTGTGTGTATGATCTTGGCTTCGGTGTGGAGATAATCGAGTGCGAGGAACACTTGCGACAGACCAGCTCTGAGCAGCTCTTCCGTGAAGCGATGCGCGGGGTTCCTATTCAAGAGATCCTTGAAACTATCCCACATTGGTTTCTGGACAAGGCATCGATGGTCCCCGCCCTGTCTGGGAATGGTGAACATGTCGAGGGCTGTCCTCACATGACTATGCCCCGGATGGGAAGCATTGCCTTTGCTCAAGATGTTGTACATATTGTGCTCGTCTTCACCCATCTCCTCTCTTGTGTAAACTTTCAGGGTTGTATACGCATGGCGACTGCGGTTTCATCAGTCAAACGAGCACAGATGCCTATTGCTGACTTACTTTAGACCACGGGCTAACCAAACAGTTGACGTAACACCAAAACCTAGCTTGCCTACTACCTGGTGCTTGGACTCGAAGACATCTCCTATGTTGACGGGGTAGTAGGCGCCCCTGCGGAACTCCTCAAGTTGCTCTTCCTCGAACAATACACCATTGCTGACGACTTCGAACCCCGATTTGGGGAATTTCAACGGAGGCCATGGCTGTTTGCGAAAGAGTGACTTTGCGAGTTTGAGCATGAATCAGTTTTCAACGAGTGTCTCACTGAGGCGAGTTAGGCTTGGCAGAGACGTTGTTCAGTGACAGATGGTGGTCCTCAAGATTAAAATTAGAATAGGCAAAGGTCAAAAGCTTACTAAGCGCTGAGCACATCTAGGCAGAAAGTCGTTTGTATTGAATTTTGTAATTTGGCCGTCAATCCATTGATCTGATCATGCACTACCCCTTCATCCCCTCCCTAACATTCCTATCCATACCCTGCAATGCCTCCCTCACACTCGGCGCAAAATGTTTCCTCAATATCTCCCCCTCCCAAACCGTGCCTGCAAACGCATTACTTCCCTCGACCTCTCCCTTCAGTGCATCAAACACACCATCGCCCCTTCTCTCCTCTGTATTCCACAGCGGCGCGACTTTCTTGCCGTGACTGCGCGTGATGCGATTAAGCAGTCCGAGCATGGCTGTACACGATTTCTCGGGGAGGTGCAGGGAGACGGTCATCAACTGCTTGGTGAAGGCTGCGACGCGCAGTGGTGGGACGGCGCGGAGTGAGGCGGCGGGAAGTAGAACGGAGGATAGGGAGCGGATGAGGAGGACGATTGTAGTTTGGACGTTAATTTTGTTGGGGAGGACCTGTGCTTCTGGCATGTTTGGGTCTGGGAGATGCAAGCTCTTTGAACTGAGTTCGATGTCTGTGTTGAGCGATACTGGATGCAGTGTTCGGTACAAGTGCGTGATGAAGAAGCTCAGATCGAGTCTTTGGCTTGATGCAAACTTGGCCGCGTCCTGGCCTTCGAGGAGAGCAAAGGCGGTGATAACGCAGAGGAGAGATTCGCGCGTAAGGTTGCGTTCCGGAGCTTCGTTCTCATCATCGTCATCTGAGGCGTCCTCGTCTTCATCGTCTGAGACGGCCGCTGCGGCAGAGACTTCAGCCGTGGTAATGATATCGCGCAATGCTTCAAGGATATCGCCGAAGAAATCCTGATTGATGAGGTGGGCGTAGCGTGCTAGGCCTTCGAGAACGGCACCCATGAGTCTTGGTGAGCGGGCTTTGAGGATGCGGAAATAGGCTACGAAGACCATCTTGAGGGTTTCGGCCTGCATCCTGTCACGCTCTTCATGGCTGACAGCTGCATCTGCCTCTTTGAACTCCTTCTCGATAGCTTTCTTCTCCTTGAGGTCTTTCCGCAACCGCTTAGTCCGGAACTCACGCTTTTGCTTCATCTTCTTGTTGCTTATGGGCAGGTCGTCGGACTTGTCGATGGCGTTGTAAGAGGCCTTGTGTGCGAATTCGGAGAGTAGACGGAGGTGGAGGAAGGTGTTGAGCACGCTCTCGTCGAAGTGGTAGTTCTTGCCCTTCATCATCTTGGTCAACATGGTGACGGCTTCCAGCGAGACATTGCCTTCCTCGTCGTTTTCGAATAATTGCTCCAGCGCTTCTCTGCATCGCACAAAGTCAGCATCAGCGCGTCTCGTGCTGAGCTTGCCGATGAGTATCTTCAGCAGCTCTCCACGGAAGTTGAAGTGTGGTACGGAAGTGATCAGGTTGCATGCACAGCTGACCGCGACGGATGCCAAGCTCGCGTTCTGCTCATTCTTCACCCCACTAGACTTTGCCAGCTTGCCAAGATGATTGACATAGTCCTGATATCCTGTGACAAGTCTCTGTTCGAATGTGCGCAGCTTCTTGACCTCCTTCGAAATCTTCTCGCCCATGGCCTCCTCTGACAGTGGCCGTATCCTGTACCCAGGGATCAGGTCTTTGAAAATGGTCAACTGCGTAGCTAATGCCAGCTTCTTGACTGTAAAGTTCTCCGAGTCCGCAATCGCTGCCAATGTCTTGAGCGCGTGGATGTGCTCTTCCGGGTCTTCGTTGACCAAGCTAGCTATGCGCGCAAGCTCTTCCTTCGCCTCGAGTATTTGTTGCCGCGCAGGTATCTTGGGCTTTTGTTCCTCCACTACCTCTTCTTGCGGTTCCTCCTCTTCCGCGTCGTCACCAGACCCCAAGAAGCTGTCTGAGTCTGATTCCTCTTTGACATCGGCCGTCGCAGCCGGCGCAACCCATCCTTCCACGGTCCTGACAGGCAATCTCTTGTTCTCCTTCTTCTTGTTCAGCTTGCGCGGCCTGTTCTCATAGTCCTGCTCCAGATCCCACTTGGCTGCATTATTCAGAAAGCTCTGTTTCTTATTCTCCTTCGCAGTAATTGGATATGCGCCGTCCTCAGGCGGACTGAGTCGTCTTCTCTTAGCGGCAGGGACGCGAGACATGGTTTCGTTGTCGTAAATGTGTCGTGTGGATGTTGTCTGTGGTCGCGAAAGAAAGCTACAAGAAATTTTGGTGGAGCTCGGTGAAAGCGGTGGCAGAACCTCCGACGCTTCTCCACTGAAAAAGTTCCCGCGACGTGCAACTTCTTTGCGACCGCGCAACCAACAACTCACACACTTTCACACTCGACACAATGCGGCCACTCACAGAACCCGAGACGAAGACACTCTTCGAGAAGCTTGCAACATACTGCGGAAAGGGCATATCCAACCTGATTGCCGACCCCTCAGGCGGAAACGACCGCAACGTCTTCCGCGTGCAGGTAAGACCTTCATCCTCCTCCTCTTCCAACTGTACTCTCATACTCACAATCGCACAGGGCTCAAGAGTCTACTACGTCCGCGAATCGCTCGCCAACCTCGCCACCTCCGTCGCGCGCGACCAACTCCTCTCGCTGGGCCTGTGTCTCGGAAAATTCACCAAAACCGGGAAATTCCGGCTGCACATCACCGCGCTGTCGATAATCGCGCCGCACGCGCGCTACAAGGTGTGGGTCAAGGCAAACGGCGAGATGCCGTTCTTGTACGGCGGCAATGTACTGAAAGCGCATGTGGGACGGTGGAGCGAGGATTGCCCGGAACATCAAGGTGTGGTGGTGCTGAGTATGAACGACACGCCGCTGGGCTTTGGCGTGAGTGCGAAGAGTACGGCCGAGGCGAGGAAACTGGATCCTACGGGCATTGTGACGTTTAGGCAGGCGGATGTGGGCGAGTACTTGAGGGAGGAAGATACGCTGTTTACGACTTGAAGAGACTGAGCGTCATGGTGGAAAACGTCTTTGAAGTAAGGACTCTCATTGGATTATTGATGCGAGTGCAGCTACGGGTGCAGAGTGGGCCGTATGGAAAGACAAGGCCATACACTGCTGCGTACGAGAAGAGCCAACGAAGATTTATGCATTGCGAAAGGCAGCACATAAGAAGCTATGTAAAGGCTTTGCGAGCAGACTAGTTCTGCTGCATCAAACCAAAAGAATAGATACCCGAATCAAAATCAGCACAACTCAGAATCTCACAATCTCATAATCCACTTGTTGAAAAAGACCTTTCATGTGATGCTTCCACTCTTCTCTAGCCTTCAGTTGGCTATGATGTCCAAAAAGCTCTTGCTTTTCGATAATACATATTGTACAAATGAGCTTTTACGCTGCCGATTGCTCGGCGTGGGTATCAGTCTTGTTCTTCATCCTCCCAATGCGAAATGCAGACTGCGATAGACAAAACCGACACAGATCACTCGCCCAGCTTCTCCAGCAACTTCCTTCTCCTCCTCTCAACAAGCTCATTGTTGACCTCTTCGAGCGTCGGCACCCTCCACCTAACCCCGTCGCCCGCATCACCAGGCAACTCGACCCACTCCTTCTGACCCTTGCTCTCGCCCAGATCATCTCCAAGCTGCATGAAATCATCCCACGCCTCCTTCTCCTTCGCCTTCTCATACGCCAGCAGCGTGCCATCCTCCTCATCCAAATTATACCCATAGTACCCCGCATCCACCCTCTGCCTCAACTCGCTCCTCTTTTCCCTGCCCTGCTTTATCGCATCGTCATCCTCAGGCCTCTGCTGTCTTTCAAACAGCTCTTTCACGCCCGGCAGCTCCTTCGCGCGCCCAAAATACCTATACCCCTTACCACCCCCCGGCACCTCTTTACCATCCTCATCCAACACTCGTCCTCCGCGCATATAGTTTGGCCCGCCCTGGTTCCGTATCTGGCTCTCCCACATGTGTTTCTCGCGCATAAGCTTGTTGATTTCGTCATTGAGGTCGCGGATCTGGTAGTCGGACAGCGCCTCGTCTTGGATCTTGGTCACCTTGCGGCTGATCTCTTTGAGCACCTGGCCGCGCCATTTCTCGCACACGGGGATCGACGTCACGGATGTTATGAGTTTGGGGCGTCGTGTGCGCGAGATGTCGATGATGCCGGCTTCGGCGGCTTGTGCGGCGCGGAAGCGGAAGAGCATCGAGTGCGCCTTTTCCGAGTTACGCGCCATGATTGCGGTTGTGTTGGGGTGTTGTGGGGATGTGGTTTTGAGGTGAAGGCGCTGTTGCGCAAGGTCGCGACGCTGGTTTGGTGTCGTGTGCTGTGTTGCGTGGGTTGCGCTCGTCTATAATATCGTCGGAATTAAACTGAAAGCTGCCCGCAGTCGCAGAAGAGAAGAAGTCGACGGTGATATGAAATGCGCGCACGGCGGTGGCGGTGTGGTTGAGGAGGGGAGCAGATGGAAGGCCGACGCGTTCTGGAAAGTTTGGTGTTTCGACGCCTTTCTGCCACCGCCTCTTGGCGTTCACCTTGTTTGCATGGGGCTTCCCGCTTTCGGAAACTTTGCCTGCATGCATGTTACCTGTGCAAATCAGGGGCGGGAAATTGCTCATCCAAGGATAGATTCTAACTGTCTTCCAAAAATGAATTTTTGACTCCTCGTCGTTTCAATAATATTACGAAGTATCGAGGTAACGATCGAATTGCCACCCCAGATTGTCCAGTCGATTAACGAGAGCAAGCGTGCAAGGCATAGACAGCGTGGAACATCATGTAGAGTAAAAATGTGGAGATGTTGTAGAGCGTAACGCGTAGAGATTAGTGAAGATGCTCGTATGCGAATGTAAGGCAGCGCCAACCAAGTGCCCACTTCTGGAGTACGACCTCTGCACTTACACAATATCAACATAAAATCCAACCCTAATCCAACCACTGTCTATCCAAGCCCTCCAAGAATTCAGCATCCACATTAACAAAGCTCCTCCAAAAGTCCACCTCAAGTCTCCATGGCTTCGTCTGAACAGCCCACGTCACACCCCCACTCAACAACCTGCAATCCGCCTGATCCCTCCCCATGACCCTCACTAAATCTTTACATACGATGATCTGCAAGCCGAAGATATTCTTCCACGGTTCTAATCTCAAGCTCAACTGATGGTGAATGCTCCACTCACTATACGGCATATCCTTGGGCACAAACTTGAACTCCCACGCGCGGCCTCGGTCATCTAGGAACGCGCACGTCGCCCTTTGATCGATACTCAGCATGAGTGGGTAGAAGTGCGGGGCGGACCAGAGTCTAAGGACAGAGAATCTCGCGTCGGGATTGGATGAGGCGAATAATCCAATCCTCTTGATGATGAAGTCGCGGTCGAGGGAGGTGGGGTCTTTGAGGTGGCTGACGATGTTGGAGGGCGGGATACCGATGCGGTAGTCGAGGTAGAGATCGGGAGAGCGGGAGGGCTCAGTGCCGGCGATTGTGATGCCGGCGACGCTGCCGTCGTAGGAGGAGCAGATTACGCCAGCGCGGAAGACTGGTAGAGATGAAAAGTTAGTGTGGATATTGAGTGTGGGTGTGGGGGAAGAGCGTGGACTTACGCCGTATGATTACAGGACGGATAGCTTTTCGCCATTCAATGGGAAAGATGTCATCCACAGAGTCTCCAGAGCTGCGCTTGTTATCTTTAAGCAACCTATCCTAGGGTTTCCAGAACTCCGCTGGCATGATTTTGTTGCTCTTATGTGTTCGACAATCTGGGACTTGTTTTGCTCTCTCCTCTTGATTCAGCAGAAGAGAGTCTTTGAACATGCTGCCCACTGTGTGAGCTTTGAAATTGTCCGTTTCGAAGAAAAGTGCAATCGCTGCGTATGCTTTGAATGCATCGTCAACGGTCGGCGCTCTTCTCGGAAGCAGTCCACCATCTACATGAACTTGGCCAGCTCGAACGGCCCGGGGTCGAGGCCACTTTGCATGACCATTTGGTCCATGGTAGCTACCATCAGCATCAATTCTCCGTATCGCTTTATCGTACCTGGTTCCTGATCGGCTTGATGCCAGTAGTTCTTGAAGACTACGATTTCGTCAGTTTCTGGAAGTGGGAGTGTAATATGCAGATCAAATACCTATGCTCTTCTGGCGGTCGATGTGCCGCATGAAGTCAGCATGCATGGCCATGTCATTGCTAACATACTCCTTCAAGCGGCGGAATGCATTGCGCATAGCATGCATGAGGTTTGCAGCGTCCTTCCCGACTAAATCAGGGATTTGTTTCGCGCCGGGTGGATCCCAAAGAATGGGTAGGTAATAAACAGGTTCCCGGATCTTGGATTTCTTCATCTGAGCAGACAAAATTTCAATAGTGTTATCGATGGCCTCCTGCTCCTCAGCTATGATGAACTGGGCCCCACAATCGAGGATTCATCATCTATGTCCCAGTCAGAGTCTCCATCGTCATCCTCTAGTGCCGCAAGCTGTTCTCCATCGAGCTCCGAGTCAGTATACATCTCAAACTCATTATCGTCCATGGGCTCATTTTCCATGTCGAGATCATTGGCGAATTTGCGAATATCGATAGAGCCACCCTGTTCGAAGATTTTCTTGGCGCTTGGATCGTTGCGGAAGAGATTGTCCACCATCTCGCCATCAGCCCCTTGTGGAAACAGCAGGCCATCCACAAGCTCGTCTGCTTTGATGTAAACGTAGCTAACTAAAAAGCCTTCCATCGTTTCTCCGCCAGTTGGACTCCAACCAATCGCCTCTACTGTTCTGCCAAGGCCGTTCCACATGCTTTCAACTTCCTCGCCTGGTTTGATGCTGCGCACATGCTCAGTCTCAGGGTCTCGCGTGACGGTCTGTAATATCTGCCGAGTTGCCGAGAACTTGTCTTTCAATTCATAAACACGCAGAGCACATTCGAGAGTCTATGGCAATTAGCTGGAAAAGTGGTCCCCAGCATGATGAGGTCGCTTACCCCTTCAAATTTTCTCTGCATAATACCAAACGGCCGACCAGGGTCTGAAATCCCAAATGTAAACATCGTTATACTCGACGAAGCCAAAATGCCACTTTCTGGCAATGTCCTGGCGTAGCATACATCAGTGTTTGTGTAGCTTACAATCTGCTCAAAGAAAGTAGGTCTAATCTCACTTATAACGTTAAAATAATAATAATTAGCTCGTCCCGACCCACTATTTTCGCGAAATCTCCCAAGATCCTCCTGTGACCAGTTTTACGATCACGCACCAAAAATCAAAGCCCTCCTTCCTAACATCTAAACATTGCAAGGCTACATGCATTAATTCGCCTCAATAGTAAGTTAACTTATAGATTACCTCAAGACACGAAAAAGTCCAAAAACATACAACAGCGGGGATTCGCCAGTGGTCACCCACCTGACTACTAATCCGCCGGTGCGCTGCTTAAATATGGCTGAGCGGACGGGAAGCCTTGTATTCAACGCCCTATGGTCGTATGTGAAAATAAAGTTTCTGTGCATGCAATATATTGCTAGACACGTCCCGAGAGATATCGGAGAAAGCGTAGACTGATAGGATCATCTCGCTTGATGCGGCAGCAGATGAATTTCCGGAATTTAACGATTGAATGAGATCGTCGCTCCGTCCCGTGGCTGCCAGTCTGGAAATATTGTGTCACTCTTTCCGCCTTATCCCCAGTAACGTAGGGAATAAAACCGAGCTGTAATAGTTGCTGGCGAGCTGCATCACCGATAAACTTCGTTCACTTTGGTGCCGGGAAGTAGTGATACAGCCAGAGAATGTTAACCTCGTAAACTTCGTTCCAGTTCCAGCATAACTCCACAGCATCAAAGAGATCGGAGTCTTTGGTCTGTTATTTGTCTGGAACATCACCTCGATGCTTCCGTAAGAGCCTGTGTTCTTTCGTTACATACTTGTCGTCGCCGAAATCGTCCACGTCGTCCATAGTATTTAGCTCCTCTTCTGCCACGCCATCCCTCTCACGGGTGAAATCGGTACAAGCGTCACGCACATCTTGGAGACCAGGCTGTTCAAGTTTCAAGCACAGGTCTCTGAGATGCTCTCGGATCACCTCTGGGCGGTGGAGGAAATCCTTAATGCTGTCTGTTTCTAGAGCAGCCGGCACCAAGGTGGCTTGAGAGAGCAGCAACCGACAGAAAAGGAAATTCTTGATCTCTCCCACCTCATCCAACACCTTCTCAACCTCTTCGTCGGGTAATGCAGGTGTCTTGGCGTCGATACCTATAGGACCATTGCCGTTCGTGTACCAGCTCTTAGCCCGCTCAAACTTGACCGGATTACGCAGGCGTTCGCGCATCTGTTGCCTGATCTCCATTTCGATGATGTTTGAACCCCGTCCATCGGCAGTCTGTATTGTTAGGTCTGCCACTTTCTTGACTTCCGCACATACGCAGTTGCTGAGCGTTTCAGCACGAGCGACGAAATCAGCAGAGACCAAGCATGAAACAATGGACTACATCGGCACAAGCAACCACCTACTCGGACTTCAGCAGATGTCTGACTCAGATTGTTCGAGCATGGGCGAAGTGATTGGTACCAGATTATTGATCATGGCATATTAATACAAAATCCTTACCGCTTTCAGTTGTCTGGGGTTCAATCATCTGGTCAATCGATCGGCCCATCTTTTCGGCAAACTATCACTATAAGTAGACCACTTTCCGAGCTATCGTTGCCACTGATTCACAGACTGCCTTTATAATGCTGTTCATTTCCACCTGAGAATGTAGCCAAGATGATGGTCTCAAAGTTTTGCGAAGACAACGCACTTTCTAGGTATAGCTTCAGAAATCTGTTAGTGGACTACCCAACAAGATGTCAATGTATCGCCAGTAAACTACCCATATATCATTTGCATCTTCCGATGAACCTGCCCAAAATCTACCTCATATTAACTCGCTAAAGGCAGTAAAACCAGATGTGATGTACTAAGTGTGAAGCGTAAGTTAAGCTAGAAGACAGGCTGCTTGTAGGTTGCCGAGTGATTGTTGTTTGTAATCAAAGTTTGAAACCAGCCAAGGCCGAGCTGAAGCGATCCACGATGGACTACCCTACCTGGTTTTGGTGTGATATGGAAGCTGATCACTCCGAACCGGCCGGTTGCAGTTTTTTTACAAGTTTGTTGAAATATGGCTAACCACACGCGGAATAAACTTCTTGTTGCCATGATATAGGGAAGTTCACTAATCGGCGCCCGTCGCATCCATACGTAGCAAGGTTTCCACTTCACCCATAGCGTAACTACAGACTTGTTGATGACGCAACAGATATAAGTGCGCTTCGTCCTTATGATGGGTCTGTGGTGCACAGTCATGAGTAATATGTATGACCACTAAAATCATGCACATGGGGACAATTCATCCAGGCAGGCTGCTTCCATAGATTGATAAGTAAGCTTATACGTTGGATATTTTATCGGCTGCCCCAGGAGGGTAGAATGATAAACTCGATCATTCAGTTCCGGCCGTGATTGTTACGTGTGGGCTGCTTGCGGAAGAAGATAACAAAGACGCGATACACACTGAAGATAGCTGACGACATACATATGTTTATATTTGAAGGACTGTACGAGCTACTGCCTAATTTGGGCATATTGAGATAAGGATAGGACACGCTACCCGGGTGCATCTCGCTTGCATCATACCGTATTCTTTGTAGATACGAGCCGCTTCCTACATGCTGCTTGCAGACGTTACTTCACTCCCGACCTTATAACTGATAGAAGAATAAAAAATGACGGCTCCTTGCACGATATAATCTTCGTGTCTAACAATTTGCACTATCACTGATATCCTTCTCATTTCGCGACATGGCGCTTGAAAATTTGGCAGATCAACTGACTTCTTTACGTCTTTCAACTGACGAATACCTTGCTTACAATCCAAGCGGGGATAAATCATGGCTTTCGCAAAAGCTGGATGATATCCCTAGGTACCTGTTTAGGGTATATACTCCGAGGTCCTGTGGTTCGACCAACACGTCATGGACCAAATCTAAGAACGCCAGGTATGGCACTCCGTCTAGTAGACTAGATGTTTTCGCTAGGAGTGATAAGGAAGTGGCTGCTATGCTCTATAGGCATCTCATGTGGAAGGAAGGCGACGACAACTTTGTTTCCTGGACGAGCTCGCCGACCTTTGCCCTGGTGTATATATTCCACTTGCACGCCAATTCAAGAGATAAATCTGAGTTCGTGGACATTCAATTCTGCATTACCGACACTACATGCCTTCCCAGGGGTATCTTTCTTCAAGACCTCGACCTCATCCGTGCTTACAGCCCCTTCGACGCCGAGTTAGTCGAGGTGGAGAAGCTGCGGACGCAGAAACAAGGTGGAAGATTTTACTTTGGGGAGTATCTGTCGCAGGGCGCATTAAAAATCGAAGGCAAATGCGATATCGTGTCAGCCTCCGCATTGATCGGTCAGGGTCTGTTTGACTTGCAGCCTATTCTCAAGGAGTTTGCTAGATGGCCGAAGAGTTTCAAACCACCTTGGGCATATCCAGTGCTTAATCTCCGCGATGATATTTACCGAAACGCAGTCAGGACTAGTATCGCAGATGTTCTCAAAGCAGTTACTAGTATCAAACAGCTCTTTGGTTCCCGATGGCGTTTGCCTGTGGCGATCAACCTTGTTGCCTCGTTTTCTTATGGAGAACAAGATTCTTGTGTCTCAAAATTCTTCAATGAGAGTCATTTTACAGGTTTGCTCCCTTTTCTGGTAGCTCGAAAGATGCTGATCAGAGCAGACGAGGACAGAAATGAATGCTGCCCTTCGAAGACAAAGATTATAGCTCATAGTAGTTTACCAGAGGTGCAGCAAGTGGGTGACCTCATGCAAAGCGTTTATACGGAGTTTTGCCTACTGAAAATGAAGAGTCAGTCAACATACAGGAGCATTCAGATCCAGAGTTAGCACTAACCTTGGACCTTCTAACAGATTACACTACAGAAGCCGCAATCAGACTACGCTCTGCCATAGTATGGCGTACAGCGCTTGGGGATATAGCATCTGTGGATCAAGATCAGACGGTAGATTCGACTTGGACTGCTCTATCGAGCCAACTGGACACGTTAAAAATCCTCTGCAACATTCTATCTCGACCAGAAATGTAATAGAAGATTTAAATCGAAGATCTGGTCCAAGAAGCTTACGAATTAGACACCTGTACGTTGGTACCCGATAAAAAGAATAGTTCTCTGTCAATCGACGTAAACGCGTCTTCTTCTGCGAGTGTGCGACTTCGATGATGACGCTCAGGTATTGACGTCCTCAGACCTAAATGATGAGTTCAGCTTGCACCTACAGTCTTATCAACTGTGATGTTAAACGCGTTACTCTCGTAGTGTCCAGTGGTGGCGGTAAAAGTGTCCATTATATCAAGTTTTGCTCCGTTATGTCAGACATAGTGTCTAAGACCTAAGCATTATCAAAGAGGTAGAAGTTATGTAGTTGATTATCTGTTAAATGATAAGGAACTGCACCAGCTCTAGCCTGAATCTTCCATGGAGGAACATAAACAAACTTGTAAACACACTTAGATTCAGTAGAACTACTTCAAAGAAATGGGGCACAGAGATATCATTCCATACTAAAGGCATTCCTTTCATAAGCTTCAGATATCACTTGGTGCTTGTTGAGGCAGGAGTAGTGTAGCGCTTGCCAGCTATAGAGCGGTCATTTCCCTGGTATGAAATCCAATCCAACCTGTGCTTATATCGTGCACAACCACTTCTGTCATCATCCGGTACCTGTTCCAGAATTACGTTCACTTCATCCTCTACAATGAAGGCCGTGGTTATGACGGAGGGGGTTGAACACAGTTAGGCAAGATGTGTCGTGTTAAAAAGCCGGTTGCCTGTATCTGTCGTTCCTCTACCAGTGAACTTGTTCTCAGAAAGTCGAAGCGCAACCAGGTCTAATTGCGGGTCCTGAGCTAGGGATTGGAGACCCCCAGTCATGCACTCGGCCTGGATGACGCCTGCCACTACCACGAGATGAACTGTAGCGTGTATGTCGCGAATGTGCTGAACAAAATCCACGACTGTTTTGCCACTGTTCACTACAGAATCCACAAGGATTACGGTAACCTTTCCCTTTACATGATCTTGCAAAACGTCTCCGGGGCAGCGGGCATGGAGGAACATGGCTCGTGGGAACGCTTCATTAACGCCAAAAGCCATGGGTTCCCCACCACGCATTAGCGCAACAATCAACGTTTGGCCCTCGTGAAGAAGTCGGAAACCGCTTGTGGTATGACCCTGCACGTGCTGGATAGGGTACTCTTGGATGCCGATCAACTGGGCGAGAAGGTCTGTTGCTAGGTACCATCCGACGCGGCCATGGAATTTTCGTAGCTCGGGCCCAGAAACTGCTGCATCTCGCATCGACGTCATGAGCAACTTTGCCGCGTTCCTATCACCTGCGTGGACAAGCTGGGTAGTAGCACGGCGCTTGCGGACACCCAGCAGCTCGTCAACGAAGCCACGATCCGTGAGCTGGATCAGTGGCAGCTTGAGGGTGCTTAGACGTGGCTGTACATGGCTCGGAAGTAGAACTTGATGCGCTCGAAATGCGCCATGATCGATAACATCCTTCAAAGCGGCGTCCATGGTTTTGCTCCTCGTCTGCTCGTCACCCGTCACGATGATGGCTCGGTCCGCATTCCTGAGCATGCCCAAGTCCAGCACACTGTCTCCGAAAGCCCAGACAAACATGTTATGGAGCTCTTGTGAACGTGCGACTAAGGCGGCCTTTACTGGACCTGTGACAACATATCCATCCGAGATCCGCCCCCCTGCGATAACCTTTACACTATCAGACAACCCTGCTCTTTTCAGCACTATCTCCCAAACTCGGCGCAGCCCACAACTAACGACCACCGCGCGAACGTGATCCTGCCGAGATACTACTTGTAGCAAAGAGACGAATTCAGGGTGCATGATCACCGCCGATGCTACGTCTTGACAGATTGCATCGTACTCCAGGTCATCTGCCGCTTCTTCGTAGAGCAGGACAGCTTGGCGAAATGCATTGTACGAGTAACCTAGCGGACTGCTAAACAATGCTCTCAATGGACAGCCAAGGTCTGGTGACTGTTGCGATAACCTCAGCTGCTCCCAGAACATCATACCAGTGTCTGCTGTGGCTAGTGTCTTATCGGCGTCAAGAACTAGTAGAGTGTCCGGTTGTCCCACTTCAGCAGCGACGGCTTTCTCCAATGCCATCTCAGCTGCATGCATGTTTTGTTTCTCGGTATGTTGCTGGAAATTGCGTAGTAGTGAGGAGACGGTGCTCAGAAGGTCCTTCTCGTGGTAGACGTGTGATAACAATATGTTATTTTCGCGGCAGAGGCGGAGCAGCTGGCTCTTCTCCTCCACCTGCCACTCGTTCAATTGGCTCACTGTCGTAGAAGGGCGATCTCTTGCTGTGTCGCCTGACCGCCGTTGTAATACAACGTTGGGAGGAGTATCCAGATAGATGATATGCGTGTAATTCTTTAAGTCGCTCTGGGTGCATACCAATTGCCCTGCACTTTCACCCTCATGCCACAACATGAGATGCCCAGCTACAACGGCAAGTTTTCGGTCTTCTAGGCAACTCTGCTTGATCTTGTTTATGGCTAACTCGCGCCAGTGCTTCTTCTCCTCTTCTTCCAGCTCATGGAATGCACCAAGACCGCCAGGCACGACCGATGCGATGACCTGTGACCCATCCCAGAACATGAAGGGCTCTTTCTCGAGTCGTTGTCTGAGTTGGTTGATAAGGAACGTCTTACCGGAGCCAGGGATTCCGTAGATACCAACGACCATGGCTTGGTGGTCGCTAGCAGGGCTTGTAATAGCGGACATTGAGTCGCATCTGGTGTGAAGCTTCATTGTGGTAGTGTCGGTCGGGGTGGGTGAGAAAGTCTCCATTCTGGGTCAATATCGTGTTCTCTGGCTGACAGAACCTGTCCAGGCTTTTGCGCCATATATGGTGATTTAATGTACTCTGTGCAGCTGAGATACCAAAGGTCCCGATTTGTCGGAAGAATAGATAGAGCTATACGCTAGTACTCAGTTGGGCGAAAATGCCTAGGGTTACGGAGCAAAATATGCTGTGTCTTGTGCGTTCCTCCGGCTGTTCCTTGACTATGGTAGAAGAGGCCATACCAGCTGCAATCGCCGACACACTCGCTTGAACTGCGCTACGTCAATATTGTGCCGAAGGGCAACCTCGCTAAGCTTGTGGTCCTTCCTCGGGTTCACAACTTCGCGCACCTGGGCGAAACAAGGGTCACCACAAATGCGGGCCGTCGTTTGATACAGCTTCCAACGTAAGGTGTACTTTGTAATCATGTAGACATAGATAGAGGTATGTCGGAACCTGTAAGGTGGTAGACTTCGAATCGGAAACCCGTCGTATCGAGCTCGGGTGATGGTAAAGAAGACATCAGCCGTTTCGCTCAGTTTGAGCATAGGACCACTTGCGTTACGTCGTTCTAGTAACTCTTCGCGAAGCCGGTCTCGATACCAAGATGGCGGTGATTGTCGCTTTAGGCTCAGTTTGTCGTACCACTTTCTCAAAAGTACGTTTACCGGTGAACGCATGTTGGCTGAAGAATTGGTTGACAATGACGGTTCAATGCAGGTTTTGAGGGGAGCAACGGACCCTGCTGCCGGTACCGGTAGATCCAGGTTAACGGTAAATTAGAATGTTGCGGAGTTTCAGCCATTGTTGTGCCCTCTACTCGCAGCAACTATCCAGCAACGTGGGTTCACCGGAACCCTTTTTACGGAGATGCGCGCCTACCAGGATGTAGCTGTACACAGCAGTTTGAATACGCAGCTTCACGCGATTGGTGCGTAAGATAGGTATACGTCACTTATCTTGGCAAGTAACGTCAAGTCTTTTTGTGCTGTCGACCGAAACGAATTACACTCGCTGATCGCCTCCACGAAGCTTTGAAAATGGTGACTGATGTGCCAGACTAGGGGGACCGATATGAGTGACAGGGGTTGTGATCCGCTATTCGGAAGGGTTGTTTCCTTGCAAGGCCGGCCTACTTGTCCCAATCTTGCTGTCTCACTAGATCGGAATGTGACGCCTTAGTTTCCTTTGGATATTTTTGGACAAACAGATAAGATTCCTGACTAGCGCCTTGAAAGAGTTAGCAACATGCGAAGCTCGCTGAGGCATGTCGAGTCTTTCCTCTTTAAACGTAATGAATAAATTCACTATTGTACTATTACGATGCGCAAATCAAATTGTTACTAAGTTCTATAACCTGTAAGGCGTATTTGCCTGCAAGAATTGCAAGCTTGTTTTAGTGAGTGTTATGGAGCTATACTTATAGAAGAATCGCTCGTCTTGATATCTACTTAGTACTGTGGACTAGCTTGCTAAAAGCTTTACTAGAGTAGTCATAAGGTGGATTGCAGAGATCCTCTTTACAAGACGAACTAGATCCCTGATTGGGATCGTACTAATCAGAAGCTAGCATGGGCAACTGGAGAAGCTTCTTAAAATTTGCATAATCTCTTTAGATCTAGCAAGTATCTTTTGGGAAATACACTAACTGTTGATATTACACAAATGGCTTAAAACGAGGGTAAGATATATAATAAAGATATTACGTTGTTTTTGCTGGTGTGTTTACTATCTGCGACTGGTGATTATATAAGTCTGATCTTGTTTAGCCTCCGGTGATCTTAGAAATCTAATTAGGACGCTGCGTAGTCTACCTAAGTCCTTTAATTAATATGTTAACGTGAGAGTTAACGACTGAGAGTTTGACGTTGTTGCACGTAATATAATTGTACTCCTGCTAATCTTCGTATCTCTAGATAATATTTCCTTAGACTCTACTTCGTATAATTCTGTTATAGAGACTCTTATTTATGTGTGGTATTCTGCATTTGTTACTTAAGCCTTGATTTCATCGCTGTAGGATAAAGTTGGGGCCTTACTGCGAAACAGCTATACTTACTCTACTTAAATAACGGATGGTAGCATAGTTAAGAAAACCTAGTTATCTCAACGAGACAAAGCTTTATCTATTACGCATTGGGCGAACTAGTGGCTGAAGATCGAAACGTTCCTTCAGGTACCTACTGCTCTGCCTATGGAATCTGCTTAGAAGATCTGAGTAGCTGTGGTGATGTCTCCTGAGAGGGCTGATTAGAGATAGATAGTATTACAAAGATGCACACCTATCTAAGCGCCTTGCTAAGCGGATATTTAGGGTTAATAGTTTGCTACTTTCCTCTAGCTATCTGCAGACTAACTCAAATGTTCCTAATCTGTAAGTCGCACTACTATATCTTGTCAATTAACTGATAATATCTAGAATAATGTTCTAGTCAGGTTCTTAACTATTTGACGACAGGTCAGATCTAATGGCGGGTTAGAATATCATAGAAGTCTATCGAACGATATAGAGAGCTTCACAGGACATGTATGGGAAGTTGTTCGCATACCTACGCAAAGAGTTCTAAGCATTCTTCCAGCGTATGGTTACTCTTAAGATCCACAATCAGCTCTTGACCATCGACGCGAAGATACTGCCTGAGCTCCTGACGCCGGAATCGTACGGAAGAATCGATGTAAGATTGCCGATCACATTATGTACACTCCTGATAGGGTCCACAGGTCGCGAACAGATCGGACGCGTGCTACATGGGACCTCGTCAAGTTCTGTCCTTATGTGAAAACTACTGATAGGAGCAGGGTGTACACCGCAAACTTTTCAGCGAACCTGAAATGCGCATACTACGGGGAACTGCCCATGAATCTCCAGTATATACCTGAGACTCTCGCAGTCGTGGGACAAGGCGTGTCAGCGCCGAGTTTGATGGAAATTTGCATTCGCGGAAACCAGTGTCCCGGGGGATTTTTCCAAGGCTGCAGGCTCGCGGAATGGGGTACCATTTAGTGGAAGCGTCGAGGGCATAAGGTAGCGCACCCACCCATGGCCGCTCCAATCAGGTATTACGCAGATACCACGGCCCATCGCCTGGGAAACAGAGGAGCCTTTTAAGTGTGACCTTTTGTCCTCGAACTAACATTCATAAAATGAAACGTAGCTTATTGAATCAATGCTTCATTTTAATTTTCTATTGCGTGAGGTCTGGCACCTTCTTCACTTCCGCGTCAGCTGATCTGGTCCCTATTGTGCTTCTAGATAAGACCTTACCTGCGGAACTTTAAGGTCAGTCGTGATGGCTGGAAATCTAGGGGCCTTGGTCTGCGTCTGAACGCTAGCGATGGTAACGAATTATGTGGCTTTGAGGCGGCTCTCAATCAGGGGCCGAACAAGCAAGAGTTATGTTGATTTAACTACATTTTTTGTTCTCAGCAGAGATCGCGTCCCTCCATGGGCGCTCCGTAGAAGTGGCTTGCGTCTTGTTCGCAAGCAGTCTCGTTAGAGAGCAGTTAGTCGAAATGTATCGTCCTGGTCCAGTGGATCTAGACGTGGCTAAGCAGATGAGAACTTTTACGCCCAACTTTGTGAAGTCAAGAAAGAGTGAATATAATTGTATATATTGGTGAGGCCTGCTATTGAGTTTGGTCTGTGGAAATTTGCTTCAGTCTTCGCGGCCTTCAAAAGCCATCACGGTCTTTCTCCACTGCTTGCTCCTCCTCACCCTACGCTCCACAAAGCATGTTCAAGACACTCGTTTTTGCCCTCCTAGCCTTTCCCATCATTGAGGCTCGCATATCTCAAGATGGAAGATGCGGTGGTTGAACTCGCGATACCTTTCTAGGATCTAAATTCGGAGATTGTTGCAGGTCAGTCACGTTCGGTAGCGAGATTCTGCCAACAGCTCACAAGTCGTTTTAGTCAATACGGATGGTGTGGTAGCTCGAAGGACCACTGCGAGCGAGGTCGCCAGTCTGTGCTTGGCTCATGCAAGGGTGCCGTCTCGTCGTCTGCAGTTAGGGTGTCGGTCACGCCTTTAGTTCGCCCGTCATCGTCCACGCCTACCTCTTCCCCCACGTCGATTCAATCTCCTTCGACACCAAAGAAGCCCACAAATTCTTGCTGTGGATTCTCTAACAAAGCCTCCCCCGGAGGAATGACATGCTCCGGTTCGCAGTGGGGCAATTGCTGCAAATACGTCTTGTGATGCGTTTGGCACTTCGTCAGTGACAACATTGCCTAGTCAGTACGGCTACTGTGGGAGCAAAGATGCCTACTGCGGCACTGGATGCCAGGCAGGTTTCGGAACTTGCGATACTAAGCCTTCTTCGTCGAGCCAGAATTCTTCACTAGCTATGTCGTCTCCAGCAACGTCGGAGATGAGCTTGAGTGCCGTATTCTCTACAGTTGCCTCATCTGCATCCATCGCCTTATCAATCAGTTCCGACAGGTTAGCCTCTGCAAGCTCAACGCCTGTGCCTCAATCACCATCGAGCTCGGCACCTACATCGTCTCCAACAGCATCTCCGAATAATAGTCTCATGATTTTGTCGTCGTCAAGCCCAGCCGTTCAGTCTTCTACTGAAGTAATAACATCTGCATCTTCCTCAGCATGCTTCCCTACGCAGCTCACTGGACCGTATGTTCCATTTGGCCAGTGTGACATTGCAGGACGTCCAAGCGGCGTCGTTCCCGCAATGGCATATATGAGTGTCGAAGACACCCTGCCTGCCTGCAAAGAGCTGTGCCGGACTGCGAGTCGTATGCGTTTTATGAGGTTGGGTGTAAGGTTTGAGGGAAGACTACATGTTTCAATGTGTGGATTTAGTAATGTTAATGTTAATGTAATGTTGTGGGATTGAGGAATTATCTCAGGTGAGTGGGGGGATGCTGAAGAATGCTTGTGGTGAATCCAAAATCTCTCTTGGAGACCTACTTATACTTCACCATTGAACGGCCCGCGTCACACATCCGTGATGGGGTTCGAAATGCAAACACGGAACTGCCTGGTGCAAGCGAACTCGAAGTAAGTCTGTCTCAATTGCTAGGCTGATAATCTATAGCCTGCAGGAATACCTTCAGGGGCCATTCGAGGCCTGTCTCTGGGTATCGCTTTTCTCCCCGTGAATATAACAAAAGAACATCGTCTACGGCACCAATGCACGATCCAACCATGCATAATGCTGACAAGCGGCGTGTCACCAGCCCAGCGACCCAAAGGGGGCGCCAAAGTTGGATGGGGGCGTTTTGAGAATGACACCATCGACTTCCTCGGTCATTCCGGAACGATGTGAATCCGCGGATCCCTTGCGACTGAGTGGCATGCCATCCTCACTTGGCATTTCGGTGACGCTCACGGTCGGACTGGTGATCTTTGCCGGCTCGTCAGGAAATTCGCCCCTAAGCTCTGCCTGCTGCCTCGAGATCTTGCTAAGTACTGCATCCAGCTTGCTCAATGGGATGTGGCCGTCGTCTGCGCCATCCACGGGGTTCGTGGGGAGTGTCAAGGCACCCGTCAGGCCCTCATCTGCATCCGGTGTAGCCGCTTTGTCGTCTGCCGGCGCCTGTGCTTGTTCGAGCGGAGCGGCTGGCACTTCCATTGCAGGCGACAAGGCGCGCGGGATCAGGGGCGTGTGGCCGGCATGGAGCCTGTTGGCTTCCGGGAGGGGCGAGAGCAGCGCGTGTGTGGTCGTCGGGGACAGCGGAACCTCATCGTTGAGCTCGTGCGAGGCCATCTTGGCCGGCAGTGGGATGTGAGGGTTGAGGAGAGTGCGATTCTGGCGCCTCTCGAGGAGTGATGCCATGGGAGGCGTGGGCTGCAGGATATGGGGTGGTGAGGCAATGGCCGGGTAGCCGTGGATGAACTGTGCCTTCTCTGTCAACATGTCGTCGGGCGGCGTCGTGGTGTTGTGGGGGGCGGCGAGGAGGATTTCAGGACGAACGAGGGTGCACTGCATCAGTCCTGCCCACTCCGTCTGGGTGCCCGCCTCTACATATGCCGGCATCATGGCGATGGGCGATGGGCGATGATGTCGCTGCGCTAGTGCTCCGGGCGAACGTCAGCTTAGGCTCGAGGAATTGTGGGCCGGTCTGCCTGCTCTGGTGCTAGTCTCGGGTAACGTATGCAAGGGCGCCGGTGGTGGTGCTGTGGGAGCGGCGAGGATGAGGGAGGCGTGCTGGGCGCGTGGTGGCGGGGGTGGGATGTGCTGCGGCGGTGGTTGCGAAGCGAAGGATGTCGAGGCGGGCGAGGGTAAAGCTGCAGTGGGTGGTGAATGTTGTTTGTTAAGCGTTGGCCCATGTTTGTGCTGCAGGCGGGCGGGCGGGTGGCATGGATCTGCGCGACAACACCACGGCCGACGTTTGGAAACGGCAGCGACGGGCGCGGAGGCGACGTCATACCTTCATTCCGTACCTTGTACCTGCGTGCGCAAGAGCGTCTCGTTGGTCCTGGCGTCTGACCAAAGCCTAAATTGCCGCAAAGACCACCAACGCAACGACGACATGTATCTCTTCTTTATCCCGCCTCGCCATCGCTGATGCAGCAGCCATGGCCTGGAGTGGTTCTCGTCAAGCCACGCGGGCAAGCGTGTGGATCTGCCCGCGGCACGTCATCATGCCTTCTCTTGGCTCCTCATGCCTCGTGTCGAACACCGTAGTCCGCCCGTATGAGAGTCGGTGCTCCCATCATCGTCGCAAACGTTAGTAAATCGGTCGGTGAGCAGAAAGTTGATGTGCCAGCGGCAGCGGCAGCGGCAGCGACAGCGACTAAAAGCATCGTCTCCTTGCAGCGTGATTGCAAGGAGTCGGAGCAGCTGACCTTCACTCCCGCCGTGGTAAGCATGGCGAGAGGGGTAAGTGACCACGCCGCAGAGACTCCAACGACGCTTGCTAGGCTTCCAGAACCGCTAGAAGTACCGTGGCTGTTGATGATGTCTGTCCGTACGTATCGATTGAGCCCCAGGCCTCGACTTCCAAGGTTCCGCCCTCCTCCGCAACTCACCACCGTCCAATCAAGTCTACACAGTTTCCCCCCCTCCGCGTATCCCACCCCGTTTCATCTTCTTGGAATTCTTGCGCAAACTCTCGACTTGAGTCGTGACACTGTAGCTCGGTGAAAGTCGACGTCCTTTTCTTGGTACACTAAGAAGCGCAAGACAACGGCACAAAAGGTCACGGCAAGAGAAGGGCCTTATCCGGGCGCCACAATGACGGCCACCAAGCATGCCGCCAACTCGCCAAAAACTAACCAAGCACAACTCGATCCCATCATGGCGGCGCAAAGGCATTCGACCGACTTGCGGAAGTTTTCCATACCAGTCGCAAACAGTATGAACCCGTCAGAGGAGGAGCTCTTACCCTTTCCGGAGCCCGAGGTGTCTTGCATGCCGCTAGAGCATAAGCCTGGCGCGAAGATCAACTACACGTACTATCCCGCGTCAGCCCGGCAAGGCCACAGCAATCCCTTCTCGCAGACCTTGATTGTTTACTTGAACGGATTGATGCTCCCAAGAAGCTCTTGGGACGCTTCCATTCAGAGCTTCCTGGAGAAGAGATTAGTGGGAAGGTTACCGTACCCGGGCCTGCTCAGCTACGACCGATACGGGCAAGGCGAATCCGACCGCGATCCCACTGACAAAGACCCACCGCCATGTCACGGCCACGATTGCGTATCCGCTGTGCAAGACTTGAAGCAACTCATCTTGCAAATATGGAGAGACCATCTCGACCCCGCCAAGCCCACACACTTCCCATGTCTGATATTCGTCTGTAACAGCATAGGATGTGCTTTGGCTAGACTATTCATCCAACTGAATCCAGGCACCGTGTCTGGCCTATTGTTCCTCGACAGCATCATGGCAAATTCAGACCAGCAGTCATTCTGGCCGGACCCAGACGCGCCCGACTTCAACTCGCACACACTACCAGACGGCGTGACTGCAGCTGAAGTACGCGAAACAAGACGAAAGTACAAAGCAATGTTTCACCCTGACGTTCCCAACATGGAAGGCCTATCAAGACGCAACCTCGCACAGCTCCTCCCGTATGATGACGCGCCCAAACTCGAGGGCTATCTAGGAAAAGGACCATACCTTACCGTCGTAGGCCACGACTGGGAAACATTTGCCGAGCAGTCATGTAAGCTCTTCTTCACTTTTTTTCTCCCGTACTATCCCCCTCTAACCCCATCTCAGTCACTGGAACTCTCCAAATCCCCAAAATCCTCACAATGACATACCACAACCCTGCATGGCGGCGCTACAACGAAGGCCTGACCCAACTCACCGACGAAGGACGAAGTATAGGCCCCATTGTCGCTGTTGACTGCGGACACTTTATTCAGAAAGACGGGCCGGGGTTTGTGTCGGATGAGTTGGTGAGTTTGTTGGATCGTGTGGTTAATCGCGTGGAGCAGGTTAGTGAGCGGGGTGGGACGTAGGGTGCGGGTTCTAGGGGAGGGAGGTAATGTTGAATGTAATTTTTTTTTGTTGAAATTCGAAAGGGTGAGATATGTACAAATACAAGTATTTTGAGATGGCGAAGGGGGGGGTTCTCTGGGACACTTTTATCCAAGGATTTTGGAAATTTAGCTTCAAAGAGCGTCAAATATCCAAGTCCGCCCTCTTTCCCCTTGCCATCCCAACTCATCACCCTAAAACCCCTCCATCTCCCCCATGAAATCATCTCCATCTTCATCCTCCTCCTCCTCCTCCTTTCTTCTACCCCCTAAGCTCCCCACCTCGTCCCCACTCATCTCCACATCCCCATCCCCATCCTCGTCCCCGTCCTTCTCCCGCACCATCTCCCTCCTCTCCTCCTCCCCCAACCCCGCCTTATCCGCCGCCTCCATCCTTACCCGCAGCGGCCGACTCTGCATATACGACTCCAAATAGCTCGCGCCCAGACTACTCGGGTACCCATAGCTCCCGGCCTGGTCGACGTCGTCGGCGCCCGAGCCGCGCAGGCCGCCCACATACGTGTCGAACGTGTCGTCTTGGGCTAGTTGGGGTTGCGATAGCGGAGCGGGCGAGGACACCAACTCGCTATCCGGCGCGAGGGAAGTGGGCGTTTCGACGAGTGGTTTCGTCGGGGATATTGGGTGAGACATGGACATGGGCACGGTCGTCGACGTCGGCAAAGGCAGACTGTGATGCACCGTCTCCATGGGCACATGCGTCGGGCTCGTCAACCGCGGATCAATCAGACTGTCCAGGCTCGCCGTGCTGTTCGACGCGCTGGTCGCGCCGTCGCTGGGCTCCGCGACCAGATCCGCCGGCAGCACCGTCTGCCCGTCAATCACCAGGCTGACGCGCTTGCGCCGCGGTTTCGAGGCGTGCGTGCGCAGCGCGGATTTCTTGCTCGTCGACGACGAGGACGACGAGGTGCGTTTGGATTTCTTGGCGTCGCTGCTGGACATGGCGCACGCGTCGGGCGCGCTGCTGTGCTCGGGGATGGCGTCGTGGGCGTGGGTGTGGTGGGGGAGGGGGAGGGAGGGTTTCTTCCTTTCGTGCGTGGGGGAGGAGTCTCTTGCGTCGAGCAGCGGGAGGAAGACGGGGGTGACGAGGCCGTAGAGCTCCTTCTCGCGCTTTTGGACGCGCGTGCGTTTGGTTTTCTCTTCGCGCGAGGGCGTGGGAGGCGTGCTGGTGCATTCCATTGAGCGGTGGTGGGCTAGTAGCTGGCAATCGTCAGCTTCTCGAATGCATGCGGATGGGATAATGGAGTAGTGTGAAGAACTCACCTCTTGCTCATAACTCCGCAACTCATCCTGCCGCAGCTTGACATACTCGGCGATATCGCGCTCGAGCTGCTGACGCCTCAGCTCGACGCTCGCGGCCAAGGCATCAAGCTGCTCGCGCGAAAGGTCCCCGACCTCGGCCAGCTTCGGGTCGGAGTGTAGAAGCATGTGCCCGATCCCTTCCAAAAGTCTGTTCAGACAAATAAGAATAGTATATCTTCGCGACGCCTGTGCGCGCGTGTGTCAGTCGTACAATTTCACATCGCCGCGGCTTGTGGGGGGAAGAGGTGGGTGCACATTACATACTCTTGGCTGGGATAGTCACGACGCATGCGGAGGTCACATGCAGTAGCAAAAGCCCACTTCAGCCCATGTACAGAACCCGTGGCCACCGACGTTCTGCAGCGCGCGCGGCAAATGGTAAGCGAGAGGGAAGAGAGAGTAAGCAAATCTCTGGCTTTTGCACAAACACTTGGAGCGGGGCGGTTTTTTTTGCGTTCCGTTCACTCGTGAGGACTGCGAGATGCGCGCGGCCGAGCTAGGTCATTCGCGTGCCCCACTACGCGACGATTGTGCGTTCTAGAAGACGAGTCGGGGCGGAGGTTACACGCGTCGATGCTCACCGCAATCTGGCTGCGGTATCGAGCTTTTGTCCAGTAGGACGCGACAATGCTGTTGAGGACATCACGGCTAAATTCTCCTACCGTTTGCTTGCTTGTTCAAGATGAAGCTGAGTGCGTGGGGTTGCCAGATACGGAAATACCGGTGCGATCTGCATCGACGACCTGCATCTTGTTTGGAGACGTGGAGCCGGTCCGAGGAGTACTGTCCACTGTTTACATTCAAGTCGCAGCTATGTTGGGACCGTTTCGATGAGTTTGCATCATCTCATCACATCACATCCATAGCACACCATGTTCGCAATTTAGATCTTTCTTGATTCGTCGTGCTATCAATCTGACCACAGGCCGTCAACAGGAACACCCAAGCTCACGAATAGACATTAGGATACACCGGGCCCCAAGACTATGTATGACAAAGACAGTTTATACACAGATACAGAAAGGAGAAGATGAGTTGAGTTAAAGGTGCTTTGCGAAGGTTGAAGCGAAGTGTCGTTAAGTCGTGTCGGTCCAGCTCCAGCCCCAGTCGAGCTTGTTTCGAAGATAACGCAAGTAATGCTTCACCGGTGAACGCCAGCACCATGGGTTTCTCAATCTCCACTCCCACCGTAGTTGCTGCTTCGTTCCGACCCAAACAGATAGAAAATGCCCGCAGGCTGAAAGATTGACAGACAGGTACATAGGAGAGGTAGCGCTTACATAGACTAGGAAAGTAGGCTGTTAGCCATGGTATACGACACAAGAAGTGTGATTATCGAATAGAAAGAAATGTCCTAGGACGGGGAGGAGGCTAGGCACCAGCTCCATAGTTTGCTGCCTCCATCTCCGTCTCGTGACGGATGCGCTCGTTGCGCGATTCGTTCCGGGACTCATTGCGAGACTCGTTGCGCGACTCATTGCGGGACGCAGATCTCGAGCTGAGGGATCCAATGAAAGATGGCCGCGACTTAACGTTGTTGCTGCTGTGCCGTCCCTGCATCGAGTGCATGTGAAGGTGACCGACATCGTGTTTGCCTGTGCAATGTTAGCTTAACTCTTCCTGTCATATATGCAAATACGTACCATCGCAGCATGCGCGGACATTGACCATGTTGTCTAGATCGTGCTCAACATGGTCGTGGATGTCCCGGCTAAGCTCCATGTTGGCGTTGCTGGGCTCCTCGTACGTGGTGGACTCTTGTACGCTAGTTCTCCTGCGGCTCGAAAAGGACCCTCGCATTGCAGAGGTAGGTCGAAGTATGCTGCTGAATCGGCTAGATGCTGATCCATGGACAGGCTCCGGGGAGAACGCACGTGACTGGGATGGTCGGAGTGTAGGCACCTCGGCGTGGTGAGGCGATGCCGTCCGTCGGGTCATGTGCGATGCCATGGAGGCCCTCGACCGTCCAGTCGCTCGTGAGGAGCTGCGATAGCCTGCATTGAATTCATCCTGGATCTCGTCGCCAGACGTCGGTGCCTGCGGTGATTTTGGATCCGCACCCTCTTCCACCCTTTGGCACAAGTAGTTCAGTGCATTGAACCAGGTCTCGTGACGCTGACCTGTTGGTGCAGTGAACTTAATTGACCGTCCCGGGGTACCGATGATTAAGCTCTTCTGGTGGAGTCCCGGAGGCAGCGGGTTGTTGTCCTCGACCTCTCGGACAGACTCAATTGCGACACTCTTGCCCTTCAGTTCTGTCTTGCCAGCACTCTGAGGATCTCTGTCGCTCCAGTAGAGTGTTCTGGTGTATGGGTGAATCCAGAAGAATCGTCGATGACGATTCTCTGAGAGGCCCTCACGTCCAGTCTTACGAGTGTACTTCCACAAGTATTCACCAATCATGGTCTGGGTGATAGCCTGTATCATCCGAGGGTCGGTAGCACCGGCTGCCAAGCCGTTCGGGGTGAAAGATGGGCCGCCTTGCATGTTGAAGCGCTGATCCACCTCGGAAGTGAACGAAGACAGCGATGACCGCCGGCTGAGCGGAGAAGAGGCTCCACTTCGCGCAGACTGCCGACGAGCACGAGGAGTGGTGCCTCCAGCCCTTGGCGTCAACGTCGCACTATTTGTCCTGATTGATGGTGTTGTTGGTCGCTTCTTATAGGCCGATGCGGGCATCACGGGCGGTCCCATTGCTCCTACAGTGGGCGAAGGCGGGGGAAGACTCTTAGCAGCTGCAGCAATAACCTCCCTGTGGTCTGCTGGGAGAGGCGGCGGCGATGCTGCTCGGGATCGAATGCTGCCGGAGCTGCCAGGCCTGCGAGGGGTGCGACCTTCATTCGAGTGTCTCCTGCTCGGAGAGGGTGGGGGAGACGCAACCTTTTCAACGCTACTTGGAGTGAGTATGGCTGAATAACGCTGGTTCCGAGCAAGCAAAAGCTTGTCAATCTGCTCAGCGGAGACCATGGTTTGGGTTCCTCCATCGCTCATCTGTGGTCGAGCGCTCCTTGGGGCCAGGTTAGAGCTGATAGGGGCAAGCGGTGTGCGCGAATCTCGATCAGCGCCCCGAGACACTACATTATCGAACAAGCTGGACTCTGATGGCTCTATCGCCTGTGTGTTCTCCTCATCGTGCTCTACGGACGTGGCAGAGGTCGAAAAGACTGGAGGTAGTGATCGATGAGCCGTGGCAGGCCGCGAACCGTCGCGAGGCTCCGTATCCTGCGATGACACAAATGAGAGTGCAAGTTTGGGCGGCGGAAGTCGCTGAGCCGTTGGGGGTCGGGTTGGCGAGCGGCTGGGAGACGGCAGATGTGGTGGCAGCGTTGGAGACTCGGGATGAGCATCGTGCAGAGTTGTCACATTGGAGACGCCGTATTGAGAAGGGACAATCACGGATGGCTCCACGGGCTCCGTCTGCTGTGTCTCGATGTTTGCCTGCCGTAACACCTGCTGTCGCGGTGCAATAGGCTCGGTAGCAAGAGCAGAATGCATCGACATCGTAGGTGTCGCGGGTTTAGGAGGGTCGACCGGTTCGCTTACCTGTGCGGACACGGTCGACGAGACTGACAATGCTTGCATTTTTGGCTGCACGGGTACCGATGATTGCGACGTAATGGAGGATAGCTTTGGCAATGACTTCTTTGCCTCCAGGGGTTCCGTCGATTGAGACGACAGGGTTGATTTCTGCAAAGCAAGCGGTGCAGGGGCCTTCGGTTCATACGACCAAGACGATAGCTCTGATAAGTGCAACGATTGTCTATGAGGCGGAATTGGCTCAGTGGCATGCGAAGACAATTGAGAGAATTGCGAAAGAGCTCTCCTAGCACTGAGTGGCTCCGTTGCCTGGGTCGACATTCCTGAGAACGTCGAAGGTTGAGGTCGAGAAGCTGTTGGCTCTGTAGAATGAGCAGACACGTTGGACATCTGGAGTGGCATGTGTCTCGGCTGGTCTTGAGTACGGCTTTCCTGGCCGTCTGGCTGAATGGCGCTGTCTAGTTGCTGAGGATTGCGTTGAGTCACAGCTGAGCTACCCAGGTCGCTTGGCTCTGTCGACTGGGAATGTATTCCAGAAACGAGCAAACTCCCGGAAGCAAGTGCTCTCCCTGTGTTGCCTTCCCTAGGCTCGCTACTCTGGTGCACGATACCCGAAACACCCATAGATAGGGCCCTTGAGTTGTCCTGGGTAGGTGCAAGTGGCTGTGTCTCGTTGGACACAAGACCGGACATGCCCATAGCTGGCACCGCTAGATGTTGAGGCTCTGTTTGGTGCATCGAGAGAGAAGACATGCTCAGAGCTGGAGTCGCCGCGTGCTGAGGTTCGGTGTGATGCATCGAAATAGAGGACATGTCGAGTGGCACAGATCGTGCCGCCTCTGGCAAGGTGTTCTGTGAGGACACGGATGACACTCCGAGACGTGCCGCAGGAGCTGCTTCAGGCACGCTCTCGTGGGCAGAAAGAGAAGAGAAAGTTAGTGGCGCCACACGAGGAGCCTCGGGCTGAGTGCTATGTCCGGAGACGGTCGAGACGGTAAGAGCAGGCTGCAAGGAAGCCTTTGGTAGGGTCTCCTGCGCAGAAACTGAGGACAAACGGAGGTCTGGTCGTGGAGCACCCTGAGGAATCGTATTTTCGGCAGAGAGCGCGGAGAAGTGTAGACTGGCTGGTCGAGGCACCTGCGGCTCGGTGGCTCGTGACTGTATCGTAGACAGACCTACAGCTTGTCGAGGCTCGGGCTCTGTCATCATGCCAGAGTCAACCATGACCGACTTGACTGTCTCTGCCTGCCTCTTCAGATGTTCTGGGGACGACTCGCGTGAGTACACCACGCTTGATCGGCTTGGTGTTCCTTCACCGACGCTACTGCCGTCCTCATCCCCACTCAAATCGTTTAATTCTGCGAACAGACTCTTTCCTTGAGCTGGCGTGTTCTCACGGCTGTTACTGGCAAAGCTAGCTGGTGATTCGACCGCAGGGCTGCTGGCATGGAAATCCAGACTTCCTTTCGGAGTTCCGACACGAGATCCGCTTGCTTTGGACCTGAGTCGGAAACGCGAAGGCTGCTTCTGAATCGGGGTCTTGAATGCCAAGTCGTCGAACTCGTCACCAGAGGTGGAAGCTGTACTCTCGTACGAATCCTGGTGTTTTCTTGGGACGAGCGTGGAACGACTGCCTCGATTTGTCACTGTGGAGGGCCCAGCTTCAGTTTCAGTCAACTCATCGCTGCTACCACCGTCGAGTGTCTCGGCTCCAGTCAAGAATGCATCGGTCTCGGTAGTTGTGCCGTCACGTTCGTTTGCGGTCTCGAATGCAGCGTCTGAAGTCTCGTTGGCAGTCTCGAAGCCTTCGTTGGCACTGGTCTCGGCTGCGGAGCTGAACCCACCGGAGAAGGCACCAGGGACATGCTCTGACCTGGGACGTCGGCTGGGCGTAGCTTGGACACCTTCTTGCTCTTCCCAGTCTTCCTCGTCCTCCACGATCTCGTGAGTACCGGATCGTAGGGCACCGAGGCGATCGGGACGAGCTGGCTTTTTGAACAGGTCCTTGTCTGTCTTGGATCGTCGCTTGCCTGCGCTTCCTGGCCCGTTAAGTGCACCGCGGTTGGTCTCGAGCTCGTCACGGGCATCCTGAAGCATGCGCTTGAGCTCAATCTTTTCGGTTTTTTCGCGGTGGATGTTGTTCTTGAGCTGCTGGATCATACGATGTGCGTGTTGAAGGGAGTGCTTCAAGGTCTCTGATTCGAGCATACCGTGGCGTGGTGTAGCTTTGCTTGGCGATGGCGGGGGTGAGTGTTCAGGAGTCAGAGTCTCTCGCTCCTCCGTACCGTCATCTGGGGAGGTATCCTCAAGTGCGATTTGCTCATCGACCTTCATGCGGTAGGCAACGGCCTTTGCTAGCTCCTGGTTCTGGTTGGACAGTTCCTCGACCTTGCGCTGCAGAGCGTTCTTCTCAGTTTCAGTCATGGCCACATTACGGCGCAGACTTGTCAGCTCAGTCTCGGTCTGCTTGGTTTTGTTGATGTGGTCATCGCTAAGTTTTGTGAATTGTTGCTTCAGGTCCTCGAACTCTCGTTCCAAGGTAGATTTTTCGGTCCTTAGCAGATTCAGGGAATGGTTTAGGCGATTCTCCCTGTCCGCAGCTGCCTTGGTGAGCACTTCTGACTCGCGAACTTGTGTCTCTAGACTCCAGTTGACATCCTTGAGGCGTGACTCGCTTTCGTCGACAACCCGCAAGCGCTGCGACAGGCCCTCAACCTCGATCTCGAGCTGCGACCTGTCGAGATCGGCGGCCTTGAGTGCATCGTCCCTTTCGAGCAAGACGGCTTGCAGCTCCTTCAGCTGCGAGAGCAGAGAAGTGGAGATCTCGGTGGCCAGCGCAATGTCATTGATCCTGCTTGGCTGCTGGTTTCGTTGTTTCCGTGACGGTACGCTGACCTTGGTGGGCGAGTGTTGGGCTTCGCTGGAGTAGACGGATTGTCCGATGGCAGAATCGGCCTCTCCGCTTGGTACGCGGGACTTGGGGAGGAAGGCGCGAGCGGTCTCTCTGCCAACCTCGTTGAACTCCTTCTCCAACTCGGCGAGTCTTTGGCGCAGCTCGGGCCCCATGTCGCTCTCCTGCTGTTGCTGTTCGACCTCGTGTAGCTTTTCCTCTAGCTCCCGGCGCTGCTGCACGAGCGCATTGCCCAAGTGCGATGTCTCCTGGAGGCGCCGCGTCGTCTCGGACAGATGGGCTTGCAAAGCCCGCTTCGCTTGTGCCGGGGAGCCATTTAGGTAGAGGCTGAACTGGGAGTTGTCGAATGCTGCGTAGCGCTGTCGCTGGGCACCGTGCGCACCCGCGACGAAAGGGTCGGAGCCATTGGGGTGTCCCACCGCGAGCGCGCCCGGCGGCGGATTTGCTGTCGACATTAGTAATTCCACAGGCGCGGTGCCTAGGATTCCATTGCCTTTGGGTGAGCCGCTTGGTGGTGTGGGCAGGCGGTCCTGATGGCGATGCGGGAGTGGGGAATCGTCCGCGGGAGGTGGAGCAGTTTTGTCACCAAAGGCCAACAGTGACTGCGAACGGGTGGCGGGATATTATTAGGACGCGAGCGATTGTGTGTTTCACTCGGTCAGGGTGAGGGTGAAGTGTGTACAAAGCGGAAGAGGAGGTGCAAGGGCTTGGCTGAGGGCGACGCGCGGGTTGGTCTCAGGCAACACGGCAGCGGCTGCTCGCACTTGAACGCGTTTCTGGTCCGTCACACAGAAATAGACGAGCACAAGCGCATCCCCAAAGAAGGAGCACTGAAGAAGGGCAGGAAACGAATGAAAGAAATGCCAGGCGGGCGGAACGGTGACGATGGAGGCAGCGGGACAAGATGAGATGATAACGGGAGTGTTTTGCATGAACGGACGAGTGAGCCCGTGCACTAGCCGGGGTGGGTGCGTGAGATTCGTTCGCCCAGTTGGAGCACAAACATCAACAAAGCCGTGCAAGCCAATGAATCGCGCCCTAGAACTCTACCATGACTACCCACCCTGCGAGTACTTACGTCGACGATGCTGCAGGCAAGCATGCCCCTCCTACACCGCGTCTAGGCCGGGGATGGCTGTTTGTTGTTGCGATTGGCCCTAGCATCTGCAGGCGCAACGGCACCACGTCGACTGGAATGCGTCTCCACCTGTAGCCCGGCTGGTAGCAATAGGACTCCGAGATCGTGATCCGGGTATTTGCAGGTCCAAAAAAAGCCGTGTTGCACGTCTCCTACGCGTCATTGCAGTTGCAAAACATTTTCCATCATGTTACAATGGTTGAAGTATACTTATGAGTGGGAAAGGGGCACGTGTTGCTCAGACATATTTCGACAACCTTAACATACACAGATCCTCGGGGAAATCCTCGGTGGTACGTATCACCAACTGCGCTCAGACACGCTTCCCAACTCTTTACGAAGGCTCTGGTCAATCTCGTATATGACGCCAGCACTGCGTTGATCGTCACACCCGTCGCATGCGGAAGTAACAACCTGCGCCACTTCCCCAGATTCATCATTAGTAATTGGTCAGCCACAGCTCGGCTCCAACTTTCTACTGCGCAACCACAGCTACTTCGCACTTCATACACACGACATAATTCTCTCAACACACACCATGGAAGCTCCAGTAGTCAAGTTCAAGAAACGAGGCGCAAAAGCCGCACCGCGCAAGGCCGCGCCGCCACCTCCACAGTCAGATTCGGATTTCTCGTCAGGCTCCGAGGCAGAGGGTGAAGACGGCCGTGTAGTGAAGCGGAGAAAGACCAACGGCAATGCGCTCAAAGCCTCGACTGCAGATCAGAAGATGGGGTCGGGAATCGAAGGCACAACCAAATACGAGGCTGATCGCTCAGCTGTAATAGAGGCTAGCAACGACGCCACGAAGCAGTCGAATTGGTACGACGAGAACGCAGACGGCACTTTGAACTCGAAGAGCCTCCTCGGAACAACGCGCACAAAACCGCAAACTATCATCGAAAAGAGCGCCGACGCGCCGCCCCGACAAGTCGGCCCACAGAAATCGTCGAGCAATGTACGGACAATCACAATCACAGACTACACACCCGACGTGTGTAAGGACTACAAACAAACCGGTTTCTGTGGTTTCGGCGACAACTGCAAGTACCTACACGCTCGTGAGGACTACGCAGCAGGTTGGAAGCTCGATCGTGAATGGGAAATGTCAACAAAGGGAAAGAAACTCGAGGGCACAGTGGTCGCATCCGCAAATCGCGATGAAAAGGACAAAGATGACGACGGCATCGATCTGGCCATGTTGGAGAAGATACCATTCGCATGTCTGATCTGCAAGAAGCCATACAAGACGCCCATCATCACCAAATGTGGCCACTACTTTTGCGAGGCTTGTGCTTTGAAAAGATATCGCAAGGATCCTACTTGTGCTGCGTGTAATGCGAAGACCCAGGGCGTGTTCAACGGTGCGAAGAATCTTCAGAAGCTGCTTGACAAGAAGCAGAGGTGGGAGGACAAGAAGAAGGCAGAAGCAGAGGCGGCGGAGAAAGAGGCAGCAGGTGGCGAATGAGTCTTGTCATTCAATTGGTTCTCTTACCACACGATGCGAATCGCAATGAGGATGCGACCTTGAATCCTGTGCGGAACCTCTGTGCCTTCTCGAAAAATACCAACAAGCTATTACAGCACCCAGAAAGGCTTATTCCCGGACCCTGGGTATGTGCTTGGCATATTTACTGCACCTCACAAATATAGGGAACAGTATGAAAGGACAGAAGGATTGAGTACATGTAGACCACAGAATTCAAATACATCACGTCCAACATCAAAACTCACAATACAAAATGAGACGTTCCCTGGCTTTCTTCCTACGGGTACAGGCTGACGTTGAGAAGATTCACCACTGTGATATGCGCCTTTCTGATCATGCAATTTTGAGCGGCCTTCTCCGCAGAGGATTTGAATGTACAGTTCCTTCTTCTTAGAGCGAATGGTCTGAGGAGTGCCGAACTTCAAAGACACGAGCACCGTTGTATCTACAAGTTCTACAGGCCGAACCTATTCCTCTCTAACATAATTGACTTCGACAGATAAAGTAGTTCAAACCATGTCAGCAGCTGATCTGTCCTGGCACACGTGCACCATGCCGAGAGATCCAGGCAGATCAATCAAGACACATCCTCAACATAGAATCGAGAAGTAGAATGACAGTAAACTTTGTGTATTTTAGTAATTCATATCATCACCAACTGCCCACAACAACCACTCCCCGCGACCTCACTGCCCCGACCTCGGCCCCTCAGTCTCAAGCGCCGCCCCCGGGAAATTAATCCCATAGTCGAACATACTCCTGCCCGCGGGCACGCCCTGACACCCACCTCCCAGATCCTTCAGCGGCTGCACCGCGGGACCCAGCCTACTATCCACCGCGGCCAGCGCCGCCGTCAAAGCCGCGCCGCCGAGAAGTTTGCTCAAGAAAGACGGCGTATCCGCCTGCACCGCCTGCGCAATGAAGCACCCCATTTTCTTCGGGTCGTTGAGGTCCTCTGCGAAATTGATGAGCCCACCCGTGATGTCGCCCAGATTTACGCCCGAGAAACTGTTCACCGCGCCCGTGTTGCCGCCGACTTGGCAGTTGAGCGGGTACGCGGCGCACTGCTGGGCGGTCGAGATGCCAATGTCTGCGAGCGTCCAGGGGTCGAGGGGATGTCGCTTGTACCAGTTATCCGGAATCCGCTCGTAGCCGTATTTATACGTCAACGCACCCGAGGCGTCGCGCTTGTAGCTGAAGAAATCCATAAACACATCCTGCGTCAGGAATCCGCGTGGTGATTCGGCGCTGTGGTTGGCGAGCAGGTGGTACGCGAACATGTGCGCGCCAAAGGTAAACGCCACGCCAGCGTACGCCGGGCTGAAGTAGAAGGGGTTCGTGGCGATGCTGTGCTTCTTGCGGTTGTTCGAGTGCTCAGCCAGCACGCGCGGTGTGATGAGCCCGTTTGCGCGCGTGTTGGCGAGGTCGAAGAGCTCTTGCATGTATTGTGGGTAGGAGCGGCAGTTTGAGTTCATTTCGGGGGCGAGCCAGTCTCCGCGTGTTATACTCGCGTCACCCTCACTCCTGAGATGGCCGTAGGCGCAGATGCCTGTTTCGTTGCCGAGTGCGTCGCCAATGAGAGGGGGCAGGGAGGAGGTTTTGTCTGAGTGAGGGCCGATGCTCCAGCGCCCGGAAATGGGGTCGCCGTTGAAGAATGCAGTAGCCGTCTCGAGGAAGATGGTAGCGGTCTTGTCGAGACCGAAGGCTTGCCACAGCCCGGTGTTGATACTCGCAGCATCAACGACACCATCACGCTGGATGTAGCCGTGGTTTGCGGCGGCGTTGAGGCCGGCACAGGGACCGCGGATGTCTCCTGGGCCCGGGGCGCGCCACTCGTGCTCGCCAGTTGTGTTGACGAGTTGGAGGGCGGGGTCGAATTGGTCGAACAGGGCGTGGTTGGGGGTGCCTGGGTATTCTGGGAATGGGATGATCTGGGGAGTTGTTTGGCGCTCTTGGATACGCTTTTCTGCGACCATGCGGGCGATCTCTGGGAAGGCGGAGGCCAGGATCGTTGGCCCGGCCAGAAGGGCGAGGGATGTCTTCGCAAACATTGTAGGCAACAGTGTTGGAAGATGAAGGATGCTGCGAGGTGATCTTAGAGCAGGCCTGGTGTTTCTTATACGTCCTCTGCACCACGGATGCACATCAGTGCGGAATTAATGGTTATTTCCAAGCCTGCTCATACCCGAACTGGTCATCTCTGAACAAGTTCGAGTATCTTCTCATGGTGGTCGATCCGCTAGTACTTTGTTTGACCTTGGCGGTGTGTAACCAATAGCCTCGGTGGTAAATCATGGAGTACTACCACAGGGTAGTCGTATGACTATCCCCAGACAGCATTCGCCTCTGCCGATCAGCAAGGCTCACATGGCTACTTGGTATAGTTGCCAAGGCTGGTGCTACGAGCGACAGTGCGCCATCGAGGGATAACGGATGCCATCCGGTGATCAACAAAACAGTCGGACCCTGCGTTAGTTACAAAAGAAGCTTGGAAAGGATAGAGAGCTCTTTGAGGCCCGCTGGTTTGCCTAGTTACCCCGATGTAGTAGTGAAATGAACTGGAAATGGGAGATTTCGGAAGTCGCATGCTTTTCTTGGGAGCGAGTTGGGGATGAACAGAGGTGGGGAGTGCGGAAAGAAGATTCGAGGTCCCCTACAAATGCAACAGCTATCACACTCCCCGGACGTGGAATACGGAGGACTTCATTGTCTGGACTCATCAAGTACCGACTGGAAGTGTCTTGAGAGCTTCTTCAAGTCCATTCAGTCTGCTTCTGTGTATAGCAGTTAGTGATATCGCTCCGTGAACAGAGCAATGATTGACTCTTCAGCCCATTCGTTGCTTGAATTGCCCTACTCCCCACTCGCCCGGAGCTTGTGAGTGACTGCAGATCTCAAGCACCAAAGGTTGGGCTTCAGCACGCACAACTGGTACTTGACGGACAAATCCGTTGTAACTCCACGGCCTGTCTGCCAAGTGGCGCATATCCTCTAGCGATCACTTTCGTTCAACACACCATCCGTATGCGCTACAAACGGCAGGCCCCGTGTGGATCTGAATTTATGAGGACGAGCGGGGTGGCGTCCATGGCAAGTGTTGAATTAAGCTCGACAAAACCTGGGGTTAGTGTGGCGCTAGCGGCTACGACCCCGGATCTCGTTCACTCCGTGATCCAGACTGCCCCCTACTTTCCCAAAAAGTGTAGGAGACGATCGACGACTGACACTTCTTACATACAAAAAGCATTCTATTGGCTGTTTGCAGTAAGGTAGGGTACTGGGCGAGTCATCTGGCCTGCAGCTTCCGATGATACACGCGCTACTCTTGCTTGTAGATCTTCACTTGTACATTGCACTGGTTCTCTTTCCGAGGCTGCAATTACTAATCTTGCTCTCCCCGAGGTGGTGTAGCTCTGAGTAGCCGGATAATTGCCGAAGAAGAACTCGCCAATCAGCACTCTTGCTTACAGCTAAAGTCGCAGTCAAGGGGGACTTGTGAGTGAACCAACTTTCATCGTCCACCTGACTGAGAACAAACACAGTTGAGCTGCTGCTTTACGACCCAACCTCTCGTTTTTCCAGCCAAGTGCAGAAGCACACATAGAAAGTTGGTTAAGAACGAACGAAATGCAACATTTAATCTGTATAAACGCATCTGCTTCTGCTCCGCAAAAGTCTTCAGCCTCGCTACCATACTGCCTGTAAACTCAGCAATCGAGTCCAACTGCACCAGTCATACCTCCCCTCGTCCTCTCAAATTCCGCAAACTGTAAAAAAGCACCACGTCTTGGCGTGCTCCTCCCCCACTCCCCTTCTAACTGTTACCCGAAACATAAGCACCCGCTACTCCACGCGGTACAATGCCGTGGTCTAACGTCCGTAAGCCTCGCCCCCGCACGCCTACTCACAACTAGCCCCAGGGACTTCGCCGACTTCTCGCCTATCTGCTGTCACCTTGCTGAGGGGGGAGTTGTGTGTGATGAAGATAGGGTAGCAGGCCACTTGATGAGAATGCAATCGGCAATCGTAGTGTACGGACGTCAAAGAAATGTGTTCAAGTGCTTGGGTGCAAGGAAGCACCAGGGGTTCTGGCTCGATGTATGCTCAGAAGCCATGAGCTCCAGACAGAGGTTGGAGTAGAGTAGTTTGAGGTTTGACGACTGATCGGTCCGTGACTTGACAGAGGCACTCGTCACTTCACGCAGTTGGTACTGTTCGGCGTGAAACATGTGTCTAGTGCTGAAGTTGTGTTGTTCATGTGCATTCATGGAAGGATATACAACAGTGGCACATTCCCGCGATGCAATGCCAAATAGTATCGCTACAGATGATCATACATGTGACAGCCTGCTCTATACACGCCGTGGTCAAAACGCTGCTCATCGCTCGGCAAGCATATTCTTGACGCTCTTCCAGTACGGTTCTTCAACTACCTTCTGCAGCTCGTCCTTAGCCAGCCACTTGAAGTCCTTGTGGCCAAGCTTGTTCTCCTTCAGATTGACCTGACCCGCCATGATGCGTGCCTTCAAGAAAAAGGTCTTCGCGCCGTACTCTGTGAGGCCGGATGGGAGCTTTGTGGTCTTGGTGTATTCGATCTGATGGTGTCCGATGGGGACGTGACCGACGAGCCAGGTGTTCATGTTGGGTCCGCCGGCTTGAGTGATGATGCGCGATGCCGCCTGGTCGTTGGTTAGCATGATTTGAAGTAGAGGCAGAGCGTATGACATACTCCGTGCAGGTTTTCATCCTTCAATCGATCCTGGGGGAACTGCCATTGTCCCTCCTTGTTCTTAACCAGCAGGTATAGCGTCCTCTGCAGCGCTCGGTTCAAGCTCTTGGTGTCGTTTTTCTCATCGGCCTCTGTACGTCTCGGCATGGGTTTGTCGAACAGTTCTCGCTCCACTTTCTTCATGCCTTTGTCCTCAGACTCGCCAGCCTCTCGTCCATCGGTCGCTGCGTCTTCGAGTAGTCGATCGACCTGCCATTGAACATCGCTTTCCTTTGCACCCACCAGCACTTCGTCATTCCATGCCTCGGAGTTGTAGCCGTTGTATCGTCCAATGTCGCGAGCAGGCGTCAGCCGTTGCCTCATCTTGCGTTTCCATTCCAGATCGGCGGGCGTGCGCTTCTTGAAGTAGAAGTAGCGCGTGAAGGGAAGGGCGAGGCGCTCATTGAGACGCTTCTGATACAGGAAGAAGGCGGCTTCGAACGGGTGCAGGTCTCGTGTGATTTGAGGTGGGCGGGACAGTACCACACCGGCGTTGACGGCGTATGCTGTTGACGGGGCGGCCTGGGCGACGGGGGGTATATGCTGCGGCGCTTGGTCTTCGGACTGCACAGCGGCGGCTGCTGCAGAGGCGTAGTTGCGTGAGATGGAGTCTCTACATGAGCGGCATATCGACTGGCCTGGTACCATTAGCCATTGCCGCCTTCACCGGCATTGAGCATCCTCACCACTTTTGGCGGCCAATCGGCGTGTCGTCTGCTGCCCTACGTTCATGCTGTCTGGCCTCAGGGCGTCGCAATGTCGCTTGATGCCACCACCTCTGGCCTCCAAGTTGTGGAAAAGTTCCGGAGCGGGAGTGCATTAATTCGGCCTAGCGCCACTCTCACTAGCGCCGCGACTGCAGTTATCTTCGTTTTTTCTCGCCAGACTCAGCTTCTTCAATCCACGGCACCAATCCTTATCCCCAGCTTCCTCGTACTGTCATGAGATGTTGGTCATTTAGCGGTGCCGAGAAGAATTGAGCAGTCTTTTTCGCTAGCGGTAGCTTCAAAAAATCCTAAAGTATACGGCTAGATAGATTTTGCTCACATGCCCTCGCATCGCGTCTCTTGTAGACTTTTCCACGCGTGTCATTCGTAGTGCTCATGCGCGCAGCGATAACACTATATAATGATATGATTATGTCTAAAAATGCCATCTTTGTTGCTGGCTCAAATGAGCCCGTGACAACCTTGGAGCCTGTGGTATGCACCAAATCGTGCCCGGTTGACCAGGTCCTCTGTTGTGAACGATTGAAATACCGTACTTCGTGTTCTCCATTCTACGGCGTCACACGACCACCCGCACGCGTCAAGGTGAAAGCTACTGTGGTCTTCTATCACCCATCGGTGGTCGCTGTTGCCGACGCCAAGACATCGCGGGACGCGTCCGTAAATTTCCAAAGCGAGAGCTCCAGGTACACCACCACCCCACGATACCCCTCACATTCCGCCAACATGTCTCTCTCGATACCCAACGCCCCAAATGCCGGCCTGTTCAAGCAGGGCTACCAGAAGTGAGCATCACCTGATCTCCCCATCAATACAAACACCCAACTAACCCCACAACAGCTACGACGCTGAGGATGGCGCTGTTATTCGCAACATCGACGCCTGCCGCACGATTGCGCAAACCGTTCAGACCTCGCTCGGACCCTATGGCCGCAACAAGATCGTCATAAACCACCTCCAGAAAATGATCCTGACCTCGGACGCTGCCACGATTCTGCGAGAACTCGAGGTTGTTCACCCCGCCGCAAAGCTGCTTGTTATGGCGAGCCAGCAGCAAGAGGCTGAGATGGGCGATGCGACTAACCTGGTCATTGTCCTGGCAGGAGAGCTGCTCAAGAAAGCTGAGGAGCTGATCCGGATGGGCTTGAAGACAAGCGACATTGTTCTTGGTTTCGAGAAGGCACAGACTGCGGCTCAGCAGATTTTGGAAGGTAGGGATCAGTTCAGCCCTGCGTATGTATAGAGCTAACGATCCGGCAGAGCTTGTATGCGACAAGGTCGCAGACTTGCGATCACAAGAAGAACTTAGCAAGGCCATCCGCACAGTGGTAGCAGCCAAACAGTCTGGCAGCGAAGACTTCCTCGCAGACCTCGTCGCCGAAGCCGTCCTCGCCGTCCTTCCCAAGAACGCCACCAACTTCAACGTCGACAATGTCCGCGTGGTCAAGATCATGGGTGGCAGCCTGGAGCAGAGCAAGGTCGTCAAGGGCATGGTCTTTGCCAGGGTACCAGATGGCACCGTTCAAAAGGCCACCAAAGCCAAGGTCGGAGTCTTCTCCTGCCCCATCGACATTTCACAGACGGAGACCAAGGGAACGGTCCTGCTACACAACGCGAAGGAGATGATGGACTTCACAAAGGGCGAGGAGCAGCAGGTCGAGCAGGTCGTCAAGGAGCTCCACGACTCAGGCATGCGCGTAGTCATTGCTGGCTCCACCATTGGAGAGCTTGCGCTGCACTACCTCAACCGCTACAACATTCTCGTCATCAAGGTCCTCTCCAAGTTCGAGCTCCGCCGATTATGCCGTGTCGTCGGCGCTACACCGCTTGCGCGTCTCGGTGCGCCTATGCCAGACGAGATGGGTTCAATCGATGTCGTGGAGACGCTTGAGATTGGTGGAGACCGCGTTACCGTCTTCAGGCAAGAGAACGACCAGACAAGGACAGCCACACTTGTCTTGCGAGGCGCCACACAAAACCACCTTGACGATGTCGAGCGAGCCATTGACGACGGTGTGAACGTAGTCAAGGCCATCACCCGCGACCCACGACTAGTACCAGGCGCTGGAGCAACCGAGATGCAGCTCATCGAGCGCATCAAGGCCATCGCCGACCGCACATCAGGCCTCGCACAGTACTCTATCCGCAAATACGGTGAGGCCTTCGAGGTCATTCCCCGTACTCTCGCCGAGTCAGCTGGTCTTGACGCTACCGAAGTTCTCGCACGTCTTTACGTTTCGCACGCTGCACAAAAGGGTCGCAAGGACGACGAGTGGACGACTGGTGTCGACATTGAGAATGATGACAACACAGGTATCCTCGACGCAAAGGACGAGGGTATCCTAGACCTGTGGGTCAGCAAGAGCTGGGCCGTCAAGTTGGCAACCGAGGCTGCACGGACGGTATTGAGTGTTGACCAGATCATTGTTGCCAGGCAAGCAGGTGGCCCCAAGATGCCCGGAAAGGCACAAGGAGGCAACTGGGATCAGGACGACTAGAGTGTTAGAGCGCCAAAAGCAGTAACAAACACATAGAACTCCATCTAGTTGATCAACGTCTAGATGCTTAATGACAAGAGATGAATGACAACAAACTTCAAGACCACCACTAATAGTACTTTGGTTCCAGATGACTCTCACTTGCGCAGTTTGTCAGGATGCTTTCCTCCTTGCACTCTCCTTACGCCGTATGGACGATAGCATTCTAAAGAAACACTGAAAAATGACTGGTAGGCGCAGGCTGATCATAAACGCTTTTGCGCAAGTCATAAACATATTTGGGTATCTAATACTATACGTCCTCCCTCCCTGTCGTACAAACACCAACCACCAACCCCCCATCACCGCCTCATCACCAATTCTTCGGCAGCGTCTCCTGGTGCCTGGCCCTATACAAACTATCCGGCTTCTTCCCCACATCCTCCTCACTCCTCCCATCCCTCAAATCCACCAGCCCCACCTCGTCCTCGCCCCTTACCTCCTCTTTAACACTAACATCAACCGTCTTCATAATCGTCGTCTGAAACAGACTCCCGCCCAGCGTATCCTGCTTAATCCTGCGCGTCGCCTCGGCAGTATACCGCGGCGTGTTTGCCGACGAGCCCAACGTGCTGCCAAACCAGCGTGGTAGGAAGCGCGCGACGAAGCGGCGGAAGGCGGGCATGCACATTGCGATTATGCCGACGTTGAGTTCGAGGGGCGAGAAGATGCCCGAGAGCATGTTGTCGTAGATGGGGTTGGTGGAAGCGCCGTATTGGGCGAGGGCCCAGAGGCGGGAGATGGAGACGATGATTGTGCTGTTGGTGTTAACATCGTATCTATGTATCTACCTTCACGACGAGGGTGGCTGGGAGGGAGGGAGGGAAGAGGAAGAGGCTTACATCGCGCCTGTGCTGAATATCGCCACAAGCATGAGTTTCTTCCGCATACTCAGATTCAACTTGAGCAGTTCTGGAATCGGAATGATGACGATGTATATGTCGACAGCGATGTTGTAGCCCGCGGCAACGAACCAGAAGACCTGCTGGTTGATGCAGTAATCGTAGGGAGTCTCGGCGTCCCAGGACGTCCATGCAGCTGCGAAGAAACTGTTAGCAACCTCCTCCATAAAACTTGGAGTAGCGAGTGAACGTACCAGAAATCGGCCGACAAGCAAACGTCATCGGCAGCCCAAACGCAATCGGAAACAGCATCGAGAGAACGACCCCAATGTAAACCGCCTTCCTCGTCCTCTCCGCCGGGAAGATACGCAGGAACATGAACAAGAAACACAGTTTACTAAACGTCGCACTGACAAAGTAAGACAATTGGTTGAAGTACACAATCTGTCCAATATCAGCACACACATACACACACACACACACACACACACACACACACACACACACACACACACACACACACACACACACACCCATTCAGATTCAACATACCTTCATGATGACATAAATCCTCCCCGCTTCTACTGCCCACGTATCCCGCCCAAATCCCAACCCCCCGGCAACCGCCTGCCCCACCGTCACCGGCATCGCAAACACCCACGCGCCCACCACGCACCAATCGTCCCAGCCCCAAATATGCTGCTGCAGACTGACGAGCACGCGGATGCCGAGGGCGAGCAGTGCCAGGCTGCCGAAGACGACGTTGGTGGTGATGAGCGCGTGCGTGCGGTCTTTGATGGGGATGCCGCATTGGGCGTTGGTGGTGTTGATGGAGCGGAGGGTTTCTTTGAGGGTGCAGGAAGACTGCATGCAGGTTTGGAGGGAGAGGGTGAGAGGCGCAGAGAGGCAGATGCAGGTTGTGTTGGTTGGGGCGCAGATGGTTTGGTTTTGTAGGCTGGAGGCGAAGCATGTTGCCTGTGTGACAGTTAGGGTCTGGGTTTGCTTGGCTGGGGAAGGAATGGTATGTGATGGGAAGACGGTGGTCGAGGACGTAATGGTATATGTATGGAGAAATGGTGGTATAGAGGAGAGTGTTGATATATGTAGAACCGACGGTCTATGGAGAAGCGATGGCGTATGAAGAGGTGATGGAGTATGAAGAAGCGAAAGTGTATGGAGAAGTAACTGCGAGCCAGGGAACAGGTAACCATCATCTCCAGTTGATATAAATGAGAGCTTGAGTAGTGTTCGACGTGATACAGCACATTCTCATCGTGTTTGATATACATCAGATGGAAGATGTACTTACAGCGCACGTGGGAAGTTCGGCTTGCGCCACCACCGGCACCACTGAGCACAAAAGTGCCACAGCTGCCGTCCAAAGAGAATTCGGACGCATTGTCAGAGCTTCTATATCGAAAGGACGATCTCAGGTTGGATGAAACGAACGAGAAACGCTCCAGATACCTCAATGATAAGTACCACTGCAACTTGTCATCCTACTACGTTTGCATGTATCCGTAAACAGTGTGTATGAAAAGGAATCTCCAGTAGGTCAGGATCTACGAACCATTCCCGTAGTTTACATTGCTTTTCGAGCGGGCTACAGGGTATACCGGCATGGTCCGCGTGGAAACGGGGCAGGGTATCGAGCTTGGCCCCTGAGATCAGCTCGTGATCACCGTTTGGAGGTACGGCAGTTGCAGGCATGTCGTACCTGTTGAGATCCCGTTGCGTTACAGTGGAATCTCGAAAGGTTCTAGCGCAAGTTCAACCTTGCATTGCGGGGTCTCGCCATATGTTTGCTTTGCTTTTTGGCGTCTCCAAACCCCATTATTGCGACGAAGCTGAGTACACTACGAGCTGTCATCTTAATCGAGCAAAGGTTTCGGCAACCGACATGTTTGAACTGTCCCAAATTCGCTAAGCGTCCGATGCAGCTTTGCACAGGTATGCCAGGGCGGGAGACGCAGTCGATGATTCGATGGTGACCTGTAAACGAGCTGTGGAAGATAACAAACGATACGTGGATGCAGCCCCCAACGTCTGTATGTGGTTTGGATATAGCGTGCGCGCTAAACTGAATGAATGGCGGGCGGTTGCCGATTGCGTACTTCCACCCGTCCTGACAGGTACGCTAGCCGTTGAACATGGGACATGCCAAATTGCGTTGTAGCCACCGGGCATCGTTCCCAGAGCTTCCTTGGTTCGGTTTCGTCTTCCAACAATGCAGGTCGTTCAAAGACACATTTGAAGAACCAGCTGCACCTCAGGCAACCGAAGACAACGTTGCGGAGGGCCAATGTAACGGTGGGGTTACCTAGACACACGTGGAACGCGTCTGTAAGGCATAAATTCCCTAGTGAACCATGCGCTGAAATCCGGATAGTCGCTGCGCCACATATTGCCTAGCCGCATTTCCACAGTGCTGAATTTTGGTGGATTTACACGAGGAACGAACTGGGCCCGTATACGCTGCCACACACCCCTTCAAACAGCTTTGTTTGCCGAGATGTGGAGAACAGACATCGCAGTATCTCTTGCTGAATTTGCTTTTGGAGCAGCAGTCCTTGCTAATTTCCCTTTCACTGCAGTAGCTTCGAACAGCTCGTGAAAGTACCCACACAAAAATACCAGACGAATGGGCCGTGACCTCTTGCATTGCACCAACACAGGGGTCTGAATTCGTCCCGCGTTTGCTCCCGCAGCAGGCTAAACATCTAAACATGGCATGGATGATGGACGAGCTCGGTGGCCCAACAGCCGCGGCGTAGTCTCTCCCCCAGCTGCGCTTAACTCCCCACGAAGTCCCAGCGCATTGGGTTTTTAGACACCTTCTCTATTCTGTCGCGTTCGTCGTCAAGCAACCTGTCGTCTCGTCATGGCTCTGTTTCCCGACCAACTTCTCGGATTTGCCGGCCGGACTTGGCTCACTGTCATTCTCCCCGTATGTTACGCTACATACTGCCTGGTATGGATCATATACGCGCGGACCCTGCATCCACTTGCGAAGATGCCGGGCCCGTTTTGGCCCTCTGTGTCAAGAACCTGGGTCATGTACCGGGCGTACGTCGGAGACCTGGAGATCGAACAACGTAGGCTGCATGAGGAGTATGGACCATTGCTTCGGGTGGCCCCAGGTACGTAGCGCATGACCTGTCGCAGCAATGCAATTGAAAATAACAATACGACAGACGAGGTGGTGTGTAACGACCCTAGAGAGATTGCCACGGTCTACCCACTGAAGGAACCTCTGGAGAAAACAGTATGGTACGACGCTTGGCGCCCCGCGGGCATGAACTCGAGGCCAGACATGTTCAGTAACAGATCCGAGAAGGACCATGCTGCCTACCAACGTGTTGTTGCCCATGTTTACTCGTTGACAAGCGTGTTGAAGAGCGAGTCCGAACTCAATGCCACCGGAGACCTGTTCATCCAGCGTCTCAATGAGTTCGCCGACAGAGGCGAGGAGTTCAACTTCGGCCTTTGGCTGGAAATGTACTGTTACGACAACATCGGCGTCGTCTTCTTTGGTCAGCAGTTTGGGTTCCTCAAGGACAGCATCGACTATGGCGGATACATTGCGGCCGTTCACAAGTCCATGCCCTTCCTGCACATTCTTGCATCGTCGCCAGCATACATTCGCCCATTCTTGATGATAGGTGCTGTTGCAATCCCAAGCATGTTGAAAGCCGTCACCGCTGTCGACGGAGTCAGACAGACAGCTGAGCGCGAGACCTATGGTGCTCAGGCGCGCACCGAGGAAGCCACAGCGAAACGAGTCGACATGACTTCGCAAATGCTGGGAATTGTTCGTGAAAAGGGCGCAAAGAATAACTTCAGTGTGAGGGAAATCGTCTCGGAGAACTGGACTGCTGTGTGAGTACCGTGGAGGAACATAGACGTTTATGAAGCTAATTCCGATGCCCAGAATGGCTGGATCAGACAGCACGTCGATTGGCCTGCGTTCCATCTTCTACTTCCTGATGAAGAATCCCAAGAAACTCGCGCGCACCAGGGCTGAGATTGATGCTGCATTTGCAGACGGCACATTGACGTCTCCAACCCTACAGAGCCAGTCCGTCAAATTGGTTTATCTCGGCGCAGTGATCAAGGAATCGTTTCGCCTGTTTAGTCCATTCGCTGCTCCCTTCCAGCGATACGCTCCAGCAGGCGGCCTTGTGCTCGCTGGCACTCCCATCCCCGCTGGTACCCGCGTCGGTCTCAATCCTGCGGTCGTGCATCATCACAAGGAGGTCTTTGGTGAAGACGCTGGTTCATTCCGCCCTGAGCGTTGGCTAGAAAGCGATGTTGAGCAAGTCAAGCTCATGGATCGATGCATGATGCATTTCGGTGCTGGTACTCGCCGGTGCACTGGCAAGAACGTGAGTCGCAGAAGCATGTCGAATGCGTGTAGCTGCTAACACAATGTAGATTGCCATGACCGAGATCCTCAAAATCACTCCTGAGATCATACGTCGTTTCGACTTTGAGCTGACACATGACGGCGAGTGGACGACGCACAACGCTGCTTTCAACGTGCAGCATGGTGTTACGTGTCGCTTCCGCAAGAGACAAGGAGTCGCTTGAATCCTTCCGTAGCGCTGTAATTGTTCCAGGGTAGGAAAAGTTGAGATGCGGGTGCATTTGCTTTTTCGTACACAGCGTGTTCGTCAGCGATCCTGTTTGTGCTTTTCTTCTTCTAATCCTACATGGCCTGGATCTTTCGGAGGAAATATTCGTCCGCAGGTAGTGGGTACGGGCAATTGCGAGATGGAAAATGTGTTCTTTTTCGCGATGCCGAGGTTGAAAGGTTAGGGTCGCGCATTGAGCTCGGGTGTAGTCCGAGCATTTACTAATGCACTTGCTGACATTCCCCGATAATGTTTGTCAGCGAATCCGTTATGGCAGGCAGCCTTGCACTGCTTGCACTGTTCAGTTTAGTAATTTGATCGTATGCTTCAGAACAGCCTTTGCAAGTGATGGGGACAATCGCGTTGAGGTAGAGGTTTGCTTCATGCTCACAAGACGTTTGGTGATTCAGCCCGTTTTTCGCGTCACTGTATTCCCAGAATACATGCGTCTCTTTGGACTTCATCATGTTCGTAAGGCTGCGGTATGATCTGCCACGAGTCGCAAGAAGCAGAGAATCAAGCCGAACACTTGCGAACGTTAGAAATCGTCATAGGTGGCGGGGTCCATACTAAAGTACGCTAGAGAATTCGGACCGACGTATGCTTTGTGTGATGTTTAAAGAAGCTTCGGTTTTGCTTGTTCTTACAATTTCACCAAGCCATCTTTCATTTCAGATCTCATCTCATCATATCCATTTAACAAAGTACTGAAATCAGCATGTCGAACCAAGCAGCATGGATCACCGAGCCGAAGGGCAACCCCCTCCAGGTCAAAGAAGCTCACATGCCTACAGCCGCCAAAGGCCAAGTCGTCATCAAGAACAAGGCTATTGCTGTGAACCCCGTCGACTGTACGTAAATTCCACGGATGCAGTCTCTCCGCAGCAGCTGACAATCATCAGGGAAGATCCAAGATTACGGCATCTTCCTGCAGAAGTACCCCAACGTTCTTGGTACCGATGTTGCGGGAGAAGTACACGAAGTTGGCGAGGGTGTCACCCACGTCAAGAAAGGCGACCGCGTTCTTGGGTGTGTTTCCAAGAGTCTGAACTCACCATTGGAATCACGTGCTGACTTCACCAGACATGCCTTCTCTCTTGTCACAAATGACCCGGCCGAGGGTGGCTTCCAGCTATACACAAAGTGCAACGCACTTGTTGTCCAGAAGATTCCAGCCAGTCTAGACTTCAAGTCAGCCACCGTTCTACCGCTAGCAATCTCTACTGCGGCAGCTTGTCTCTTCAAGAAGGAGACCCTTTCGTTGTCGATGCCTACCAGCGCATCGAAACCATCTGCATCCGGCAAGTCCGTTCTCATCTGGGGTGGCTCGAGCAGTGTTGGTGCGACAGCAATCCAGCTCGCCGCTGCTGCAGGCCACAAAGTCGTCAGTGTAGCCAGCAAGCACAACCTAGACAAGATCAAGGATCTTGGAGCACAGGTCGCCGTTGACTACAACTCCTCTAGCGCGACTGAGGACATCATCGCCGCCCTTGAGGGTACCGAGTTCGCTGGCGTCTGTGACTGCATTGGAAGCTCAGATGCGGCCAAAGCTTGGGCACCCATCTACAAGAAACTCGGCGGACGTTACGGATCCGTCATGCCTGGAGCTGAAGGATTGCCAGAAGACATCCAGGGCGCGTCAGTATTCGCGCCTAGCGTTGCTCTCGACGACAAGTATGTTGGCGACGCGGTATGGGGAAAGTTTGTTCCTGAGGCATTGGAAGCTGGCGCTCTGAAAGCGCTACCCCCTCCAGTTGTCGTTGGAAGTGGACTGGAGTCTGTGCAGAAGGCGTGCGACGCGCAGAGGAAGGGCGTCAGCTTCGGCAAGATTGTTGTCGAGTTGTAGATTACATTAAATAACATCTGAAATCTAACATAATAAGGCCTTACAATTCCGAAACAAGCTGACTACGTAAAGCTGTTTTCTGTCGATGTCGATGCCAAAGTGTTGCTGAGGTTGCCATGGGAGAAATCGTGGCTGCAGAAGGCTGCTCCATGGCTAGCGCGCGGCCAAAGCTCCCGAGCTATGGCCAGGCCCGTTATAAAACTTTGCTGGCCGCCCATTCTCCATCATTGTTGTTCTCACGGCCACAAGCATTAATTTTGTGCTGCATGTAGCCAGCGAATACCTCTATTAGCTCACTGTAAGTTACCTCCCAGCAGGATGTCTCTCCTTTCCTTATATGATGAAACATTTCCACATTCGCAGTTTCCACGCTAGCCATCGATTGAACCTGATGGACAATGAGCGCGAATACCTTCCTTGGATGTCTGATTTATCTTTCCCTGGCACACATGATGAACAATGTTCCGAGAAAGATACATAGCTGACCTTGGCAGATAGATTCCCGACCGTAAATTGTGACGAGTCCATAGAGAGGCACCAGGCGTCGCGTCATAGTGGATGTGGACTAAGAATAGCAATCCGTTCTTTGAACTCAAGACAGCTTGCCCTTTGTGTGGAACATATGTCACTGTGAGAGGCGCCATCAAGAAGATTGTCTTGTTAGCTCTACGCTCCTTTGTCTGATGAACAACTCTCAGCCTTCGTGACCCTTCATTTGTTTGTCCGCAAGCATCTCTGATTCGCCGGGCCGGTTGCTCACCAGCCTAAAGATAGGGCCTCTTGACGAATGTTATGGATATGTGTGACGTTAGCCCGAGATCTATGGAGTTCACGGAAATCTTGGACCACATCTCGCTTCAGCTAATAGTTTATCAAGACAATAACTGATGATGCAGACATGAAAAAAGCATTTTTATAGTACTAGAGCCTACTTTCGCATGGAATACATAGTTTCAATAACAAGCAGAAGAAAATGAAGGGACGATATGGAGGACGACATCTTTATAGAGGAGTGGTTAATGTCGATCAATATACCAACACCAGCCTATAGCAAAGCTAAGAAGCACTGCAGAGACGAACAGCTTTGCATGGTTCGGCTGGTGGTTCAGTGATGTAGCGCTTATTGAAAGTACGGGGAGCGATTTCTATTTCTCCCGGGTTAGTCAAAGCCCAGTTGTGATTGTTCATGATGCCATGCTCACTGTAAATTCTGTAATTTTCTGTGTACTGATATTGATGATCTTGCATGCTGCTAGCATAGATCTGCCTATCGCACACACTGTAAGGATAGAAAAAGACCGTTGCGTCTTGATTCTCGGGTTTGCGGACGCCATAAGCAATGCCGGTGCGCTTTGTCTTTGGCAGTTCAGCACAGTCAACATCGACCCAACCATTCCCACATAGCGGGAAAAACAAATCTCCCAATAGTCCATTCGGTGATGCGCGGACCGGCTGTTGGTGAAACGGAAGATACTTAAATCTGGGGGCAGGCCGATACTGATCATGGTTCTTCGCGTTGTTGATCGTTCGAAATAGCTCGTCCATAGCGAGAAGTCCGGAGGAGACGGCCTTTGGGGTAGGTCTATCCATATCGCGACACAGACTTCGAAAGCCAGGGCTGTCCTTGAACAAGACAGTGACACTGTCGAACGGCAGGAGGAAACTTGGATAAAACATCATAAAGATATTGACGACCGCTTGGTCAGTGAGCTTGCCGAATTTCATGAGGCCGATATTTGAAGAAGCATTGACGTATCGAATTCTGCCAAAGTGTTGTAGCAGTCTCGCTGCGTCAATCTCACTCTTAGTAGTTTTAGATTCACCCGCTTACTCCTGACAGCTAGTTCACCTTCCTGCGGAAGATCGCATTTCCATACTCAATAGATGCTAATCGGGACGACCTGCGACTGGAAAATTACCTCGATGTCATGCAAAATATCCGTATACTCTCTATGACCGGCAGACATTTCTGACGGGATACGACAGAGGAAGTTGCGAAGTAGTTCAGCAATCACCAGGATGTGCAATTTCATGATTGTGTCGTGCTTGCCACGCTAAGACGCCACGAACATGCCACGCATAACACATCGATGGAGTAAGAGCCAGGCGCCAACATCACACCATGTCTACGCACAACTACTCACCTCGCCTTTACCCCGAACGCTCATTGCTACAACATCTCATATACCTACAAGACTGTTAAATCTACGGCCTATCGTCCTGTGATCGCTACCACCTTTCTCATTTCACTCTTCTAACGACCAGGCCATCAAATTATCACCGATGCTCACTGCCATCACTCCACTTCTGGCTGCTTTCTTTCTCTCGAGGGGCCTCACAGTCCCGACAATCCCATATCCATTCCCCAACTCAACTGCTCTTACCAATGGCACAGCACCCAATGGAACCGTTGAATACCACTGCAACGACATTTTCCCAACCGACCTAACTGTCCTCAACGAGCGCTACCCAGACTACAACACCTCGCGGCTCCATGACGCAATTGATCTCTTCATGCTCCGCCGCGAAGTAGCCGAGCAAGGCGAGATCGCCACTCGCGTGCAATTCACCGGCCTTCCCTCCGCCAATACCAATATAACTTGCCGCCTCGAATTCATCTTCCCTGCACCAGACCAAATGCTTGTCCAAGGCTACAACCCGACCTTTAATGTCTACCAAGTCGAGCGCGACACCGAGACCATCTCGACATGGAAGCAGTACGTTGGAAACGGCATCGATGCAGACCTGTTTGGCCAGGTCAATGGACAGCCTGAGGCGATTGAGAGGACAAGGTCAGTCGGAGGCGTTGCGGCGATCAATGAGACGAGGTGCAACGAGACGATGACGTTTCAGATGGGTATGGCGTACGATAGCAAGGGTGGAGCGCCGAATTATTGGAACTTCACGGAGGTAGCGCCGCCTGCCTGGCCGGTGCAGGGCTTCAGGATGGTATGGGGTTGCTGAGTCGCAGTGGCTGCAGTATACAGGTGTGATTGCGGTTGGTATTGGTGTTAGCTTTCCTAGATCCCTTACGTAGTGTTATCCTAAAGTGAGCATTTCTACTATTTTGTCTCAGGCTTCACGTTGCTCTCTCGTGCATGCTCATGCGGGTAAAGATCCTTTTGATTCGAAGCTGAATACTGCCAAGCTATCTAGTGACTCGCATGCTCCAGCTACTAGTGGGAGGTAGAGTACTTGAAAACCATGTGGACCTTTGTCGAATAGTCTTACTCACTCCGATGCAGCGGCCATTCCGAATTTATCTCCCAAAATTAATTTGCTTGGCGAATCTCACTTATCAAATCGCAAGTGCCCGATTCACACTCATACCAATTCGCTCAAAGCATTCTGCAGACATCCAGTGGTCGTATCTGCATTCATACTTCCACCTTCGGGGTCTCAGGCTGAGGGCGAAGGTCTTTCCTGCAGGTTGGGCATAGCGTATCCACCTTCTCCAAAGTCTCGACGAGACAGCCACGACCGAACAAGTGACCACAAGGTGTGCGCACGGGATCGTTGTCTGCCCTTTCAGCGCAGAACGGCAGTAGCTCACGGAATGCGATCTGGCGTGCTGCAATCTCTGGCGGGTCGTCTGGGTCGGGAGTGAAGACGAAGTTTGGGTCGTCCTCATCAGTGGTGCCGAACGGAAGCCAACAGTACGGGCAGCGCATGTCTTCTGCGGGGATATCAGAAATTTCCACTCGGTCCAGGTTGTCAACGAAGGCAGCAGCATCGAATCGAGGGCGCGCAGCTGCGCGGAGGTGATGTAGCGAAGTTGACCCAAACGTAATTGCCAAAGGGTCGAACATGGTAGCAGCGTTAGCCAATGATACGCTGGTCGTCGTGAAGCCCATAGAAGTGAGAGATTCTGCGGCAGTAGGGGGCACTCCAACAGAGCCTACCGCTATGCTTAAAGAACCGTCTGGAAGGGGACCACCGCTCTGCCAGAAATGGGCATGTAGTTCAGGATACACTTCGCCAGTCGTAGGATCCAGAATATCAGCCCCTGCAGCTGCTGTCTCTGCAGCGAGCTCCTCTGGATTGTTCGCGGTGAAGCTGCCGGAATGAAGTGCGGCTCCTGGAGTGAAGATAGTCTGAGTACCGACTATGAAGTTCATGTGGACAGGAAACGCAGACAGCATTGCAGGCCCAGCGCTGGTCGCACCATTATGCGTCGTTCCGTTGAGATCAGTCGCAGGCGCTGCACTCGAGGTCCAGGCGCCATGCTGAAGGGCCGCCAAGAGACCTCCAGGCATCTCAGAAGAGCTTGCCGGCGGATCCGATCCATTGGGAGCATTTGGGAAAGGCTGGTCGTCCGGCCCGCCCATCGCAGCCATGAACTCCGCAAAACTTGCCATCATGTGTGCTTGGAGGCCTACGGGAGGGGACGTCGTTAGTGGATTCCCATTCCCTAGCGCGGGCATTTCATCGTCGTCGGCCTCATCAGTATCCCCAGGAACATCCTCCCACACATCGTCAGCATGGTCCCCAGCAGCGGGACCCGACAGTCCAGCGAAGATTGCGGGGAAGTTGGATGGAAGCCAAGGGAGTATAGTAGGAATGAGGCCCGAGTTCGCTTGTTGAAAAGGACTATTTTCGACAGTGAAGCCCGGCGGTGATACAGTCGCAGCATTGATCTGTTGGTTGATCATGAAAAACGGAGGCGGTGGCACCGAATTGAGAGCCTCTTGGGTGAGACCACTGGCAGTATAGTAGCTGACGAGGAATTCGGGCGAGACTCCTGCAGGTGGTGGGCCCCAGTGTGTGGGTAATGTGAGAGTGGGAACACCTGGAGTCGCTTGGCTGCTCTGTAGAGGCTGTGCTGATGGCATCGCTGGTGGGACAGAATCAGGTGCTGCTTCTGCTTGCGGGGCTGCAGCCTGCTCAAGGCTGGGCATGTCTTCGTACCCATCGGGCTCTGTAGCTATCTCGTGGACATCCTCCACGGCGGGCGGCGGGGGCCAGGTTCCAGACATTGCTGCGAGGTGGTGGAGAAGGTGCAAGTTGTGTTGCGAAGCGGTTGTGATGTTGGTTCTATTGAAGCATTGCGGCTCGATGTGAGAGGGCTTTCGGTCAAATGTCGGCCCAAGAGCAAACGGTGTTGAGGTGATGGTGAATGTGGATGTGGCACGTGCGCTGAAACTGAGAAAACAATCTCGGCGCGACGTGGCCGCCACAATTACGCGGTATTTGTCTCAGTGCAGGTACATTACGCATTAAGTATGCTTACTCTTAGAGTACTCCACCTGTCCATCCAATCCATAATCTCATCAATCTTAGGCTTCATCATGACCATGTAGTCTTCCTCAGCCATCACCGGTTCGGCCTCACACTTTACAAAGTCAAGAGATATATCGTGCGAGTTGAAGTACGGCTTCCACCAAGTTGGTCCCACCAAAGGAGCAGTTTCCGCATCGTATCGATGGTAATGGTCGTCTTTGTACATCGCTCCGACTAGTCGTCCATACGTGAGGCGGCATTCTGCGTGCCAAGGGAAGATCCGAATTTTCTTGACGTTTTGCAAGCGTCGGAGGAGGCTGATTACGGGACGAATGGCACGATCAACATCGTCGTCGGTGATGGAAACAACACATAGCTCTTCCAATGCCATGCAGTCTTTATTAAATGGAAAGGTCTGCCAAGTTCCGATTTGCAGCCAGGCAGCCTCGACGACAACCTTCCGCACATTCCGCAGCTTTGTGTCCGATATTAGACAACAATTGTGTATTATAGTGCCTGCGAAAATGAATCTAGTCATCTGGTATGCTAGAGTGCCAAAGTCTCGATGGAAATCGCGACAAACCAGGAGAATGGACAGATTGGTGGCAGTATCATATGCCGGATCTATGCGTACTTGATCGTTGGGCGGGAGAATACCAACATCATCGCTCTGCTCCAAGGCGTATACAGCGATCTGTAGTCTCAGTTCGGTGGGTAGGGAGAAGAAAGTGGTCCCAGGTGTGCTTTGCATCCTGGCGACGTGGGGTCGTCGTGAAGACTCCCAGGGTTGTTGGTGTTTGTAGCGTCTCAAAGCTCAGACGTTACGCCGCAATGAGGCTGCAGAGTTGTCAGAATTGTCAAAGCTGACAAGATTCGAGCTAATAAGCGACTGGTGGCAGCTGGGCAAGGATGCACGCAGAAGGATTAAGCAGCTGATGCCATGGCCCGTGCACTCCGTTATCAGATCAAAATTCCCCGCCACGTGCCGTTCATCTCCGGATCTTGCACCACCACTCCTCGTCCCACGCGTCGCACCCATGCGCATTCCTTCTGGTCCTTTCTACTGCGTCGCCCTACTACATGTGACGAGCGCGCTTTATGCGGGCAAATTTTGTCCCGCAGCATGCGACTTTACCTTGAATTACGCGACTTTCAACGACACGGATCCATGGCTGTCACCGAAAGTGCGGTCATGTCGGAGTGGGCTCCGTATAACGTCTCTGTATCTGTGTTTTGACGAGTACTGCGAGAGTGATGGCTCGGGCGAAAGATGGATCGAAGACCAGCGGCCTTGGTGCGATGAGCATGCGGGTGTGAGGCTACCAGACCTGCGTGATGTTCTCTCTCGTTGGGCAAGAGATGATAGGACGAGCCTTCAGAGACTGGGTTATGATGAGCTAAAGGCATCTCCGCCGTTGAATGAGGTCACGCTACCGGCGGCGAATCTCATGGATCGAGCTTATACAACCATGGTACGAAACAATAGAATCGATCCAGATGAATGGCTTTTGCTGAATGCATGTGTTAGGATGTTGCTGACCGCCAATACAAACTTCACCTCACATACGGGTAAGCTGGACGATAAATGCCATTGAGGCTGTACTAATTGTGGCAGTTGGTATATGTATTACTTCTGGATCGTGATTGTGACCTTCGGAACCAGTACACGCCTCACATCGCTGATCGCCAGATCGATCATCCAGGAAAAGTCCGAGTCAGCTGCTGCGAGCTTCACGAGTCCTAGCGGTGTCAAGAGAAGATCCATTGTTAGTCGGCCAAAAGCCTGGATAAAGCGCCATATCACGATCCCCGCTACCTTTGGCGATCGCTGCTCTCAACCCTACGGCTGGTGTACCATCCCTCCACGAGTTCAAAGTCTTACTATTTGTGTCTTTGTTATGTTGAACTTCTGGCTTTCGGTCTGTTCCTATCAGCTTACGGACGGCAACCTCTACTGGCCTGAGAAGGCGGCGCAATTGTTTCGCTACGTTTCCGATCGCACAGGCATCATATCACTTGCCAACTTCCCTCTGGTGTGGCTATTTGGTATGCGCAACGATGCAATGATGTGGATGACCGGGTGGGGCTTCGGTACGTACAATGCCTTCCATCGCTGGGTTGCAAGAGTAGCGACAGTACAGGCCGTTGTCCACAGTCTTGGTTATACATACATGATTCTGAAGGATAGCGGGTGGTCTGGATTTCTTGAGTACTGGGAGAGACACTACTTCTGGAACGGCGAGCTATCGACAGTTGCCATGTGTGCACTGTTGCTGTTCTCTTTGTACGGCATTCGGCGATCTCATTACGAGATTTTCCTCGTGACACACATTGTCCTCTCTATCGTCGCACTTTGGACAATGTATTACCATGTCGAAATTTTCACGAAAGGCGATTACAATGTGTTCATATGGCCTTGCCTCGCCATCTGGATTTTGGACCGCGTATTCCGCGCTGGAAGGATCATTGCTTTCAACCGCCACTTCTGGAACACGCAAGCGACCGTGAGCTACGATCCGGCTTCCAATATAGTACGCATGGATGTCGATGGCAGCAAGAACTTTTTGGCGCCTCAGCCAGGGACATACTACTACGTTCACGTCCTGAACGATATACTTTACGCGCATCAGAATCACCCTTTCACCCTTGCCTATACATCTTCCGAAATCGTACACCCTTGCCCCACACCATCTTCGCCCCTCTCTTCTCGACCTTCGCACCATCGGACCTTCTCGGAAGAATCAACGGAATCCGATTCGCTCCTTGTACCGAACACAAAGAAATCTCCATCGAATCTCGTCTTCCTCATCCGCCCATATGACGGCTTCACTTCCCGTCTCAAATCACATTGCCTGCTGCACCCCAAGAAACTTCGAGTGCTCATAGAAGGTCCATACGGCCATTCAGAACCACTTTACCACTCCCCAAATGTGCTCTTCATTGTCGGCGGCACTGGAATCGCCGTGCCTCTCTCCCACATCTCACGCCTGCTTTCTTCCATATCCCGAACACAATGCATCAAAATCGTTTGGGCGGTGCGCGAACATGCCTTCTTAGCCTCTGTTCTCCGCGACTTCTCTGGCCTGCTCGGCGACGAACGAGTGTACATGGAAGTACATATCACGCAAGATGAAGAGGTGGAGAGCGAAGTACTAGGTGAAGATATCAAAAGCGTGAGGATCGTGACTCAACGGCCAGACGTATTTGGCACAGTAAATCAAGCCGCAGAAGACGCTGGACAAAGTGGACTCACTATCGTCACATGCGGGCCGGCGAGTATGGCAGATCAAGCGCGGAAAGCGAGCGTCGAGATGCTTGCGAGAGGCCATAGGGGTGTGGAGTATCTTGAAGAGAGTTTCAAGTGGTGATGTTACTTGTCTGGTGAAGTGTGGCGTGGCAGCAATGTGGATATGATTGCATTTAGAAGTACATATTATATAGACCATTGGTTTTATCCTCAAGCATAGATTATCGCCTAATTCATCATGCTCAAACCTTCTATCCCGTGTTCGTTCGGGGCAAAATATCCTAGTCGGTCCGCTGGCTTGCTCGCCAGATCCCCAGTTTCACGAAGTCGGATTAATTCCACACTAGAACCGGATAGCAGCTAGGCGCTTCGAGCACTTCGTAGAGCCGTGTTCTTCACGTACGGCGGGCCGCAATGTCCGTGTTCCAAAACTACACCTTCTCTTCTCCAATGACGCCCTTCACCCTTTCCCGAATGGGGTTCTCGTCCATCAGCGCCGTATTCTCTTCGGCCTTCAACATACGCCGGCCTATAGCATATATGCCCATCGCCGCAAGACTAGCCGCAGACCAGATACACCATCCCTCCTTCCAGGTGTGCTCGCTGTCCTTGTATCCTGTCGCTAGCATCCCAATCGTCCGTACGGTCGATGCGATGAGAGAAATGATCATGTGGTCTTTGACCCCAATGTTGTCGATGAACATGATTGCCGTGTTCATAGAAGAGCTGAAGAGGCAAGTGAAGATATGGCTACGATGATAGTGGTGAAGGGTGTAAAGTCTTGTGAAGGCAGAGTTGTGCTGCGATGGTGTGAGGTAGTGCACTGAGTTGTCGGATATCTTTGAAATATATCCATTTCCGAATATGTCAGCACTACAAATAGTCGAAGATCCGCGTGGTGGCGTTGGAGGCCTTCAAGTTAAGGTTTCGGAATTCGGCATCTTCCATGAAAGCTTGTCCCCGCGACATCGAAACATCGAACTGTCGAAGCGAAGCGAGGATGGTAATAATGGATATCAATTTGTTCCAAAGCGAGCTATATCTTGTCTAACGACTGATCGCGGCCTCAGTCGCCTTCAGACTTCCCACGACAGCGAAGCATATCATCGGAGTGATTGCGTAACTGATTGTCAAGAACTTTGCGATTGTCATCTTCATCGATTCCGGTGCGCCGGTGACATCCGTTAGAGCGACCAGAATCATAGCTGGCGGGCCTGTGGGCATCAACATCATCGCAAACCATAGCATTGGGTCGGCGTCGAGAAGGTTCGTTTTCGAAGCGAGCGCCCATATGAGAGAAATGCTGATCCTGCAATACGTTAGCGTTATTCAGTCGAGACGCGATTGCTACGTACATAGGCCAAATGATGAAGCGTATAAAGGTGACCAACGCCAGACTCTTCTTTGCGACTTCTCCGCTATCCTCGCCTCGCTTCATGCGCAACATGCTCTGGCTGAGTTTCACCCCAACGACGATGATCTGCGTGGATGCAAACAGATCGCCAATGTTCTTGAACGACGTGGTCAGCCACGCGTTGAAGTACCCGCCGTCGTTGCTCTTGTTGAAGAACAGCCTATGAAGCGGTGGCGTCAGTCCAATTATTGCACCGACAAGGGCTCCAAGAAGTGGCGCATTGGCGAATTGCCATGCGACTTCAACAACCTCCTGCGTCTTTGGGCCGAGACCATTGAACCAGTCGCGCGTTTTGAGGTAGCCCTTTTTTTCGATGCGATTGGTCGGTTTGATGATGCGTTCTGGAAGAAGAGAGGTGTGTTCGTTGATAAGTCCGTCCGGACCACGTTCGATGTCTCCATAACCGTTTCCATTGCCTGTACCCTCGTCTTCCTCCTCATCTTCTCCATCCTGTGATTCTTCCTGGTCGTCGGGCGCATCTTCATCGCCGGGTTTGAGAAGTCGTGGTCCCAAAGCAAAAGTGAGTGAATTGCTGACCATGGCATTGATCAAGAAGTAAGACTCTGCACGATCAAGTGCATCGGCCGCAGTGTCTCCTCCAACAAGTATGACATCGAGGATCTGGGTCTGCTTGAGTGATTCGATGAGGAGAAGCGGTAGACTTGTTGTGTTGTTGAAAGCAATGGCTGGGGTTACCCAGCTCGGCAACTTAAATACACGGGTGAGGATGCGGCCGACAAGGACGGAAAGGAGCGTGTAGGTAATTGACCATACTGGAGAAATTAGCCTAACTCTTCATGTCCCTGGCCATGCTGGAAGCTCACTTAGTAATGGGACGTATCGAACTGCTGTGCCTTGATGCAAGTTCGAGCCGATCTTATAAATCAAGAGCGCAGGCAAGAACATGCGCACACATAGTTTCGATACCTCTTTGGCAGCATTGGTCGATAGCAAATTACATTGCGCAGCAACGACACCAAACACAATGGTAAGCAAGACAGAGAACGAAGCCTGGATAGCGCCAGCGAATGGCACAAGCAATTCGGAAGCGTCAATGCCCATGTTTTCTATGTCCAACGATGGAAGTTCGGCCGACGATGAAGTGTGGTAGAAAAAAAGGCCGAAGATTTAGAACATCCAGGAGAAGCACTAACTAAAGACTCTTAAGGGAAAAACGATCGTGGTCTCGATCGTTCATCGTCCGCTTGCGCACGCGACATCCACCGCGTTCCTGGCAGTTGACGCGACATGACGTAGGTGCAACGGGTCCGTGGTGAAACGCCAATCCCACGCCCAGAAGCTATCAACGAGCGGAGAACCTGTCTTGCAACTTATTCATGGCAGGAGAACTGGGCGCCGAGGTCTTGTTATAACACGATGGCGCCCCGTAGGTCATGCGAACGAAAATGATGTGTTGTCAAGGTGGCTGTACAATTTGGTGTTGGTGGAGCGGCGTCGTCTAGTTTTTGATGAGATGAACGTACTACGGTGGGTTCGATCGTCAACCGCGCTAGGCCAGTCACGAGTTAAACACATCGAAAAGACGAAGCTGTTCGTTCGCTTTGCGCGTTCCTTCGGATCTTTTCTTTATTTTCGTCGCAAGGTTATAGGCTAATGTCGCTTTGTGCTCTTCACGTCTTTCTTCACTGTCAGACCAAAGCATCGTTATCTCCTTGCGTACTATACCTTAGAACCTGTTTGGTTTAGTTGGCGCCATTCTTTCTTGTTCAATTGTACATTTCTAGTCCCAGACTAGCGAGTACTCATCAATACATTCATCAATACCAGCAAGACAACCACTTCGCCGATCATGATTTCAATGCCTTCACTGTTTGCCTCATCATTTCCGTCTAGCGTGTAGAAGCGATTGTTAAATTATCTTCCCACATTTGCTCCTTCTCTAAGAAAATTAAGGGTTTGCATCTGTCGACCTCATTCCTGATATTCTCTCATCCCAGAAGGGTGCACCTCACTCCTGAACCTCAACTCTAAGTACATCATACTGCAAGAAATTCCCCGTCTCAGTCTCCCAAATCGCCTTGTTCAAGTACCCCCCAGGTCCCTCCTCCCACTTCCACTCAGGCTGCAACGTACTCAACCCCTTTCCCTCGCCCACCTCTTCCCTCCGAATCGTCTCCTCCATAATCCACACCGCCTCCTGCTGATAGTCCGTCCATCCGCATATCCAGACCTGCTGATCGCCACCGGGCTCCTGAGTTGTCGGCGGTCCGTACATGGTGTTCATGATGAACGACATGGTCTGGGCATGGTTCTCGCGATTGGAGAGTGTGACGACTTCGACCCTTTGAGCTCCGGTAGCGCTTGGTGCAGCCATGTTGTACGTGTCGTTGAGATCTTTGGGGGTCAGGGATATGCCGTTGGTGAAGGCGGTGACTTGTCTATGGTATGGGAGGGGAGTGGTGACGGGGCCGGCGCGTTCCGAGTACATGACTACGTAGACGTGGCGGCTAGGTGGTGTGGGCTCGGGATGGTGAAGTGCGTGCTTGGAGCTGCGCATGAGAGCTGAAGGGTTGCGGTTGGCCATCGTTAATGGGCATGTGCTGTGGTAGGTTACTGTGTGAAGATGATAGATCATTGATAGGGGAGGAATTTAAAGAGATAAGAAGATTGCTTGTTTGCTAGATCTTTTGGCGCGTGCACTCACAGACGAGTCGTTGTGGGACATTCACCCTGGAACGTGCGCAGGCTTGGACGGATGACATGATCACACCACCGACTGACGAATCGGGCGAAGGCAACAAATGATAAACCTTCAAACATAATCAAGGCAAGATCGAGTGGAAACTATGAGTATATGTATATAGTCATATTGAGCATTTTGTGCGACTGCGGCGTTCAAGATGTGTCCTGGAATCAACATGTTTTGCACTAAAGCATCCTACACCACACAAATGACTGCCGAGTGAACCAGAACCTAGTCTATATCCATACTCTCCGGATCATCAGCCTCCCCCAGGTACTGGTTTTTCAGATCAGCCTGATCCTGCCTCAACTTGGGTAAGAGAGCAAGTAGCTGGTCAACGGCCTTTCGCAACGCCGGATCGGTGCTCGCTGGCCCTCCCATGTTCTTCAGCATATTTCCGTGGTCTGTCAATTTGTTTTTGATGTCGTTATGCAGCTCTTCCGTGAGCTCAAGCACCCCTTGCGCAACTCCCTGATAACCCTCCTCCTCTACAGCTGCTACCAGCCATGGTCGTTCGTCTGAGCCCACTTTGGTGAGTTCGCTTTTCAACGCGAGCTTTTGTCGCAGCAATGCTCCTGTGCCTGTTGATTCTGCCACCATTCTCGAATATACCGGATCGAGAATTTTGGCCATCATGTTGTTGTGACCGGACGCTTGGGTGTAGGAGTTGAGTATTTGATTTTGACGTTGTACAACAGAATCGACGAATTCATCCACGAGTTCAAGGACTTGCGCTTTGGTAGCATCCCAGTGCGCGTCCGCATCATGCCGAGCATCCTGGTCAGGTAATTCGGGAATAGCCTGCGCGAGGTGGTCGAGCTGTTCCTCAGCCCAATCTCTGACACCACTGGGCATGATTTCCTTCATCTTGTCCTCCCATAATGACCAATCCTTTTCGAACACTTCGGCGAATGTCGAATTCCAGTTGATTTCTCGTTCTTCCAACCTTGGATATATCGATTCCTTGCGTGTTAGGATTCCCTTGCGCCGGGCAAGTTTGGCAATAGTAGGATAACGAAGTGCGTCCGTCAGTTTGTCTCACGCCGTTAGTATTTCGCGCTCCCATTTCTTTCCGATCCCCTCCATTGGCAAGATCGTCCTGCGTACCTCAGACATATATCCATCTTTCACGAAGTCCTTCAGTTGTCCTGGTACACCATAGCAGAAGGTAACAAAGTCTTTCAGCTTCCCTTCCTTGACGATCTCTCTCCGCTCTCTCACCTTGTATCCCTCTACCAATGTTTCAATCCGATCGTGCATGAGCGCCGAGCACTTAAGGTGTTGACCGATGACTCGGTGGTTGGCTTGAGCTGCCTTAAGTAGTAAAAGATTTATCAAATCTGGAATGTGTGTTTGAAAGACGTCGACGTCGGGTGAATCCTTCTTACTCCGTCGGGACTTCAGCCAGTTGTTGTAGGCTTTCGGAGAGGCAGCGATGATTGTGAGCGACAACGGTGCAACGTCACGTGTGGTGTAATAGAGAGATGAGGTTGCCTTTTCCTGCAAGTTGCGAGCCGATTCTAGGGCGTAGTGAGCCCTCGCTGCTCGCTCCAAATGCTCCCTGTAATCATCGTAGATCTTTTCGAAATCCTCGTCAACATCGTCACAGTCAGATAGCTGCTTCGTTACCCAATCGTGACAGCACCTCATGAATACGAGCCTCGTGTCCTCTGTATCTCTATGAGATCTCTGTCCCAGAATTTCTGTTGGATCGACGTCCTTCCCATATCATCTTGAACACATTTTCGGCATGGGCAGCCATTGTCGCGTCGATTTCCTGGTCCGCGGGGTCGTCATCTATCGGTTCTCCGGGGCTATGAACAGCCAGATACTCTTCCTTCAGCAACTTCAGCATGCCGCGAAGTTCATCTCCCGACAGGAAGTTTACACACGTTTTGTACGCGCTACCTTCATTATCAGTAGCAGTGATATACTTGTAATACACTGCGGTGGACGTGCACGCTTTGCTTCCAGGGTCGGTCTGCGCGATGGAGCCTCCTGCGGACGATGAAAGCAACGCATTGATTATGGTACTCTTGCCAATTCCAGTCTGACCGATGAGAGCAAATACCATGGCCGTCGTCTCGTACTTGTTGATATGCTCATGACATCTTTGCGTGAGCTCCGCGCACTGGGCGTTATCTGGGGCTAATTGCAGGATTTCGCTTGGGTATTGATACGTTGAAACGAGAGCATCATCGATGCTATTCAAGTCCAGATGTAGAAATGGATGGTCCGGCAAACTCTCCTGCGTGGGATGGTAAGCCCCTCTGGGGAGGTTCCTCATTTCTCCTTTTTGGTGGTTCCGAAAGTAGTGAAGAGACAAGTCATCCACAATATTGTCAGGTGGCTTTGGAGGGGTCGCATCGGACGTTCTTGAACGAGTGAGACGTGAAGACATTTCGATGTGGATGTTGCACGCCTGAGATTGGTGCCGATGGATTCTGGGGTCGAAGAAAAGCTGGAGGACGGATGATGAATCTCTTGGAACCAGTTGAGGCAAACTCAAGAGGTCGACTGTAAACCCCCAGAGGACCGTCAACCCACCCCCCCTATCTCTAGCACCCAAGCTCAACAGTGCAGTCACCCTTCTCGGCTTCTCCTCAATGTTACACCCAGCGACCGTTTAGCGTCCACTCAGTCAGTGCTCATATGGACGCGCATCTACACAGCAGGGGCTCCACCAGACGGCTTAAGCCATTCGTCAGTCTACATCGCCGGACGGGAACGTACATACACATGCACGTTGCCATTTCCGGTGAAGCACTTGGCAATCAAGACACAACTTTGCTCCAACACCATGACAAAGACACTGAATTAATGCACTGGTAAGATACTTACTCACAATAGAGAACAGGAGGCATCTCTTTCAGATGACTTCGTATGAAGCTCTGGTGAGATTTCCCGACGCGTTGCACCGTGGCTGTTTTGGCGCTGTATGCTCAATGTCACACAAGAGCTAGTGACGTGTAGCACACAGCGAAAATCTACCAGTAAGTTACAATGAGCTAGCCCAAACATGTCAAAACTCACGGGATCTCTGCGCTGCGAAGTGGATATACGGCAAGCTGAGCAGTCTCTAGACCAATCGCAGAATAGGTGTGCGGCGACGGTAAACATTTCAGCACGATTTCGCTTGCCGCAGCACAGTCGTGTGTAGCCACAAATCTGCAAGCTTCCCGTCTCATATCCACCTTGACCTCTTTGGGTTGGAAACGGATTCTGGCGTGGAAGTCGGCATAAGCAGGTTCCTCAATGATTGCATCGCTAGCTAACGCATCGTCAGTCATGGCATAGTTGGTGCCGACGTATTAAAACATGAAACTGACACTGTAACACTATGATGCTCCCTACCATTCCGGTGTGATGAATCGCCCAGTGGAGGATGTCGCCACGTTGAATGGGTTTGAGCAGAATTCGCCATGGAGGGCATGCTAATGATGTGTTTACGGCATGGGTGACGTTCTCCTGTAGTTTCTGCGCGTTCGTAGCCGCGATAGCTGTTATGTGTAATCTGACTGGGTATACCTCACTGCAGAACATGCTCTAGAAACTGGTACGTGACAGGTAAGAGTATCATACTTTGTAAGAATGTGTGAAATGCGAATAGGGAGAGTGTTGGAACAAAAGAAGCTGAATTGGTGATATCGTCGTATACAAAAATCGAAGAGTGAGGTAACGGTCCATACAGGATGCCAAATTGGCGAAGAGCGTAGGAAGTAGAGAATACCCGTGTCGTGAAGTCGCCGCCGCCATGCCAAAGCAACCGATGATACTGGGCGCGAAGGACCATGTCCGTCTCTTACGCGCCGTCCCCCCAAAGCCCAACAACCCCCATCGCAAACGCCGCCCCCGCAAGGACCGCCTTGCCACTTTCTACCACCTTCTTCCTCTCCACCGCCTCTCTCACCTGCTCGCCATTAACCTCATCCCCCTGGGCCTCCAACTCCATCATGCTCCTCTGCTCGGCAGCGAAATAGTCAATGCCCGGCCCAGACACGAAGCTTAGGATAGACGTGTACAGCAGATATGGGTGGCGGAAGCGGCGTGGTGAGAGCAGGTATGCGGAGAAGAGCGTGAAGGTGGTGATGTGGCGCAGGTAGGCGGTGTAGTATTGGGACTTGGTCGAGAGGTAGGTGTAGGTTGTGCGGGCGTTTATGGCGGTGGGGAGGGCGAGGAGGGAGGGGAGGGCGATGGTGGAGAGGGTCGCGGATATGCCCTGTTTTTGTTAGTCCTGGATAAGATATGCTGTGTACTATGAAGCTTTTGTGTGCTTCGTGAAGATGTTGACGCGCATAGTGGGGAGCTTCAAGGTGGGTGGCGGTTATCAACTTACAGTCGAGATGCCGAGACTGACAGTCCCCACGAACTTGAGAATGGATATTGTCCGAGCCGCCATTATGTATTGAATTGCAGTCCCGAGGTCCAACTGCAGTCGCGTCCGGGAGTCTTGAGGTTGTTGTAGCGTCAATGTTCACGATGTTCACGATGCTGTTCGAGGTGCACTATGCGCTTTCATCATGGCGGAGATAGTGGAGTGGGTCCCCACCACGTCAGTTGGTCAGAGCTTCAGTCGCGAGATGTACCTAGAAATGTCCAGCACACGCAAATGCAGCATCGCGGTATTGCATATAGCCTTTATTGATGACCGATAGCCGAGAGCACCAAGTCTTTTACGTCTTGCTCTCTGTTGGAGATTTACCGCGAGGTGCGCATGGCCAAAATGGATTACTATACTGAAACCGAGAGTGGGCTCTCGAATCGTACCTCGGCTTGCTTTCGCGCAACTACATCCATGTCCACATCCTCTATCATCCTTCTCTCTCGAATACAGCTTTGACTTGATCACTATATCTTCTTCATTCCTCACACTCCTCGAATTTTCGCGTCCATATTGATCAGAATTATACAGTCTCCCCAAGCACCTCGTCACCATGGCTCCCGAGAAGTACTCATACATGAGCAACGTGTGGAGAGATGACATCTTCAGTGCGTCCACCACCAACCTCTCCCTCCCCGTCTAACACGCAGCCAGAGAACAAAGTAGTCTTCTGCACCGGGGGTGCCGGCACCATCTGCTCCGCCCAAGTACGCGCTATGGTCGCCCTCGGCGCGAACGCCTGCATCATCGGGCGCAACGTCGAGAAGACCGAGTCCATGGCCAAAGACATCGCAACCGTCCGCTCCGGCGCGAAAGTAATCGGCATCGGCGCCGTCGACGTGCGCAAGCCAGAACTGCTACAACAAGCCGCAGACCGCTGCGCGAAGGAGCTAGGCAGCATCGACTTTGTGATTGCGGGTGCGGCAGGCAACTTCTTGGGCGACGATTGATCAGATCAGCCCGAATGCGATGAAGAGCGTGATTGATATCGATGTGCTGGGCAGTTATAATACTGTCAAGGCCACGCTCCCGTATCTCGCCGAGTCTGCTGGAAAGCACAGGACAGATGGCAAGACGGCGCCGGCGAATGGGACGGGCGGACGCATCATCTTTGTCTCTGCGACGCTGCACTATGCTGGTACGCCGCTGCAGTCACACGTGAGCGTGGCAAAGGCGGGTGTAGATGCCATGGCCATGAGCATCGCAATCGAACAGGGCCCCAAGGGTATCACATCGAATGTTATTGCGCCTGGCCCGATCGCGGACACAGAGGGTATTGAGAGGCTGAGCAAGAAGGAGACTAGAGAGAAGAGCTACAAGGCTGTGCCGATTGGGAGATATGGTACTGTGAAGGAGATTGCGGACGCGACGATTTATCTGTTCTCAGATTCTGGCAACTTCGTCAACGGAGAGACTCTAGTCGGTAAGTCGTATATCTCCGAAAACATATCTTTGTCGCTAACACGTAACAGTCGACGGTGGACAGTGGCGCACAGCCGGATTCGCCAACAGCTTCGAGTACCCCGACTTCCTCCTTTCAGGTCAAACTGTGACCGGCGTAGCAGGCACAAAGAAGTCAAAACTGTAGATCAGAATCAACGTTATCTTTCAGCGCTTACTTGTGGCGCAAAAGCTCAAATTTCCTCAATACGAGCAGGCATGGCAACGGTCAACGGACCGCCACGGCATGCCAATGCTGCGGCTCTTGGGCATCCGGAGATGAAACGCCACTGCAGAGCCTCAACAATCCATGCGCCCAGCAACCAACAACAAAACTCTTCAGTGATGTAAAGCCGAATGTGTGAAGTCCGTTCCAGGGCTGCGTGCGGACAGCGTCCTCTTCCCACCTGATCCTCGATCGCATCTCCCTTTCACCCTGCGTGCATCAGGGTCCGCGGGCCCGATCCTTTCTTTCCACGCCCAATGTCCTTTCACAACGGCCGCAATTCTAAAACATCCATGACGAAAAGCATGATCCGGACTTGAACATCTTCATCTCTCTCCCGCGGCCCCTGTCGATCGAGCGGCTGTGTATGTATGTTTTCATTTGTCTGTGCTTGGAGACGAAGGGCCGTGCATGACAGCGACTCGGTGCTTGGAAGGATTGCGTCACAGGAGAGGTCTTAGCGCTGATGCACGGATGCGGTAAGGCTGGTTGGGTTTTGCTAATGGAGGATGCGTGTCGCCTCTGCTGTAACGGGATGTTCATTTAGCCAGCGATGCGAGATTGAGCATCTTGAGGGAGGACATGTGTCGCAGGTATGCTACTTTGCGACGATGGCTTGTCCACAACGACTGGCGATAGAGATACGAGCGTGAAGTTTAGAAGCGTTGATCATACATACTCTGCGCGTCTTAAAGCGGTAAGAGCACGACTGATTCGGTGGGACGACGAGGCTTCGACGCCTCTTGAAACGGCCGAGTCGGTCACCGTACGCTAGAAACGGCCAGCGAAGAGGTTTCTTCCCGCTGGATTGGAGTGTCGCGCAAGGCGTTTTGCGTGTCACGACCGTGAAGCAGCTTGTCGAATCGCTGAAGATGTCTACGTGCTGTCCAGCGGCAACTGAGTAGTCGCCTTCACATGTCGCGACGGGCAGACCCCCATGCTATCGATACGACGCCGCATGTCTAATTTTGCCCGTGCATGATGATGCCTGCGCCAGGTGATCAGCACACTGCGAAACAAAATATCCTGTTCATCCACACCGTACAACCATCTGTCACCCCTCTCTTTTTCAACTGTTCCCTTACCAAACACTCGCTCGTCGCAGCCAATCCCTTTCCTTCGTGGTGAACAACAACGCCGGGTCATTCGCTTCTCCCTGGTTGTCGATAGTTGCCGGCTTATCGAAGACGGTCGCCTTATTTAATCCGGAACCAAGTCCGTGCTAGGGTTACTAGGTTACGGGAGCACCACCAGCAAAAACAAGAACTTCTCCGCACGAGGAATTCCAATTGCAACAAGCGGCTTGGGCTGCGTGAAGAGTGAAGCGCCGAGACGACGCGCAAGCCTGGTGTGGTTACCACGTCATGATACAGGTGGGATCGAAGTAACTCGCGCCAACATCACCACCATTACCGCCATCACCGCAACGACGACATTGTCAGACCGTTTGCCACCAGTTCGCGAACGACCGCGAGGGCAGGAAATTGGACATTGCATTGCAAGGCTGTCCTCGACCGCGCGGGCTTTTTAGTGAGGAGCGGAAGGCGCGGACAGCAAGCTCCGGGCGGTTCGCTGCAAGGTACGTGCTACTTTAGTGCAATACTCTAGCCACGTCTTGGCCGTACCGATCGCCATCCTCACCCAGCATTCTTCTCAACAGCGGCGCGTGCAGCCAGACTCTTTCCCCTCAATTGCTATTCTGCCACCGACAACACTCGTCTGGCGATAATTCGACGACGACATGCTAACCACCATCTGAGCACATCAGGTCCCCGTTCACTTCGGCGGTATCTCGTGATTGCTTATTCGACATTAAGCTCATCCGGGCAAACCACGGATCCTGGTCCTTGACAAAGTCTCTCGACCTCACGAACTATTGCATCGCCAACCTTTCACTTTCATCGTCGGCGCCCCATTACATTGCCCGTTCACATCGTCGGAGGCGTTCAGTCGCTACTCCATTGATATCCTTTGTTGTCGCAAACACTTCGCCACGATAAGTTCCATTCACTGCAAGGCGGATACTATCGAGCTCTCCCTACGTTGTATCAAACGTGCTCTTTCATCCCAGCAACTCGACATCTCAAGTCAACCTCGACTTGGACATTCGCAACCATGGCACGCAGAAGCGCACATTCGCTGTCCGGCCTTTTCGCCGTTCTCCTTGTTCTCCTCCTAGCAACGCCAGCTCTCGCAGCATGGAACCAGGCATATTGTTCCAAGCAAAATACTGCTGATACCGACGTTTGTAAGTCTGACCTTGTCGCAATCGCTGAGCAGCACTAACATCCTACAGACACCCAAAAGTTCATGTCCAATGGCAATTGCACAGATCACTGCCGAGACGAGGGCACCTTCGCCTTCGCGGTCATCAAGTACCAAGATTGCTACTGCTCCAACTACATCCCTCGAGACCAAGAAGACGTCAGCAAGTGCGGGAAGGTCTGCCCTGGTTTCGGAGATGAGAATTGCGGCAGCATCGACGACGGTCTCTTCATCTACATCCAGAACGGCTCGCCTTCTGGTACTGCGCCTGCGCCAGGCCCTGCGAAACCAACGCAAGAACCCCCCGTGAGTAGCAAAGCCCCTCCTCCTAGTCCACCTCCGCCGAAGTCGACGTCGACGCCAGCTCCGGCCCCGTCTTCTTCGTCGGCAGAGGACATTACAGTCAGTGCTCTTTTTCGTTGTGTTGCAAGCCATGTTTGTTTCCAGTCCTGTCCGAATTCTCTTGCAACTACAACTTCCCCTTCACTTCCTTTGCTTCTCGTTGATTGACACTTTTGAGCTAGCCTTCAGTGGCGCCGCCAAAGGTCGTCATGATCATCCTGCCGACTATCACGGTAGTTGTCGTACATACGACGGTCTACGCGCCGCCGTCGCTTGTCATCATCAACATCGTTCATGGCATTACTGCATCTATTCCTTTCTCTATTGCTGTACTGCGTCTTTGCGTTACTATCCATCAAGCTTGTTATCACATACTAACGATCACGCCAGACAAGCAAAGCTCCTTCACAAGCTTCTTCACAACCGGCACCCACAAGTCAACCACCCGAGAGCAATCCTACCACTGTACGGACGGTCACCATTAGCGGTGTGGTCGTCACCGTCACGCCATCGGCAAAACCCAGTCCATCATCAACGTCTGCCCCCCGCTCGAACCGACAACGAAGACAAAGGACCGAACGTAGGCGCAATCGCTGGAGGAGTTGCTGGCGGCATCATCGGTCTCTTGGCGATAATAGGAGGCCTCATCTTCGTCCTTTGGAGACGGCGCAAACAACGAGATGCACAAGATGGCGACAACGGTGGTTCATCAGGCGGTATCACGCGCAATACTAGCACTATGAGCAAGGCCGGTCTCCTGGGTGGCACACGCGAAGTCGAACAGCCCTACGGTCCTGCACGAGTCAACACAAATCTCAGCACAATGAACAGTCGCTACGGCGCTGACCACGAATCGGTATCGCCGGGTAGTAATCGACGAAACAGCCAGCCACTCGTCATCGACTCACGGATGAACCCCAGCGCGGTGATGACGTTCGCTGGCGGCAATCTTAGCAGGGAAAGCGTCGCAAGCTTAGACGACAGCCGTGACTACGGGCGACAACTCAACGTGCGGAATCCCGACCCATCATGAGGATGATCACCGCACACCGACCCAAACCGCGAGCTCCGCTGTTTCGCTGGAGAGCACTCGACGTCGGTCATTGTAGTTGGATGCTACCCGCAACGATACGACCTCACGAACACATCTCTCACACTCTTGCACAGGACAACATGACTGTACCCAGCAATGGCACACGGCGTTCTACACCCGGCAGAGAATATCTCATTCCCTTCTACACGGTTCGGCTACTATAATCACTAATAGCGCCACATACCTTTCTGTACATTATTTTCTATTCGCAGGCTTTTCATGCTGTCACGTATATGCTTTTTTTCAGTGGTGCGGAAGGATTTGACTTGGATTCGAGAATGCATCGAGGGAAGGAGACGGAGTACATACAATCATCGCTACAAGGCAGTCGGAAAGTAGTTAGCAGGACTGAGATCTTGAAAAAGCATGAGAGGGAACGTAGGGGCTGAGAAAGCCTCGGACGGTATCACCTACTTTTGAAATACAAACCAAGTTTCAACATTACCTGCGTTTCGTGTTCGTGCTACATTGTGATGTGATAAGTGGACAATGTCTGAGCGTGATAAGCATGGACTCCCTTGCATTGTGGCATGGTGCGATGCTGAGATGTACCCCTGTCGCACGGAGTTGAGGCTCAAGTGTTGCGTTCGCGTCCCCACATTGGCACCGCGCACTACTGACGTGGGATCTTCGAGTGTTCTCGACTTCCATTCTACCTCCACAGAACCCAACACTTCTCTTCTTCTTACAAGTATTATTTACGGTGTCGCATGCTCGTTTCGAATCTTGCATACCGTCGCCCACCATGAGTAAAATGTGGGAGGTAGACCCGGAGACGCGGAGCAAGGTACGTGGATGCGAAATGGGGCGAGGTGAGAGCGGTTTGGGCTAATTGATCGCAGTTGTTGGAGATTCAGAAGACGAATGATAATATGAAATGTGTGGATTGTGGTGCGCCGAGTCCGCAATGGGTATGTTGCAATTGTCCTTCCAACACCTTTCACCCTACTTCCCTCCCTGCCCCTACTCCGCCTCAACCATGACATATACTAAGAATGTACACACTAGGCATCCCCCAAACTCGGCATTTTCATGTGCCTCTCTTGCTCGGGCGTCCACCGCGGTCTCGGTGTCCACATTTCCTTCATCCGCAGCATAACCATGGACGCCTTCAAGGGCGCCGAGCTCGCACGCATGGCCGCCGGCGGCAACAAGCTGTTCCAAGAATTCTTCGATGGCCACGCCTCCAACACAAAAGACAGCCGCACATTCGAAGCGAGCTCGATACAAGAGCGCTACGATTCGGAAGCAGGCGATGAGTGGAAGGAACGCCTGAGCTGTAAAGTCGAGGGCAGGGAGTTTGATAAGAGTAACTTGCCCAAGAGACTACCCAAGAAGGAGAATGTTTCTGGTGGTATGGGAAGTGGTGCACCCTTGAGCGGTCGCGCATCCGCAGCAGGCTCGAGGTCTCAGACTCCGCTGGGCAAAACTCGCTCCAACGACATGCGCTCGAATTCCCCCGCGCTCGGCACAAACGCCATGTCCAGCCAGAAAGTCAAGAACGAAGCCTACTTTGCCAAAATGGGCGCCGCGAATGCAGACCGGCCAGACGGTGTGGCTCCGAATCAGGGCGGCAAGTTCAGCGGCTTCGGCAGCGAGCCGGATCACTGGAAGAAAGAGGACGAGCCGGGCGCACCGCCAGCGTTGGATGATTTCCAGAAAGATCCTGTGGCGGCGCTGACCAAGGGATTTGGGTGGCTAGGCGCGAGTGTGAGTAAGGTGGGCAAGACGGGGTATGAGGGGTGGGTCAAGCCGGGGATGCAGAAGGTGAGACACCATGCCATTTACATGTATATGTATAATTTGAGGCACATTGGCTAACATGGCAACAGCTCGCTGAAGCTGACATCGCCACGCAAGCCCAACGCACCGCCGGCACACTGGGCCAAACCCTCTCCTCAGGCGTCGCCAACGCGGGCACCACATTCAACCGCTTCGTCGAAGGCGAGTCCTCCGCATCCTCCTCCACAAAACGCGAGCCAGAGAAAAAAGACTTCTGGGATAGCTTTGGAGATGCGCCAAAGGGACCGGCAAAGGACAAACAGGACTTTTGGGACGAGTTTAGTAACGTGGGCGAGCAGCGCATGATGGAGAAGAAGAAGCCGAGTGGGATTGGGACGAGTGCGGTCAAGAAGGGGGGTCCGGGCGGGAAGAAGGAGGATGGAGAGTGGGGAGATTGGTAGGCGGCATGTGTGGTGGCGGAAATCAGCATTTGGAGAAATGCATGACTGGCAAGGAGTTCCGGAGTTGAGGTGTAGATGGCATAGATGATATGAGGCCGATCCGGGTTGGAACGGCTTTATGGAGGTATTGGTAGAATATCATCACGACAACGACCTTATCGTTCTATCATTTAGCATCTGGTGTTGATCAAAATTTTCGTTAATTGATAGCTAAGATGTGTGCCAATAGAGTCGAACATCACTCCACATCCAAGCAGAATAATTTTTTTGTTCCCCATGTCTTATATGATCGATGCTCACGATTATCGTCGATGTTGCTCCAGGTCAACTGACGCTCTTTCCTCAGAACCACGCCACGTTCTTTTCTGACCTCAATCTCACTGGCTCCTACCAAACTGCACAGCATTGCGTAATTCGAGCACCATGGCCTCCACGGCTTCCTTCTACGCGTGTTTCCACAGCAATTGTACTAGACTGCAGGCGCCTCGCGTCCATAAAAGCCTCTCCTCCAATCTGTTTCGGCTTCTCTTCTTCACCACACTTCCGACACCGGCATAGACGCAGCGCTTCTGGCTTTTGGTATGTCATCATACCTCACTGCATGAAGCTTGTCGCTACGAGTCATCCCCATTCCCCCTTATCTTCCCTCTCTGCCTGCACCATCGTCCATCACTTCCAAGCAGACACTGACATGATGTAGTGTGGTCCAAGACCTTGTCTCATACACGATCCGGTGATCCTTTTTGGGTACGTTCATTGCTCTCCATCTTGAGTCATCGACCCCATCGGCTCGACCTTCCTTCCATAGCTTTCGAGCCTCTCCGCACGCTCTGCCAGCCAGCTGACGGATTGCATTCTTGCTTCCAGTACATCCACGCTTGCATTCGATCATCGGAGGTCAGCATCACTCATACTATTTCCTCGTCATCACTGACCTTAGTAGTACTTCAAAATCAGCCCACAATGACGCGTCTCACTCCGATTTTACTGAGCGCCTTGCTCTCTGCTCTCACCACCTCCGTCGGCGCCAAGTCCAAGGGCGACCAGGTCCGCCTGTACCAGTGGACCAGCGACAAATGCAACGACATGCCCAAGGGCGGAAATATCGACGTCAAGCGGAATGAATGCGTCAATATCGAGGGCCGGAGCTTCAGACCCAAGATCGACACGAAGCGTCAGAAATGGCTGGACGAAGTCAATGACGGCAACCTCCAGTGTGCTTTGGTCATATTCGATCAATCAAACTGTCCCGAACAGGATCAAGCCGACAGCATCATGTACCTCCCACACGACATTGACGAATGCTATACCTCACCCACCACTTACTCAGTCGGCTCGGTCAAGTTCCTCTGCGCCCCAGCTACTGTCAACCACAACGTGTGAGTTTGCGTCCACACTTACTTCAATATCACAGTTGTGCTAATGGATGATCATCCAGCACATCAACCTACACGAGTACCTCCACTGCTACATCCTGGTCGATCGGCTCTGATGACCAGGTCACTCCGGTGACTCACACGTCGACCCTCTACTCGACCTCCACGATTTCGAAGGTTGCTTCCGCTTCAATGGACATTTCTGCCCGTGCTGCAGAAGTTCGCAAGAAGGAGAACGTGGTCAGTGTGTGGATGAAGCATCCCTGGAGCGGCTCGACTGTCTGCTACGAGTGCTACACCAAGAAGAGCAACGATTTGGGCTGGGTAAAGTGCAAGGCCCGACTCAATGAGGCTCACATGTGCGGACCACGCCCTGATGAGAACCCCGGCGACAAGCCAGCCACCACGACCACCACCGCTACCACTTCGACAACCACCACGGTCACACAGAGCACCTTGCGACCTGGTACCCAGATTGAAACAACCACCGTCAAGGCTCCTGGCGCACAACCGTCCCTACAGGCTCGTTCGTGGCATAAGAAGGTTGCCTTCCGTTCACCTTGGCAGAAGGACCAACGCTACTGCGCAGATGCCGAGTGGGAGAAGCGCGGCAAGCCCAACACTGAGATTCGCCTGCAGAAGGTGCACCTTGCCAAATCAAAGGATGACTGCGCATCCAATGAGTCGATCGATCTGCCTCAGGCTCCCGAGCCCATCCTCGAGACCGCTACAGGCACTGATATCTTGACCGACACTGTCACTGCAACCGGGTACACAGCCAAGGCTACAGTGACCAAGACTATTTACACTGCGATAGTCGTCTCAACCGTCACGGTATCTGAAGCGGAGGGCGCCGCCACGCCATCCACGACATACTGGCCCACTCAGTTCACTCTTACGACGCTTACCTCAACTTCATTCACCATCACGACCCTCGTCCCCCAGGAAACTGTCGCGACCAAGTACATGGGCGCTGCTCTTGCGGATGACCGGGCTGATGTTCCAGTCCACCGGGACCTGTGATTCATTGTCAGGGATATGGAGGAGACAGTGTTGCGTTTGAGGATGAAGGATATTGTTTTTGGCAGGATGCGTCGTGTTGTTCGGCTTTGTATGCTTTTGCAGTATGGTTAGGATGTAATTCTAGTTGAACATTGTTGTTGGGCCCGAGGCCATTGTCAAGCTTTTCCTGCGATATTCTTCTCGATTGTCGGTGCACTTTGCCAATGACATGTGGAGGAGTTTCGAGATGTCTCCGATAGTGGACGTAAGGCTGAAGCACGAGTCTGTCCACGCCAAGACCTCGAATTCCATGACTCGCCCATCAAAAAAGATCGTGACCTTCCAACCTCAACTCCAATCCTGCACCGCAACACACACCATGCGTGCCACCAAATGTCCTTCATCCCCCGCCATGCCTTCCCACCGCTCCTATCGCTCCCGCGCTCCTACTTCCTGGGCCACCACAAGTCCGGGCTCGCTAAAATGAAAACCCTCCTCTCGTCTATCGACCTCGTCATTGAATGCCGCGATTACCGCGTCCCACTCACATCTCGCAACCCTTTATTCGAACAGGCACTTGAAGGGAAAGAGAGGCTGCTTGTATACACAAAGCGCGACTTAGGAGGCGGGAATAGGGATGGCGCAGAGAGCATCGTCAAAGGGTGGTACGAGAAAGAAGGCCTCGCCGGTACCAAAGTCATGTTCGTCCGCAACGGCAAGGAAGAAGCTGGGAGTAAGAAGAGCGTGATGAGAGTGCTGGAAGAGCTGAAAGAGCATGCGTCCAAGCAGTGGAAACTCGTCGGCCACCGCGTCATGATCGTGGGTATGCCGAATGTCGGCAAATCCACACTCTTGAATGCCCTCCGCGCCCAGGGTATTGGCAAGGGCAAAGTCGCGCAGACGGGTGCGCAGCCGGGCGTTACGCGGAAAGTTAGCAGTGGCGTTAAGATTGTGCCGAGCGAGGATGAAGGGGGTGTGGGGGGCGGGGTTTATTTGCTGGATACCCCCGGTGTGTTCATTCCGTATGTGCCGGATGCGCATGCGATGATGAAACTCGCGCTTTGCGGAAGTGTGAAAGACACGATTATACCGCCGGTTATGCTGGCTGATTACCTCTTGTATCACATCAACCTCCACAGTCCTCAACTCTACGGCGAGTACAGCAGTCCGACAAACGACGTTATGGAGTTACTACGGGGCATCGCCGAGAAGACGGGTCGGTTGGGCAAAGGAGGCGTTATTGACACGGAGGCGACGAGCTTGTGGATCATTCAAAGGTGGAGGCGCGGAGAGATGGGTAAATTTGGGCTGGATGAGGTGGATGAGGCGAGTTTGGAGGCGAAGAAGGTGGAGGAGGCAGGTGGTGAGGGAGGCAAGGTGGTTAGTATGAATCAGGCGAGGAGGGGGGAGAGGGAGAGGAGAAGGGTGCGGAATAGGAGTAGGGGGGAGAAGTAGAGGGATGGCACTGAAGTTGGCAATTATCGGTATGGACTTGTCTCATCTCCGCTTGCCCCATTTGCGCTCGAAGTATCGAATCAAGTGTCATTTTTCGTGGGGGTATGGCGTCTTGCGGCTTATCTTGTCTCGAGCTTCTCCTGGAGCCTTCAAGGGGTCAAAATTATGTCCTGACGCACTTCGCTAGAAGCTCGTAACATGTGTCCAGGGTTGTCGCGTGGATCCTACCTAAAGCCTCACGCTTACATCAATCCCGCAATTGTCAAGTGTTCCCTGCTAGATTCATGCATGCGTTGGTCGAAGTGCCGAATATACTGCGATATAGACAGCCGTATACCTACGTGTGACAAGGCAGTGTTATTGCTATCTTGACGAATCGTTCAGGCTAATACTCGCTGGAGCCTCGTGGGCGTGTCTTTTGGTGGAGGCTGAGCTTCCAAGTTCCCCGACTTCACAGCCACAATGGGCTGCATTGCCTTATAAGCAGCTTATTAAAAACAAGCGATACCCCACAACGGACTTGTCGTCAGTTTCTAGGAAAGTGGATCCCACCATGGAATCCTAAGACAAATTCTGTTCTTTCGAACGCGGATTGATCTCGTTTCTCCAAATGGTCGACGAAGCATTTCGCTACGAGCAGCTTGACCTGACCAAGCAACAGATCCGCCTCGTCACTGTCAAGCCGAAATCTCCAGAACGCGAAGATTTCGAATGTGATATACACGTCTTCGATGTCGATACAGCCCCACCCTATGGAACACTCTCATACACCTGGGGTTGGGATACACCAAGGCCTATACTGCTCAATGGAAAGCGCTTCGTGGTTCGCCAGAACTTGTATCACTTTCTGCGGTCCTATCGAAATGATCCCAGCAACGTTCACTTCATCTGGATCGATCAGATATGCATCTCGCAAGCTCATACGGCTGAGCGCAATCATCAAATCCGTCTAATATCCCAAATATACAGTAGATGTATATACGTCGTCATATGGCTCGGCGTACAAGATCGACGGGAGGCTAAACGCTTCGCGACCTTACCTGTGCCGGGCGCAACTCGCATCTCCGATTGCTCCTACCTTCAGCGTCTATGGGTGGTTCAAGAAATACTTTTGCCTCGAGAAGTGCGCGTGCTCTATGGAAGTGTATGGATGTCGTGGGATGAGATCAAAGCTTCTCATGCTCGGGATACCGAAAGACATTCGCGGACTGACACCCTACCGTTTGTTCTTGGAATGAGCATCTTGGAAATTGCAATCAGGCAGGATCGCAACGCAGGAGAATTGACGTTGTATGAATGTCTACACTACTTTTCTATTCAAGAGTGCCATGACTCACGCGACAAGGTCTATGGCCTGCTGGGACTTGTATAAGAGGGGCAGAGGCCAGATGTGGCTTACAAAAAGAGCGTAGAGCAGGTGTTTCTGGATGCCTTGAGGGAAATTCCCTTGGCCGACTGGCTAACTACTACCGGTTCGTTCGTCTACAATCTTTACCGGAGCAGCCACTATATGGGGCTCGAGAAGCACAGCGAGGGCATTACATCATTACTGTGGTCTCTGAAGCACTTTTACGCGAGCTTGCTGTCAGATAAAGAGTACGGTTCGAAGGATCACAACCCTCTAACGGCCATGGGATACGAGGACGTTGGGCCAGCTGGCGAGACAAATCATTGGTGGTACGAACATGACGGCAAACGATTCTCGTCCCCAGTTTCCTTCGCATCCGGAGATGTGCTCTTAAACTCCTAGGCGTCCATTCTGACTACAAGCCATACGCTGTCAGACGAACAAAAATAGGAGAGCCACTTCGTTGGATCCATACAAAGAAAGGTTTTGAACTACAGCGAGTCATGCTTCTCCACTTCCCGGCTCCAACTGCAAAAAACCTGCAAAAACATACAACAGAGGAGATTCGCTAATGGTCACCCACTTAACTACTAACCCTCCGGTACGATGCTTAAATATGGCTGAGCGAACGGGAAGCCTTGCTCTCATCGTCCTATGGTCGTATGTGGAAGTATCGTTGAAAAGTATGTATCATATTCTTGTTGTGTGGGACCCCACCTTCAGAACAGCCCGTCAATGTTGATGAACAAATCCTGCCACCCAAGGGGCATATGCTTAAGATTCAGACCCGGAAAGTCCCATTCGAACACAAACTCGCTCGGCACGTAGCCCTGGAACTCGTCCTCGGCAGCGCGCGCTGCCTCAAGCGATGCGGTCTCCGGACCAGACGATTGCTGCGCGACGTATTCGCCTAATGCCGCCTCGCACTTTTCGATACTGGTCTGCAAGATTTGGAAATATGCGATGTGTCCGACAGTAACCCTCTTCAGCTCTTCCAGTAAGCGATGCGCGTCTCGCAGAAGCGACATGATGGCTGGTACGGGGTCGCGCAGGAGGATAGCGAGTTTGAGAACCAGGAGTACGGAGAATGCGCATTTCGCCCAAACGTAGTCCAGCGTCCACTTGAAGCTACTGAGATAAGGCGAAGTTTGGGCCGGATCTTGTTCACCGACTGATGGCGCCTGGAGAATGCACTCGAGATGCGACGCCGCTGCTTCTTTTGCTTTACGTACAGAATTCTGCTGCGAGTCGGTCATGAGTTCGATGTTCTCAATGCCCGAGGACGCGATGGCTTTCAGATGAAGCGTCATCAGGGCCCAATGCCGCTGAATGTGGAGGTTTTGGAGGGCGATTGCCCGCTCGCGAGCTGAGGGCTCACTGGAGACGATGCTAGTCCACTCGTCGAGCCAGAGCGACAGCTCTACGGTCGTATCATCGAGTACTGTCTGTAATCTTCTCTCCTCCTGGACTGATATCGGATCGCGGTCGATAAGCTTTGTGTAAGCTTCAGCGCGGATGATGTTGAGCTCAATCTGCGAGAGTAGTCGTACATCAACTGCCGTCCGTTCAGGGTGATTGATGAGAGTTCGGATCTTTCGTGGAGAGAGGTAACTAGCATGGTGGCAAAGTCAGCAAAAGTCTAGTCAGCGCTGTCGACGTACGCTACGCTGAAGTTTCTCAGAAGTCTCCAGTAGTGCAAGACGAGCTACGTCGACCAGAACATTGATAAATTGTTGAAGAGCAGCCGGGTGAGGCGTGATCAGCTTACCTAGTCATACCAGGGAGCTTACCACCGTCGAGAGAGAAGAAGAGCTCAAGATTGCAGACGCCGTGCCACAAGCGTGATATGCGATACCATTCTTGCTCTTCTAGACTCATCGTTCTTGATCGATTCATGCATGTGGTGATGAGCTGATCTACGGCGTTTGGGATGCCTGATTGTACTGCAAACCGCAAAGCGAGGGCAATAAGTACGAACCCGTTCTCTGAGTAGGCAGCCATTAGTGTTATTGCTTGGATGTCTTCAAAAGTTGGGGAGCTTGCGCTAATGAGCATGTTTGTGAGGTGATCGCGAAGTCGAGACTGGAGCTGCCGATATGTCGATGAATTAAAGCCTTCTTCAGCTCGGCAGCCGATACTGACGATAGCATCAAAGAGAAATGCGCTTCGAGAGGAGACTGTGGCTATTGTGTCATGCTTCTCACAGAAAATTGGCACAAGATATTGCTGCATGGTCGGTTAGCATCTTTTTTCTCATGTGTAAGAAGTGATCCATACGCTGCCGGAAAAGAAACTACCAGAGGATCAGTCTCGTCATCGGATATAGGGGAATTGTATGTGCTACCTTTGATACCATGATGTCGCCTGTTCCCATGTAATTAGGCCAGCATTAATTGCATCCGAGGATGTGTGACGCTCAGCATGATATTTAGGAGCAACAGGAGTTGGAACAAGATTTTGCTGGTTACTGAAATTGTTCATCTCATGCCGCAGAGAAGCGACTTCAGCTTCGAGCCTTTCTATGCGCAGTACTTTCTCGTCCTGCACGACCTCATAATACTGACAATCTGCATCGTTCCGATGGCACCTCTGACAGGGACGATTTCCATCGCATCGGACTTTGGAAGCTCGGCAATTGACACAGGCATTGATAGCGCGTCGCTTGCGAGGCCGCTGAATTGAGGTCGAATCGTCCATTCCATTCGGGAATTTCGGACGAGGGTGCGTGAATATCTCCAGGCTCCATGATGACCCGCAAATTCGTGGGGAAAACCAGGTTTTTGGACTGCGGAGAAACGGCCGAGAAGAGTGTGGGGAAGGATCCAGGCGTGGACTCGTAACGAGGACCCGGCAAATGAGAATCTTGGCGCCGGGCTTAGCACGGATATGTCGCCCTTTCAAGATACACATGACTGTCTTCAAAGTCCAACACAGATGCACTCGAGTCATTCGCGATCACTAGAGCTTGGACAGCAATCTCTATCAGTATGACGAACAGCCGATGTCAAGATACTTTGGTATGTTACTTCTAGGGTGGGAGGCATGAACAATGATAGTACTTAGCTACATGTGGTAAATGTTGCAATATACTCTTAGCATTACTTAAACTCAGTTGGATATATCTTCTAGAGTACGAGATGGGAATTTTCTAATATACGTAGATGAAATCCTCGTTCTTGATGTCAGTCACATCATCGAACGCCTTGTCTCCAACGCCACTCGCACCCACATTCTCAGCCTCCTCAGCATCTACCTGTCGGCTGTTCTCCATACTCAAGTCAACAATATTCACAGCTTTTCCTAGACTCTCGCGAGTAGCAGCGTGCTTGCGGTTGAGGAGCTTAATCCAAGCCATTGCCACTACGACCAGCACAATGATCAAGACGAAAAGCGCAAGATTGACTTGTAGGCCGCGCCTATAGTACGGCTTCTCAGATGGCTTGAACAGGTGTGGTCCGACGATATTGCCGGCACTGGCGCCTACGAATAGTAGACTGGTGGTCACCTTCCTCTTCGTATCTCCTCCAGTGTTTTGGCCTGACCAGGAGTAGATGAGCGGCGAAATACCTGGATAGAAAGAGGTCATGTAGTAACCGAAGAGCAAAACGCCTCGGTCTGAAGGTTTTCGTCCAACCACCATCAAAATGATGATGCCAATAATGGGTGGAATGCAAAGACCGATCAGGATGACCGACTTCATTTTGTAACGTGTTGCCAACCAAGCACCTCCACACGTTGCGAAGATTTGTACCGCGCCAAATGGCATGTTGAAAAGAATTGTCTCGAACTTGCCAAAACCGAAGCCCTGGATAATGAGCGGACCGAAAGTCGTGATACCACCACTGGGAATTGAGACGGCCGTCAGCATGAAGAACCAGAGCCATGTCTTGACGTCCAGGAATGCTTCGAAGACATGGTCCCATTTCCACACGCGCGAAGCGACACCCATCTGGTTCATCCTGAGGCGCTCGACAGCGATGAGTTTATCTTGGTCGTTGAGGAATTTAGCTTCCATCGGTGAGTCGGGCATGTAGATGTAGACAAAAACGGACGTAACGACGGTGAGCAGACCACAGAAGAGGAAGATGATCTGATACGAGTACAGGATGTTCGACTTGATGTGGCCAAGGCCAAAACAAAGCAAACTGCCGATGATGTTCACTATGCCCAGCATAGCATACCATGCTGCATTACGGTTCGTTTGTTCGGAGCGCTTGTACCACATTTGCACGACGGCGATGAAGGCGGGTGCTATGAATCGTCAGAACGATGGTCGAAATACTTCTGGCATATTGGATAACTTACCGACAGCGGACTCGAAAGCACCCAGTAGGAAGCGAGTAGCCATCAGGCCCCCGAAGTTGTGCGCACCAGCCATGCCACACAGAATGACACCCCAGGTGAAAACCATTATGCCGGTGAATTTGCCCGTGGGAAACTTGACTAGGAAGAATGCGACCAGCGGCTGCATCACCAACTGCGCAATGTACACGATGCTTCCCAGCCATGAATACTGCTGGGAGTTGGGATCAAGTTTCGCATCGGTGATGAGGCCGAACACAGAAGCGTATGAGAGGGTGGTCTTGTCCAAACTTTGGAGGAAGTAAACGGACAACAGGATCGGAAGAATGACAAGATCGATTTTCCGAAGGACTCTCCTGTTCTCCTCTGAAGTTACAACGATGCGGTCGTTGGCCGCAAGAAGCTCTGCAGCTTTGTCTTTACCGCGGGTGTTTTGCAGGGGTTTGTGGATCGATTCGCTCGTCTCGATTTCAGCCTTGTTGATCTCCTGCTGAGCAGACATATTTGCGTCTGCCTTCGACATACTGAAATAATGGGGAAGAGATGCCCCGAAGAATTTGTGTGCTGCATGATGGTGGAGTAGACCTGGAGACTTATATCCACACCCCATGGGGACCCCAGACGTCACTCTTTTCCCTTCATAGTCTAGCTTTCACGACTCAGTCCACAGGACACACTAGTGTCGGCCGAAACGGCCGAAGCGGGCGAAGACTAGATCGTCGGCCTCGTACCATAGACAGCTGACCATAGTCAATATCCGGCATTTAAGAGTGATGGTTCTCTTGAATGCCCGGCAAGAGAGGAAGGATACACTCATCGCGTACTTGCATCATGCCCCAGCTCGAGCACATCCCACAAGGCTACGACGTCTCAACGTCTGCCAATGGCCTCGATACGAGGCTCCAGTTGCAATCCAAATCCGGAGACTTCCAGTTTACCTTCGAAGCTTTGCGACCAGGGCTCTTCAGAACGACATTCACTTCTCCGAAGCACCTGCTGCCACCTCATCGAGCAGCACCAGTCCCGAAATGCGATTTGAGTGGAGTGAGCAGTGAGACCAGCTCAAGTGCTTCTTCAAAGTTGATTAATGTTGCTGGTGTCAATGCGAGCGTAGACTGGGCAAGTGGCTTGCCCTTGGTATCTCTGACACTCTCTGGTCAAAAAGCGCCCATCCACCACGATTTGCCACACCGGTCTTACGGAGCAGATGGTACCGGCGTAGTGCACTACACTCGCTATAATCATGGTACACTTCATCTTGGTCTTGGCGAAAAGCCGGCGCCCATGGATCTATCTAACCGTCATTTTGTCCTTTCAGCAACGGACTGTTTTGGCTACGATGTTCACCGGACTGACCCAATGTACAAGCACATACCGCTTCTCATCAACGCTACGCCAGAAGGCTGTGTCGCTGTATTTTCGACGTCGCATGCACGCGGCTTTTACTCCGTTGGGTCTGAAATGGACGGGATGTGGGGTCGGTTCAAAGTTTACCGCCAGGAGTACGGTGGCCTAGAAGAATACCTCCTCGTTGGAAAGACGCTGAGGGACATCGTCACAATCTATGCAGATCTTGTCGGATACCCATTGCTAGTCCCAAGATGGGCTTTTGGTTACCTCGCAGGCGGCATGAAGTATTCCATGCTGGACGAACCACGTGCAGCCGACGCTTTGATGGAGTTCGCGGGCAAGCTCAAGAAGTACGACATTCCCTGCTCAGGCTTCCAGATGTCTTCTGGTTATACGGTGGCTGAGACGGAGCCCAAAACCCGCAATGTATTCACTTGGAATCGCCATCGCTTCCCCGATCCGGAGGGCTTTTTGACTGCGTTCCACAAAGCAGGCATAAGGCTGATAGCGAATGTCAAGCCCTATGTCTTGGCCAGCCACCCAGAGTACAAGAAACTCAAAGCGGCGGGTGCTTTCTTCACAGACTCCCTAACCTTGGCGTCTGCGGAAGCACGGTTATGGAGTGCTGGAGGTGGCGAAAGTGGTGTCGGTGGACACATCGACTTTACATCAAAAGCTGGCTACCAATGGTGGTACGATGGCGTAAAAGAGCTGAAGCGCGTCGGTATTGATTGCATCTGGAACGATAACAACGAGTACACGGTTCCCCACGACGGCTGGCAATGCGAGTTGACGGAGCCGAACGTGATCCAAGATGGCGCGGCTGAGTACGGCAAGGACATTGGGTTCTGGGGTCGCTATCTAAACACAGAGCTGATGGGCAAAAGCTCGCATGATGCGACACTTGAAGCTGAGCCCGGCCAACGGCCGTTTATTCTCACCCGCAGTGCAACAGCAGGAACATTGAGATACTGCGCAAGCTCATGGAGTGGCGATAACGTCACAAGCTGGGATGGCATGAAGGGCGCCAACGCACTTTCTCTGACCGCCGGTATGTGTCTTATGCAGTGCTATGGTCACGACATTGGCGGCTTCGAAGGACCGCAGCCCTCACCGGAGCTTCTAGTCCGATGGGTCCAACAAGGCATCTACTCGCCTCGATTCGCCATCAACTGTTATAAGACCTCGCCAGACAACAACACAGTCGGAGATGTAATCGAACCCTGGATGTATGAAGAGACGACGGCGCTTGTTCGAGACATCATCAAGCGTCGTTATGAGATAATACCCTACCTGTACTCACTCTCCCTCGAGTCTCACACACATGCAACGCCGCCTCAACGATGGACAGGTTGGGGCTACGAGTCTGATCCTGAAGTATGGAGCAACAAAAATCTCACAGACGGGGAGACACAGTATTGGCTCGGTGACGCGTTACTTGTGGGTGGCGTCTTCCAACCCCGCGAACAAACGTCAAAGGTGTATCTGCCCAAGAACGCGTCTCAACCAGATCTGCAGTTCTTGGACCTCAACAATGCACCGCAAACATACTACAACGCTGGCCAGTGGGTGGATGTCCCTGCAAAATGGACCGAGAGTATTCCTGTCCTTGCAAAGGTTGGAAGCGCAATACCTGTTGGTCGCAGCGAACAAGTCCTCGCCATGGGCGATGCGTCCAACCCGGCCAGCCTCCCGCTCGATGACTACCGGGCCGTTGAGCTCTTCCCGCCAAAGGGTTCATCGAACGGCACAGTTTTCACAAATGTGTGGTATGAGGACGATGGTGTTAGCCCACCACCAGCAAAGATCTCAGTGTTTGAGATCAAGTACCAGACGACGGACAGTGAGGTGCAAGTGGAATATAGCGAAAAGCTACAGCCTGGATTTGTGCCACATTGGAAGGAACTTGGCACCATATTGCCAGTCGGTGATGGAAGGGCGGTAAAGGTGAATGGAGAGGTCGCTAAGAAAGCGCAGACCGACGGAAAGGGTAGATCGCACTTTGCGAGCTCAATTAGACGAGCTGTCTAGATACAACAAAGAGGTAGTGAAAGATCTCATCATTACAAACGGGCTCTCCCTCAACGTGACAAAATTTTACTCGTCCTCTCATGACCCCATCCCGCCGCCTAATACGTCATATACCGGGATTTCTCCGATCCCCATAAAGGCTCTGTGATAACCTTGGTAGTCAATCGCTCACCATAAGAATATTCGGCCACAACAAATCGAACGACCACATACTAGACTGTGATCAACTCGATCAGCCATGAAGATTACGCACTTCATACTCGCCGCCGAATTTTGCGTCACAACGATGGTGCTTGCACTAGTACCGCACTCTAAGCGGAGCGAGGCAGGTCAGTCGCTTTCGAAGCCTTTGCGCTTCGACTGAAATAACGATGAGTAGGCAGACCGTCAGTCGGCGGAGATCAGAATGATCACATCGACCTCGACCCTATTCTCGATGCTCTTGAACTGCGCGATCAGCTTGTTGAGCAGCCTTACTTCGAAGACCCATATGTGACTCCAGGTCCCAACAGTACCCACAAGTCTGCACCGGCGTATTATGCGGCAGTCCTGCCTCCCGAAATGACCGGCTGGAACACTACCACCTCAGTTGAGTCGAAGACTGGAACTGGCGCTGCCTCAGACTTTTCATTCGGCTCCGACTCACCTGCGCTGGCTACCTTTCCCTCGGAACCTAAGACGCTCTACGCAGAGACGCGCGTTGGATTTGAGAAACACCACATAGGCACATTACGGAAGGGCCGCCTCGAAAATGCTGTTTATGAATGCCTGAAGACTAGCTGTCCCTTGGACGACGAAAAGCGAGGCCTGAAGCCTTGTACCCCCTATAACACGCATAATTGCCGCGTGTCAAATATTGTGTACAATGCTGAGCCACACGACAAATATGCCACCAACTCGTTCCTCACTATCCAAGTTGAGTACGCCTATCACAATCCAGTGTGGCCAGGCTTGGGTGATGCCGTCGTGAGTATACCCTTCTTTTTATTTCTAAAAAGGACGTTTGCTGATTGAGTGAAGTACCGAGCAGCAGCATCCTTGTATCGGATCATGTCTGATGTCGAGGACGGACCAGGAGACGACGGAACAATCAAAATAGGTGCCTGCCAACCCATTGACTTCCCCGGCTCTCGCAGAACCTTGTTGTGTAATGTCCCTCGAAGCGTGTCCGTTGGATTTCCTGTCAACAAGGATCACCCTAAAGGAGATGCAGGCGAGGTTCAAGCTATGGTTGCTGTTAGCATCTACTTCAACGGCAAGACTAGCGATGGCGATTACAATGTCATTTTTCCTAACCAGCGGTCTCACGACGCTATCATGGAAAGATTCAAGTGGGACTGGCTGCCACACTTTGCGAAGTCCATCGGTCGCCCCGAACAAGATCTTGATACGAGGGTGACCTACCTCAGGGAAGAGAAGACATGCCAAGCCTGGTTTTGGTACGAGGACCCGAAGTGCAAAATGTCAGCGAACCCTCCCTCCCCAGGGGTATAGCCCCAGCCCGTTGGAGACGGCAAGCATGTTCCAAGTCCAATGGGGTAGCCAGGATTTTGATAGTATGGTGCGTTCGTGACATAGTACCATAGAAGGAAGCTCAATCCATATCGGAGTGAATGCCTTCACTTTCAATCCAGGTACACTGATAATCGAGCTCTTAAATTAATCGTTGTGCGTCCTAGGCCAAAGCTATCCCCTCTCTCGTACACCTTTGACACAAACACACCCCTTCAAACAACGCCCACAATCCGGCCGTTCTTTGTTCTACGTCCATGCCTGTGGCATGTACATAACTACTAAAAAGCCTCTCACCACTCTTGACATCCCTCTTCGTATAGACTGCAATCGTGGTTCCGCCCTGATACCTTATTCACGCCATATTAACATCGCAAGAGTGATTGAACAGTGGCAAATGCAGCGCAACCTCATCCACAAAGCCTAAACTGGCATGCAGTGGTCCGACTTTGTCATTCGCCAATCGAGTCCAAACCGTGTGGAACACTATTGTGTAAAATTGGTGATTCGTGAAAATGTCGATGTCAAGCTGCTGTAAAATCCTGATGGGCGTGAGGATACACTCGTTGAACGTGAAGACGTCGATGTGTTCGCGGCTCGAAAGAGGTTGGAGGCGTGCGATCAGCGGATGAGATAGCGGATGGGTGCATGATCGAATGGATGCCGCGATGAAGCGGAGCATAAGAAGTGGTCGTACCGGAGAGGCGTTGTGTGTCAAACCGTGAATGGGAGATTGAAGCCAGGAGAAGCCTTATCCGCACAGGAACTCGTGGTGGGTTCTGATTGCGATGTCGTGACATTTGATGGAGCAGTAGGGGATCGAACAACATGATGCTTGAACAGGGTTACCTGTTATCGAAGTGAAGCAGTTTAAGCAAGAGGCCGGATCTGGATTGCTGCATGCTACCGTAGCCGTACAATTTACCAATGTGAACTCGGCGGCTTGGATATTTCTTGCTGCGGACATTCCGAGGTCATCGCTATCTAGAGCAAGGCCATCCCTCCAGATCACATGTTCGCGAGCCATCAGTGTACAGAAGCTCGTGATTGACTGTTTTAATGATCTCAGCAATCTCGCAAAATGCTGTTCGGGAAGCCATGGGCAGTCCACAGTGATAGTACCACCATCTCTCAGTAGATCTCTTCGTTGTGGGTGGGTTTCGGGAGGTATAGATGTCGTACATAGGAGTGAACGCCAACAATGCGGGATTCTCAGAGTGGCGGAGCCATTAAGCCGTCACGATACCTGCGAGGTGTTGTCGACTCTTCGTTGCAGCGGAAGGTGGCGTGCACCACCATGTCAAGCACAAGTCGTAAATCTCAGCTACATGCCTCGGAAGAGAGCCGTCCGATGCACCTGATCACGCATGATTGACTCATGAGAAAGTCGCGACATTGTCAGCGCGGATTCGCACCTCCTGTTCACGTTTCTTGCTTAACAAGCAAGGTCCGAGTTCCGAAGGTGGCTTGCCCCACCATCCCAATACTGACGCGATTGCGACTGGCTTCCCAGTGTTTAACACCGTCGCACCTGCCCATTGTAAATATGGCTTTACCTATCTCTTCTGCTCCTCACATGGACAAACATCAAATTCCGCCATGACTCAGAAACCGATCTTGATTGCCGGCGCAGGCATTGCCTCTCTCCTCCTCGCACAATCCCTCCGACGCTCCAACATCCCGTTCCGTGTCTTCGAGCGCGACGCATCCATCGTCTTTCGCGCACAGGGATATCGCCTGCGACTGTCTTCTGAAGGCATTGACGCCATTGAGTCTGTTCTCGGACCAGAAGGCTTCCAAAAGTTCTATGACGCGTGCGGGAAGACGGGAGGCGCGGTCTTTGCCGCCATCGATCCCTTGACCGGCGAGACCTTGGAGAACCACGAGAGCGTCAAACGCGAGACTTTGACGAGTCGTGATGGCAAAGTAGTGGGCATATCACGCGGCGATATGCGCACGCTTTTCATGGAGGGTTGCGAAGACCATATCCGCTGGTCAAGCCACATCAAGGGCTATGAGAAGACCGACGAAGGTGTGCGCGCTGTCTTCGCAGACGGTAGCAAGAGCGAGGAAGGCAGTATGTTGATCGGTGGCGAAGGCATCAAGTCGGCGGTTGCGAAGCAGCTCACAAATGGTGCCATCAAGGTGTATGATCTAGGCTCCAGGGGAATACACGGTCAAGCACCTACGAGTGCGTTCAAGGACCTCGGGGAAGGCGTCTTTCGGATGGTGGACGAAAAGAGCAAGCCGGGTGGTAAGGTCTTTCTCATCACCAATGTGCGCGCGCAGGACAAGGACAACCCGGATGTCATCTTTGGGTGGACGCTCGGCGGCTCACCAGGCATGGTCAAGGCTCCCAACGACAATTATACTATCACCGGTAAGCCGGCAGCAGACATTGCGAAGGCTCTGACGAAAAACTGGCATCCGCGCGTGAAGCCTCTCTTTGACAACATGCAAGAATCCGAAGCCGCCTTTTGGAAGATCACATGCTCGTCACCAGATGGCGTACCTGAGTGGCCCAGCGATCCGCGTGTCACCGTGGTCGGAGACGCGGTGCATGCAATGACCCCTGCTGGTGGTAACGGTGCGAATACCGCCGTCCGAGATGCTGCGCTCTTGGGCAGGCTGCTCGCTGAGTCTGGCGGTTACAAGGCTGGACTTACTGAAGCTTATGAAAAAGAGATGAGGGTGTATGCAAGTGAGGCTGTCAAACAGAGCTACGCGCAAGCGACTGGTCAATTTGGTGCGAAGATTGACGAGAATACAGAATTGGTGTCGTAGGTGCGCTCATACGCAGTGCTTAGAATACTTCTGGTCAAGCTCGATTCTCTCTGCTGACCTCATAGTAGCTACATAATAGATTGCTGTTCACCTTCCTTGATCTTGAATTATGCGATGGCGGAAACGCTTCCATTTCAAGCTGTCCTGCCGCTCATCGCACCCATACCATCTCACGTCACATCCACCAAGCTGGGCCAAGTCAGCCACCCCGCACTTTGCATGGTGGGGAGAGGCTTGTCATATCCTGACATAGTTAGCTGTCGATAAAGTGTAACTCCAACGGCCAATCGGTTATTATCTGTGCTGCAAGGTACGTGAGTTTCTCCGGCCCCAACTACGTGATGATCACCAGGCCGGGAGGAAATGACCCGGGGCCCGTGGGACGTACGGGGAGCACTTATGAAGAGCGTGGAGACCACTCCCTGCATCCCAGATCGCGGGCGTCAAGAAACTCGAGACCTGGAAACGTTTTGAAAGGAACGCATTTCTTTTAGTACAATCGCGTTTCTCTCACCATGATGCTCCTTCGGGCGTTGCCCACTCCTTCCGTGTTTATCTCCCTGGGGCTATTGGCATCGGTTTGCTTCGATACCACGATAGCATACGACATTGCGGCACGTCAAAGCCCCACTCAGCCACGAGAACGCACATCGTTAAATGCGGGGTGGCGTTTCTCACGCTTCACCACGAACCCAGATTCATTAAGCTATGATACTCTCAAGCCCTGGATCTTACCCGCAGCGAACGACTTCCTAAGCGAAAAGAAATACGAGAGACCCTCGACGCCTGCTCCTGGTGCCAACATCAGCTATGTGCGCTCTGATTTCGATGACGACGATTGGGAAGAACTCAACCTGCCGCATGATTGGGCTATAAGCGGTACATTCGATGCGCCGGGAGTCGATGGAAACTTGGGTCTTCTACCCATTAATGGCGTTGGCTGGTATCGTCGTACGCTTTCCATCGATACAAGCACAATCACGTCGGGCAAGTCTATTTTCATCGACGTTGATGGTGCCATGTCTTATGCCGCGATCTGGTTGAATGGAAATCTGGTGGGCGGATGGCCTTTTGGGTACAATTCATTCCGCCTCGACCTGACACCGTATGTAAAGGCTGGCGAAAACCAGCTTGCGATTCGGCTGGACAATGCGCTCGAGTCTTCGCGATGGTATCCTGGCGCTGGCATTTATCGCAACGTTTGGCTTGTCACCGTTAACCCTGTTCATGTGGCGCAATATGGTACTTACATTACCACCCCATCGGTCTCTGCTCAAGAAGCAAGCGTCGATATCGTTGTTGAAGTCGAGAATAAGGGCAATGGCAGTCAGCAGGTAGAGGCGTCTACCGAGGTTTACGAGCTCGACCCAGCCACCAGGAAAGCCTCTGGGAGAGTTGTCGCGACATTCTCAAAGACAGCGCTGACACTCGATGGGAACTCCAAGAAATCAGTTAGTGGATCCGTCAAGGTCCAGAGCCCGAAGCTATGGGGCCCTGTTCCGGCACAGAAGCCCCACGAATACGTTGCGATCACCACTTTGGTTTCCAATGGAACCACACTTGACAACTACGAAACTGTTTTCGGTATTCGCTCCATCAAATATGATGCCAACACGGGAGTGCATATCAATGGAGAGCCCGTTCGCGTCTACGGTACCTGCAATCATCACGATCTCGGTTCTCTGGGTGCAGCCTTCAACACTCGGGCTGCTGAGCGTCAAATTGAGATACTTCAGGAGATGGGCAACAACGCACTACGCACATCTCATAACCCGCCAGCACCAGAATTTCTCGAACTCGCTGATCGAATGGGCCTCATGGTCATGGACGAATTGTTCGATACCTGGAATTTCGCCAAGGTAGCGAATGACTTCCACCGCATCTTCCCGGAATGGCACGAGCCTGATCTTCGTGCATTCATTCGACGCGATCGCAACCATCCTTCCATCATCTCGTGGAGTATTGGCAACGAACTTCCCGAGCAGTCCAACTCGACTGGCGCCGCGACGGGCAAGGCTTTGCAGGACATAACTCACGAAGAAGATCCGACAAGGCTCGTAACTGTCGGCAAGAACAACGCAAACCCTACCACTGGACTTGCAGCCGCAATAGATATAATCGGTTTAAATTATCAGGGAGAGGGGCGTGGAAACTCCTGGAACAGCACATTCCCTTGGTTCCACGAGACGTTCCCCGAAAAGATGATCTGGAGCACTGAGTCTGCATCCACCCTGAGCTCGCGCGGCATCTACCTCTTCCCAGTCACGTCTAAAAAGTCCGCAGTTGTTGGCGGCGCACCAGGTGACGGAGGCGACCCAATGACCAACCACGTCAGCTCGTACGACTTGTACGCACCCAGCTGGGCGGCATCTCCGGACAAGGTCTTCGAGGCACAAGACAAGCACCCGTACGTTGCTGGCGAGTTCGTCTGGACTGGCTGGGACTACATCGGGGAGCCCACGCCTTACGACAACTCCAGCCGCAGCAGCTACTTTGGCATCATCGACCTCGCAGGCTTCAAGAAGGATCGTTTCTACCTCTACCAGTCTCGATGGCGTCCGGACCTCCCTATGGCGCATATTCTGCCGCATTGGAGCTGGCCCGAAGATCGCGTGGGCCAAGTCACACCCATTCATGTTTTCACTTCTGGCGACGAGGCCGAGCTTTTCGTCAACGACGTCTCCGCTGGTCGCAAGAAGAAAAGCGAATACGATTATCGCCTGCGATGGGACAACGTGACATACTCGCCTGGTTCCGTGCGTATCGTGGCGTACCGCGATGGCGCAGAATGGGCGTCAGCTTCGCACGTAACTGCCGGCACACCCGCTTCCTTGAACGTGACGGCAGATCGCACGACCATCACAGCTGACGGTTACGACTTGTCGTTCATCACAGTCGCAGTGACGGACAAAAAGGGCAATGTAGTGCCACAAGCCTCGAACGAAATCTCTTTCTCGATTGCGAGTGGTGAAGGCAAGATTGTTAGCACGGACAATGGTGATCCGACTGACATGGTGCCTTTCCCGTCGCTGAAGAGGAAGGCGTTTAGTGGTTTGGCGCTTGCGATTGTAAGGAGCGAGCCTGGCAAGGCTGGGGAGATTGTGGTTGAAGCTAAGGCGGAGGGCTTGGCTGGTGGGAAGGTGGCTGTGACTGCGGCTTGATGAGTTCGTCGGGGCATGTAAGTGAGCTGTCTTGCGACCGAAAAAATCATCGGTACCCAGCAATGATCATTACACACATTGTTTTGTTGCAAATTCCCAGCGCAACTGCATGAAAGGCCCTCCTGCTTTACGAAAGTCAGAACCGTAGCTTTGTGTACAACATTGTTGACGATCTTCAATCTTCACGGCAGTCTATTCCTAGCATGCGCATGCCGCGGAGTTTCCTCTCTTGCTGAATGCAATCGATGCGGCTCTTTGCCGTACGTAATTTCGCGAACGTCAGGTAGGCGGAGTGTGCTTTGTCGCAACATAATTCCAAAGTGAAACGACTCGCGCATGGGTATATATTATATTATTGTAAAGACTGGTCATAGCGCCTCTCTAAGGATGGTAACATCGGTGGTAATCTTCACTGTGTCTTTCCCATCCTGCGTCCCCACGTCGCTGATGGTCCGGTCGGTCGGGCTCATGCTGTTCTTTCGAGAATCTTGGAGGACGAGTTGAATCTCATCATCGCCAACACCCCCAGCTTCAACACAGGCTCGAGATGAACCTCCCATGCGGCCGTGAAAGGATGGCTGGTTGAAGGACCTGCGTGGACCACTTTGTACGTATCCGCTAATGCCACGGTTGGATGTGTTTTGTGGAGTTGCCTTCACGATTAAGGGCTTGAGCGCAGGGAGCGAGACAACGATGGTTGCAGTAGCCATCTCAGCGGTATACCACAAGTCTAAGACAAGTTAGGTTGTGATCTGAGGGGGGAAGAAAGAAGCTGAGTGTACTTACTCCCAGATGCGTCATCGACGAGCCCAGTGCTTACTTGGAACACAATGAAACGAGTTAGACTGAGGACGATGGTGATCAACCCCAGTGAGAATATACCGCACAAAGCAAACTTCTGTCGCTTTCGCAACTGGAGACAGCTAATTATAAAGAACAGGAGGATAAATACTGCAAGTCATTAGCTACTTATCTTAGATTTGTCTAGTGCGCATACCTAGCAAGTCTGTCGTAAAGTTTAATGACTAATTAACAACTACTGCCTTAACAGAGTTCTATAAGGACAGCTCCTAATTCTTGATAGACCTATATAAGTAAGTTTAACTTAGCTTAGATAGTAATAAATTAAGGCATAGTTACGCACTAGTTATTTGAGATAAGTTGCAAAACGCAGGTATTAACTAGAAAAGCTGTAATATAGGCGCAGGCGGTATACACAATGCCTGCCTAGAGAGCTATACGCAGACGTTAGAAACTGCGCAGTATAAGCTACTAATAGAAAGATAGAATTGCAGCTTTAGGAAAGTACAACTTAATATTAAAGTAGTAAGATGCTATAAAAATAGCCTAAGTGCTACTACGTTAGCAGCGTAGAGAGTAGATATTAATTATACTATATACTATTAGATATAACACTAAATCTGTCTTAAAGTTATTCTCTAGCAGTAATAGATAATTAACTTAAAGGTTAAGAGTAATAGCAGAGCAGATAAACTACTCTAGAGTAAAGAACTATCTAGCCTATATAAGGTAATTAGAGAGTATTAGCTTATAATACTTTAGCTATAAACGAATTTAGCAGCGTAGCATAGTAATTGCTAATGTAAGAATAACTAGTAATGCCTATAGAACCTAGTAATAAGGTTAGATAAGCGTAGACGCAACAAGATAAATAAATTGCTTACTAGAGACGTTAGAATCTTTATCTTAACCTACTACCTTCTTGCATTTAAGCAATTTTAATAGCACTAGAGTTTAAGGTAATTTAGAATTAGAAGTAAATAGAAGATAAGAGATGCGCATGCAGCAGCGTATATACTTATATAACTATACTAGAGACTGCCTAGAATTACTTAGCACGCCTAAACTATATTTCGCTTCTTAGAAACTCTACTAATATAGCAGCTACGCGATATAAGTAATATAATATTAGAGTGTTAACTAAGCTAATAACAGCATATTACTTAGCCTATAATTTATTAAAGTCTTAGATATATTTGCTGCTAATAGATATAGTTGTATAATTAGTAGGCTAGCATAATCTAGACTTTAGCTTAGAGCGCAGTATATAATATAAGTAGTATATTAGAAAGATATAAGGTTTCTGCGTAGACTAAGATTAAGCCTCTTATAGAAGAGCGAGGCCTTTATATAGAATCTCTTATCTTATATAGCGTTAGATAAGTAAGTTACGTAATATGCGTAATTGCAGAGATTAACGCATAGATTAATACCTAGTTTCTAGATTCGAAGATTCTAGATCTAATACTATAATTTAGAGATGCGCAGGTATATCTCTGCTTAGTTAGAGAAAGCAGATTATAGCTTAGCTTACTTTCTAGAATATAGTGCATTATATAAAGATAACGTAATTAACCTTATATATATTAACCTTAGTTGTAGAAGGCCTACACGCTATTAAAGCATAGTTATAGTGTATATATTATACTCTAGAATTACTTAGAATAAAGGTTTTACTAAAATTAATATAGGAAATCTTAAAGAATATACTTAGTTACGCCTCTACTTATATAAACGCGTCTATTTTACCTTAATGCTCTAAAATATTAAATCTCTAATTAGTAGAAGCAGCTACTTTATTCTAAGGTATAATTAAGTATAAGTATACTTTAAGCTTTCTCTAGGCTATATAGCTATTATATAAATAATGCCTGCCTGTCCTCGAGTCTACCTGCATTTCCAGTGGGAATGCAGAGCTTAGCCAATTAGAATAGGCCTTGGCAAGGCGCTATGTTGTGGGAATGCAACGTGGAAATGAATGACCTTCTAGGGGGAAATAATATATTTCTAAGAAGCCATTTTGTGCAGTTTTACAAGGGGAATCCAGATCTCTAAACAGTTTATTCATAGCATCAAAATTCGTTGTGATGCAGGCATTTAAAGTCAGAGGGTTTGCTTTGGTGAGGAACTTCAAAACTCAAGCTGCTACCCTAGGCCTGCCAGCGCCGACGTGCCGATACCCCGCTTCTTAGCTTAGTAAGCCCTAGCCACAATTGCGACACCTGTTACTTTATTCAACACTAGCTAACATCCTCAATTACTTACTCTCTTCTTAAGACAGCTTATATTCAATGATATTTTAAGTGTTTAATTCTAATTCTTTATTGCCTACATAATTGCTACATATAATTATGCAGGCTCAAGAAGACTCTACCTTATCACCACAATTTACCAGCGCTTGCGCGCTACTTCACTACCTCCCTGAATTCAGCACAATTATTTGCACCCAGCATGGAGGCATAAGAAACTGGGAAGCCCACCTAAACCGCAGTCATTCAGTACCACCTAAGATCTGCAACCAAGTTGGCAGGGAGAAAGGCTTCCTAGAACTGCCAGTATTGCAGATTACAAGTCCTCGCGACATTACCTACTCTACTCATAGTAGAGAACCAATTGCGCTTCTGGGAGACCCAATTCACGCATGGCAATGCAAAGAGCAGCGCTGTGGCTACATCAGTACCAACCAAAGAACTATAGCCCAACACTGTAACAAAGAGCACCAATGGCGAAGCTCACCAGCAGCAAGGGAGCATTGGCAGGGAGTAAAAGTCCAGACGCTCTTCAGAACTAGTGGCTATCAGCGCTATTTTACCGTAGCAACACCTAGTTCAGGCACCCTAGACCCTGATCATACAGGGACTGTTGAAAACGTGTCCTTGAATCCTGAGACAACTACCATCTTAGCTGAATACTGGAACGCTCAGCAACAACGACTTAATGCGTATAATATCGCTGAAGCTATTATTCCCAGAACAGATCGAACTGGCTGGTTTACCAGGAATGGCTGGCAAGAACACCTTGGAAAACATAACCTGAAACAACTTTACTGGGCAAGCCGGCTACCTGATCGCTATGATACTTTATTACAACAGGCAGTTAGGGTAGTAGACTTAGCTATGGAGCAGGGAGTAGCCGGTCTTTCTACCTTGCCTCTGGAGACCTGCCGCTGGTTAAGAAGCCCTAAGAAGACAGAGATTGAGACCCGGCCTATGGGACGCCTTCAGAACAAGGCATCCCAACAGCGTTATACTGGATATCTGAAGCGCTTTACCTGCTACTGCCTTAGAGTTGCACAGGCAATCTGTGAGGAAGAAATTACTAGCAACACTCAAATGCCCACGGCTGCTACACAGGACCCGCCAAGCTCTTCCTCTGGCTCTGATTTAAGTACAAATACTTCAACTCAGCCAACAATACGTCAACATCCGCTGCATGACGCTGTAGCCTTATTTCCCTGGCAAGAGAATCAACTAGAGCTTGCAATGAGCTTTGTTCAATCCCTGAATCTCGATAATGAGAGCACTCAAATTCAGAAGCTTATTAAGCTACTAGGAGCTTTCATTTTCCAGCACATTAGCGGCAACCAGTTTTCTAGTGGGCTTGTTCATTTTCTGGCTATCTTAGGCATTAACTCACATACCCACCGATTGCGGCGCGCCGAAGATTATTCAGGCATACTAGCAGGCATGGTATACTGCCTTAGAGTAATTGCAGTAGAAGCTATCCTACCATCTGCCACCCGGGAGCAACAAGGCCAGACAGAGCGAGAATTCTTTCACCAACAACGCGAGAATTACCTTGTTGATGGTTCATACAGCCCGTTCAGTATCATGATCAGCCTCTTAGCCTATGCTAAACATATTGCATTTAACAAAAGTAATGAGGCTGATACTCTGTGGTCTCAAGATTACACTATCCTCTATTTTCGTGGCCGGCCTCTTGTTATTGAGCGTTTCAAGAGCATGGTATTAGGTCTGGTAGAGGCTGGACAAAACAATCTCTGGGAAGACCTTATGTTTGTTCCTCTTGCAGCAAACCGCTTTAGTCTCCCTATTGCAACTATTCAGGATGATGTTCGCTGCGAAGTTAGAGGGTACTCCTTTCTTACTAACAAAGCAAACAATCTTGGTAATGGCTTTGAATGGACTCTCAACCAACTTCTCACCAGCTCTACTGGCCAACAAATGCGAGCTCAAGGGATGTGGACACACTCAGCTGTTCGCAAATTTATTAAGCGAATTGACTCTTTTTTAGAGCTTCTCTTTCTATTAGTACACATAACTGGTGGCCAACCTGCAAGAGGAACTGAGATTGCATCAGCAAGGTGGCGCAATGACTACGCTCAAGACCGCAATATTTACGTGATTGATGGCCAAGTTGCCTTTATCACCCGATATAACAAGACTCAGTCACAATGGGATCAACCAAAGATTATCCCACGCTTTCTACCCTCAGCAGTTGGGCAGATACTACTTCTTTACCTAGTATATATCTGCCCTTTGCGCGAATACCTTTGCTGCACTGTTCTAGGCAACTCTTACAGCGACTACCTCTGGTCAACTGACACTGGAGCTTGGGAGCCAGATTGGTTTACTCATGTTATGCAGAGAGAGACTGGGACTCGTCTTGGATGTACGCTTGGGTTGCTGGAATATCGCCATGCTATCTCTACAATTGGACGCCAGTTTATTGGAAAAGACTTTCGCTATGGTACGCACGATCGCAACTCTCAAGAAGATCCTGAAGAACTGGAGGAAACTGAATTAGAGAGCGGAATTGATCTCCAAGCAGGCCGTACGGAACGAATTGGACTACAAAGCTATGGTGTACCAATGGATATGGTGAAGAACTTAAGCTCACGCTCAATACACTTCTTCCAGGCCCTAAGTAACCACTGGCATGAATTTCTTGGGTTGGAATCCTCAGAGCCTCATACCAGAAACTCTTCAGGCCAAGGGCCGTCAAAAGTCAGCATGACCCTGCCACTTATCTCTGGCCATCCTACCCTAAGGCACCAGCCACAAAGCATAGAGCATCCAGGTATAAACTCTCAACCGCCAACTAGCCCAGTCGAGCGTCCAGTAAAACGGCTGCGCTTGCGCCAGGCATCAGTCAGCGAAACCTCTATCAAAGCTGCAATGAGCAAAGCGCTTAATCAACCTAACCCAGCGTATAAATCCGCTGAGCAAGCACAAGCGTTAGGAGCAGTAGTTAGTAGCCAAACCCCAGTTGTAGTTGTACTACCAACTGGTGGCGGCAAAAGCCTGCTTTTTCTAGCCCCAGCTTGCCTTGAGGACCCAGGAGTTTCAGTTGTAGTACTACCCTTCCGGGAGTTGCTGAACAATATGAAGGAGCGCCTAATAGCTGCGAGCATACCGCATCTAGAATGGTCAAGTGGCGAAGAGCTGTCAGCTCCAGTTGTGTTAGTAAGCGCCGACATTGCTGGCACCTGGCCCTTTATCAAATATGCTGGGAGACTTGTACAGCAGGGTATCTTACGCAGGATTGTAGTAGATGAGTGCCATCTTATATTCACAAGCAGCGACTATCGGGAGCGCCTAGCAACTCTGCGCAATCTTCGCTCACTTCAATGCCCGTTTCTCTTTCTTACAGCTACGCAACCGCCTTGCTTAGAGCATGAATTAAGCGAGGCTATGCTTATACGAACGCCTATCTACATCCGAGCTCCTACTGTAAGACCAAACATTCGCTATCTGGTTCACATTTGTACTCCAGGCAAGCTTGTTGAGTACACAATAAACCTATGTAAGCGCTGGTTACCACAGCTCAAGGGCAAGAAAGGGATTATATACTGTCGATACCAGAGCTTATGTGAGCGTGTTGCACAAGAGCTAGGCTGTGGGTTTTACCATGGAAATCTTGATCCTGAAACTAGATCTGAGCGCGTGGCATCATGGCTAGAGCATGGGGGATTTATTGTGGCAACATCGGCATTAGGTACAGGTGTTGATTTCCCTGGTATCATATGCATTGTTCATCTTGACCAACCATATGGGATGATTGATTTTGCCCAGGAGTCTGGCAGGGGGGGCAGGTTTGGGGAAGCAGTTGACTCGGTGATAGTCGTTGGGAGCAAGAACCCGGCGCCAAAGCCAATACCTGGGCGTCAAGACTGGAAAACTTTGGATCAAGATGCGATGCAGGAGTTCATCTGGGCTCAGGCAGGAGTTTGCCGGCGCGCAGTTATGAGCGAGTATCTTGATGGCCAAGCCACTAATTGCACTGCAATTGATGCTGCAAGATGCGACCACTGTGGCGAGGGTGTTACTGAGTGGCATTCCTCCCAGCAGAAAGATGCCCAAGAGGAGGGAGTTATTCGGTCCTTTTTAGAAGAGATGGCCGGGAGCTGTCTAGCTTGCAACATTGCTGAACAGGGAAATAATCTGCAGCTACCGTGTCTCCACACAGAGCCGCTTTGCACTGCTAGCGGAAGAGAAGCGCTAGCGACTTCCGCGATATATGCAGGGCAATTCGCCGTAACATACAATACACCCCTGACACTCATACATGCTGGCGGTGTGGGCGTAAGCCAGTACCTCTGCGCTACTGGTACTGACAGCAGCCTTCCTTGCCAATGGCCACATGTTCTTATCTCAATTGTTGCGGCTTCTTACACACTGCTACAGAGTGATGAAGTCCTGCAGCAGGTTGGGTTTAAACGTCGTGAAGCAGGGGACATCTCAGATGTTATGGAATACTGCGCTTGGGTAGGCCAAAAGCATAGCCGCAGAATTTGGGGTAAGCTGATGAGCAATGGGATGGCAGTCTTCATTAGCATAGTGCTGCAGTGTCAGAGCAGGAAGGTTATAGCCTAGACTTAAGCATACCAGAGAAGGCTACTTAGAGAGAATGTCAGATACTATGAAACGACAAACCCTACGCCAAGCAAAGCTTGATAAGTTTTAATGTAGAAGTAGTAAGCAATAAGCTCAGAGCTCACGAGTATCATTATTGTCTAAAGATTGCCATCGCTAGAAAAAGGTAAGTCTCATACAAAGAAAAGACAGGCCTTACGCCAAGCAGAGCTTGAAAGTAGCTAAAGCGCTCAAATAGACTATGTTTTGCTCCCGAGTTTCATCCCTGCAGTTACTTAAAGCCAAATAATCTATACATTATACTAGAGTATAAATAACAAGATTACGGATGAAGAGCTGCAGTAACAACTACCTATGCAAGACAGATAGCCAGAAACAGTGCTAGGACATCTTCATAGAATAGGCAATCTAATATATAGACCATTCTACATTAAGATTTACTTTGCAGCCTGTAGTTTATACGAGCTTCGCAAAGAACAGTAATTGCAGTTGTTATAATAGGGCTAGCATCTAGTTTATAACATAATGCTAGCAACAAGTGGTACAGATAGGCAGGTTTGTAGTTTCTATACCCTATATAAGAGGGATATAGTAAGATAGCTAAAAGCAAAAACAATATATATGCGTAAAAGACAATTAAATAGCAAATATTTATAAAAATAGATAGCTTAATAGCTAGTAGCACAGAAGTGCTCATTATTAACCTATTCCTACTTTGGCGCGTTACCGTTTTCAGAATTAGGACATCTGGTTTACACCGCTGTGGTAATAAGCCCAGTTTCTCATCCAGCATAACAGTCATCCAGTCGCCACCAGATGACCACTAACTAGGTAAAATTCGTTCAAAACCCTGTCCGTTACAGTGCCGCAGCCCATAACAAAGACCAAGAGGAGCGTTGCACAAGGCATTTCCGGCGCGATTGGGGCTATCACGGAGAGTACCAGAACAGCACTCTCCACGATTAGGCTAAGCCAACAAAGTCTCCACACACCCCCAAACTCAGTCGAGCCCAATCGCCAGCCTATCGTCTACCTGATGAAAGCATAAAGCTAGATTTGGGGGGGTGTTATGTCCAACAGTTTCTGCCTTCCTTGGATGTGTCTTAAGCCTGAGCAGGGGTGCTTTGCTCGAATTACCCGTCAAACCACCCGAACCTGTACCTCGGAAGGCTGGCTAGGGAATCATTGGTGATAGGGCATGTGCAAGTCCATTCAAAGAATCGAAATGCAGTATAGGTTACGGCTACTCGCAGTTTCACAAACACAACAATAGGGAATGTAGCCAAGGAGAACCCCAGCTATCTCTGCGTTCAATTTCCCTTCCGCGTTGCTGCAGTAGCTAACACACATTCCGTAAAGAATCATGGGTCAACCCCTGCGCGCTGCAGTCAGAGGAACCTGCCGACTCTTGGTACTATCTCTGCCATGACAGCGTCGAACTTCCCTTGATATTGCAAGACCGAGGATGATTGCCGACGGAACTGCTCAGCGGAAGACGCTGAACGCTTGTTTCTGGTGCTAGTAGACTAAGTCTACAAAGCAGCGCAGGATTAATCCACCGCTAACAGGCCGAGGACTACTAAATTCGCCCCCGCCTGCCAACTGGGTAGTTAATAGCTTGTAAGATACCGATTGCCGCCGAAGCGGACTTGGTGCTGGAACAGCAGACCGGGTTTTATCCCTACCTACTGTCGCTATAGCAAACTTGCCAGAGAGGCTAACGGTCGAATCTGTATGAGAGCATACGCGAGAAGTCAGCCCAAGGCCCCCTAATTCCTCTAAGCTTGCGCTTATTCGTATGCTAGCCGTAGACCAGGTGAAGGGAAATACCTTTAGGAACTCTCCCTTCCCCCCTCAAGACGCTTGGGTATCCTTCACCTCTCTCTGTAATACCCCATCGGAACAAACCAATTTCAAAGCCAAGTACCAATGCCACCACAGCGCTGAATCACCACCGTAAGCGAAGCATATGTCGATGCTACTTCAGTGCGTAGATGACCACACTGCGCCCAATGACTACCGTAAGCGAGGCATATGGCGATGCTACTTCAGTACGTAGAATGAGTTTCCAGGCAAGCCTGGATTGTGTAGAGCTCAGTATTTAGATCGGCACTCCTTTCGTAAAAGTTTTCAGGCGAGTCCAGTGCAAAGAAAGGACAGACACCCAACACCAAGCAACGCTTGAGAGTGCAACTTGCAACGCGAAACTTTTGCTTGCGAAGCATGCGAGCCGCCTATCCCAGTATAGATAATAGCAAGTGGCTGGCGAGTAACCAGGAGTTCCTCTATGAGAGCATACGCGAGCACCGGCCGAGACCCCCTGTTTGCTCTAAGTATTACGCTTGTTCGCATGCCAGCCCTAGCTGTAGCAGTTGTTATCCCGCAGACTAGTTGAATGACTAAGAGAATAGAGATACATCAGGAACTCTCCTTTCCCTCCTCTCCCCCATAGATTGTCCCCGTTCACACGCTCATGAAGGTCTTCAGGCACCAAGGCTACTATCTAAAGCCAAAGAGCGTACACTCAAGGCAGACCACCCGAAGGAAGCGAATTAGCCGGCAACCCAAAGATGCCCTACATAGATGCAGGGACTTTTGTGCAATAACTGCAGGGAAAATACCAAAGTACATGCCAGCTGCTATTATCACGGGTGATTGCTGAAACCATGATCGCGTGCAGTAAAGAGCAAACTTTACCAGCCGCTACCAAGGGTACAACGTTGAAATTATGATACCTGTAGAGTGCCCTATAGAAATACAAGGACTTTTGCGCAAGTTTCCCCACTAGGTGCCCCAAATGAATGCAAGGACTTATGTGCAACAATCGCAGGCAAGATACCAAAGTAAATGCCTACATGCAAGAATGGTAGTGATAACACGAAAGCATGTTCCTATTCACAGGGCTTGGACCGAATTGTAAGGCTCTATTTCCGTTGCGCAAGGCATTTCTAAGAATCCTCGCAGTAATTGGACCGAATACCTCAAGCAAAGGATCATACCACCGCGCAAATAGTCCCCATAAAGCGTTGGTTCCTAAAAGGTTGAGTAAACCCCCTTCAAGTACTACGCAACTTTAAGTCCCCGTGTTATCTGTCTACGCTACAAGAGCAAAGACCAAAAGGCTTTGTTTTGCTACACGGTGTCTGCCAGGCAGCGTCTGCTAACACTTATTGCCAAAGCTGGAATAAAGCGTTACAATGCTACACAACCAAGCAAAGTGGTAAGCAGACTTACGCCTACTACTACTAAGCTCTGGGCTACAGCTGAGAACAGCATGTTGCGGACACATTAAGGTAATTCTCAGCTGTTTATATGCAGGAACTGCAATGGGCACGCTGGGCTCCGAGGGTGTAATCTGGTTTGCTTCATAGTATCTGCCGTAATTACTCCGCTGCCAACTCTTCACCGAAGATCCAAGTGGGAGAGCGCAATTCAACCAAGCAAGGCATTTTCAAGGACATAGCCTCTCCATACCAGGCCCCGGGCTGCAGTCGGTGACACATGCAGCGGATACTGTATTATAATTCTCAGCTGTGATGCAGTGATTGCGGTCAGCACGCTAGGCTCCGTGGGTACGATATTGGGACTTTTCACGAGACGCCGGTTTCACAGCTGCAAGCAGCCACTTCACCGACCTGAGTCTCTAAGCAGGGCGTTCTAAGAACGCCTTAATGAACACTGCCCTCCCAACCGAGGCTTAATCCAATCGAGGCCTTGCGGCCAAAACCAGTGCTGGGTCTTTAGGCTTAAGCAACCAAAGGCTGTCAGGATCTTCTTTGGTTGCTTCCAATATCGGCCAACAAAC